CACCGCAGTTATGCCACATTCCGCGCCAAAGATGTTACACCCGTCGTCACTCTCGACAAGAGCAAGAACCTGCATTTGATGGAATTGTTCCACGGTCCTACATTCGCTTTCAAGGATGTCGCACTTCAATTTGTCGGCAACCTATTTGAGTACTTTCTCGTACGCATGAACAAAGGCAAGGAGGGCACTGATAGACAACATTTGACTGTTGTTGGAGCTACCAGTGGTGACACCGGTTCTGCTGCCATCTATGGTCTGCGCGGCAAGAAGGATGTTTCAGTCTTCATTATGCACCCCAAGGGCAAGGTCAGCCCTGTTCAGGAGGCTCAGATGACTACCGTTCTTGATGCCAACGTGCACAACTTGGCTGTTGATGGCACTTTCGACGACTGCCAGGTGCGTACACCATCATTGCATTGATCTCAGGATACTGATGATATTCAGGACTTCGTCAAGGCTCTCTTCGGTGATGCCGACATGAACAGCACCCACCGCCTCGCCGCTGTAAACTCTATCAACTGGGCCCGTATCCTCGCACAAATCACCTACTACTTCCAATCATACTTCACTCTCGCCCGCTCGCTCGATACCGAGAACCCTCAGGTCCGCTTCGTGGTTCCCACTGGCAACTTCGGTGACATCCTCGCCGGATACTTTGCCAAGCGCATGGGTCTGCCTGCCGACAAGCTCGTCATTGCCACAAATGAGAACGATATTTTGCACCGCTTCTGGCGCAGCGGCCACTACGAGAAGAAGCCTGTACACGGACGTGAGGCCGAGGGTGGCTTCGAGCACGATGGCGCAAAAGCACATCTCGATGGTGTCAAGGAGACATTGGCACCCGCTATGGATATTTTGGTCAGCAGCAACTTCGAGCGTCTGCTGTGGTACCTGTCATACCGCGTCAACGGCAACGACAACGTTACCGAGCGTCGCAAGGCTGCTGGTGAGCAAGTCAAGACCTGGCTGCAGGCACTCAAGACCGATGGCGGTTTCGGCGTCGAGAAGGCCATCCTCGATGCCGCACATGAGGATTTCGAGTCTGAGCGTGTTTCAGACAAGCAGACTCTTGACCAGATCACCCAGACCTACGCTTCGGGTAACGGCATGACACCTATTGGCGAGAACAGCGGTGCCTACGCTACACAGGGTACCGTCCACCAGGGCAAGTACATTCTCGACCCCCACAGTGCCATTGGCATCGCTGCTTCGCTGCGCTCCATCCAGCGCGCACCTAACGCTCACCACATCGCTCTTGCCACTGCTCACCCTGCCAAGTTCTCGTCCGCAGTCGAGACGGCGCTCGGCGGTCAAGAAGGCTTCAGCTTCCAGGCTGTCCAACCCGAGCAGTTCGTCGGTCTCGAGCAACAGCCTCGTCGTGTCACCATTGTCAAGAACGGCGCTGGTTGGCAAGACGTGAGAGAAATCGTTCGTGAGGAGGTACAGCTCGAGATGGAAGGCAAGGCTAGCAGTGGTCCCGGCGAGATTGTCAAGGGTTAGAAGTGGAAGATGAATCATAAAAGTCGATCATATTGGTTGGAGCCCAAGATACAAAGTAGATACGAGAACATGTTTTGCCGCTTTCCACGTTGAACATTGACACACTCTAATCGACCCCTATCTCTCACGGAATGACGTTACGCCATGAGAACGCACAATTGCTGTCCAAGGAGGAGTGTCGCCATGGAGATAACATGGGTTGGCTGCCCGGTCTGCAAGACTTCAGGGAGAAATTCTTGCTCCAAGATTTTCGACGACTCTCGATTGTCGACTACTCGCATACAAACCACGCCAAAACAAAAGTCCAGGGATGGTTTGAGCCTTTTGTTTGGTCAAAGTAAGATATCTTAGTTCATGGTAGATGTGTTGGTTCGAGGTCCTAGCATTAATCATCGTTGACAGCATGCTTTTGGTGCAGCAGCCATTCAAACTCCAGAGGATCAAGTCCGAGAAAGAGTTTTTGCACGGTGATGCCGCAAAACTTAGATCTTGCGTTTCTCATCGCGCCTGAGTGTACGTTTGTACGTTACAAGGCCCTGAGACGGGCCACAAGGGTGCATATATATATCGTTGCTATGTAATATCATTGTCGATGCTCAAAAGGATGGCGGAGGGGCCACCCTGACGCGACCTTGACACATGTTGAGAACGTTGCGAAGCGACTGTCATGATTCTGTCAATCATGATCATGATGATCATGATAGCCTCGGTGATTTAGCCACCTACATGATATGAAGGACGCCTGCAGTGACGGCGTTTTGACAAGCTACCATGCAAATGGATAAGACGTGGTGTTAACTGATCAATGATAGCACCAAACGTATTCCAGAACATGTCCACGCGTCTTTGCCGTCGCTGCCGTCTCCGACCCACGAACGGTTCGTGTCCCAATGGATTTCTTGGAATTTGCTTGGTGAAAGCTTGTTGCGGAGCTGATGTGGCTGAGACGACCGGAGATGCCGCACCGATGCGGGGAGTCACTATGACTTCATTTGCGTCGTGGACGAAATCAACAAAACCCTCAAAGGTCGCCGTTTGCTTGCCCAATTCCTCTTCATCTTCTCAATTCTAGTTTTGCCCATCATCACACAGGCAATTCTTCACAATGTCGCAAGATACCAAGGTCCAGCAGCATGGTGAGAACCATGACATCCCTAAGGAGCACCAGATCTCAAGGTATGCGAAATCACCCATGGCTCAGGAGACGAGCGACTGACAATAAGACAGACCCGGCGCCTGGTTGCCCACCGATCACCGCACTCACCACGAGTGGCTTGGTGAGCAGGTGAAGAATGCCCACAAGAACAAGAAGCCCTTGATCCCCGTCCTCCAAGAATTCAAGGAGTTCATCGAGGGCACCCCCAGAGTGTACATGTACTTCACTGCCATGTTCCAAGAAGTCCCCTACAAGCATGTCTACCGCAGAGATCCCACCGGCCGCAAGCAGATCCGCGACTACGAGCACATGCTTGAGGTCCTCAACCACGTCTTCGGCTCCGCCCCTGTTTGGACTGACTCTGCCCAAGCTGTCGGTATGGTCGGTGTCCCTATGTGTGCCATCCTCGATTACCCCATGTCCACCCCTTCTGGTCACGCCGCCTTCCTCGACCCTGAGGTCAACAAGATGATCAAGAAGGTCCTCAACGAGTGGGGCAAGTTCCTCATGTCGCCTGAGTCGGCTGGTGTGCTCCACGAGGGCAAGACCGGTTGGTTCGGTGAGACCGGAACCTCGGACATGATGGCTGTTGCCAACGCTCCTTACAAGACCCAGCACAAGTTCGAGGACTTCTTCGTCTGTGACACCAGCAAGAAGCACTACGGCTACACTTCTTGGGACAACTTCTTCACCAGACACTTCAAGGATGAGGTGCGCCCTGTGGACAGCCCTGATGACGACAGCGTCATCAACAACGCCTGTGAGAGTAAGGTCTTCCAAGTTCAGGAGGGCGCAAAGCTCAGAGACAGATTCTGGATCAAGGGCCAGCCCTACAGTGTCAGAGACATGCTCGCCAACGACAGCCTGGCTGAGCAGTTTGCCGACTGTACTGTCTACCAAGCCTTCCTGTCTGCTCTCTCCTACCACCGCTGGCACGCTCCCGTCAGCGGTACCATCAAGAAGGCTTTCGTTCAAGACGGTACCTACTTCAGCGAGCCTCTCTTCGAAGGTCTTGGTGACCCCAACACAAAGGAGATTGACGCCCACGGTATCTCGACTGGTCAAGGTTACCTGAGCGCTCTCGCCACAAGAGCCATCATCTTCATCGAGGCCGACAACCCCGCTATCGGTCTCATGGCCTTCATCGGTATCGGCATGGACGAAGTCTCGACTTGCGAGATCACCGTCAAGGAGGGCGACCACGTCAAGAAGGGTCAGGAGACAGGTATGTTCCACTTCGGTGGTTCATCTCACTGCCTGCTTTTCCGCAAGGGCGTCAAGGTCAGCGGCTTCCCCCAGCCTGGCAGACAGGACAACGTTCCCGTTCGCAGCAAGCTTGCTACAGTTCAGTCGAACTAGAGTAGCCCCCAAAATAGTCATGAAGCCCAGTCATGTAGTTAACGAGTAACGGAACCTCATTCAATTCTAATACCATCCAACCAAAACATAATTGTCTCAGCCAGCTGTGTGTTTCACAATACTCCCGTGGCTGGATACATGTTTATCTAAGAGGATCCACGATCCTGTAGGAGATGAACGAATTGCCATAACACGAGGAAGCTAGTTTGCTTCTGCAGACCCCTGAACCAATAAACACCTACTCGTTGCTGATATACCAACACATACTGCACATCCTTAAGCCAAGAGCTGTTGGCGACAGCACGGAGGAGCCCAGCCGCCATGCCAAGGTCCCAAGGAATCCTATTCGATCCTCCGTACGCATCCTCCGCGAAGGATCCACCAAGAGCTCACGGAGGATACAGTTCGATATGGAAATTGAGAGGAAGAAGGATCACCGGGAAAAGAGTTCAGGTACGCCTGACTTCGCTTCAGCCTCTCGACTTGGCTGCATTGCCAAGTGACCTATCTACGGATCTCACCAGCAGTCTCATGATTGACCAGTCTTCATTCTTTTCTCGTTCATCATACTCCGACTGAAAAGTATCGCTCTGCTTGGCATATAGGCTCGAGAATCCTATACCGCAAACATGGTGGGCTCGGATCCTTACAACATAGCCTCATACTCTGCATACTTGCCTTCTTTTGGGCACGACTCTACAGCCTAGGACCCACCGATGCAAAAACCAACAATATTCCTTCCATCTTCATGTTCGTGCTCAGCCTTCAGGATGATCTATACTCGATTGTAGTGCTGAGACTTCGCAAGAAAGGACTTCCGGGCTGTATATAAAGGGGCATCAAAACTCGCCATGTGTAAATCATTCTCAGCCAGCTTCAGCTTCAGACACCATCAACACACAATTAACTCGGCAAGACAATATCACAAATCTACTACCTCATTCACTAGAAGAAGAATCGTCTTTTGACTGCCCCACACATCAAGCAATGTCTTCCTTCACCACCAAACTCTCCGTGGCAGCAGCCATGCTCCTGGCTGTTCATTTACAACCCGTCACTGCAGGTCCTCTCCCAGCTGCTCTTGAAAAGCGCACAGGCTGCTACAGTGGCTTTCCCTTCAACCACCTCCACGGCGGCTACAGCCACGACCTCTCCTCCGAAGTCCTCGCCGACATCACCTCGACCTGCCAAGCTGTTACCGGCAAGACCATCAGTGGTTCCTCTCCTTTCTGGCGTTGCACAAACTGGCAAGAAACCTTTAGCTGGCACGAGACTTGTTTTTCGGATTGTGAGGATGGGTGTGCTGCTCTGCCCAAGGGTAAGATGATCAACCGTATACACTGTGGACTTGTAGATTAACAGAAGATAATATANGACTACGGTGCTGCTCTTTGTGGTCTGGGCTGCGATGCCAACTGCGACCCTGGCCCGAGCTATGGCTACAACCACATTGAATGGGCTGTGGAGATGCGAGATGGTGGTGCAGACAAGGTCATTGATTTCGACACTTGTATGAATGCTTTTAAGACTGAGTTCGGTGGTTGTCAGTCTGGTAGCGAGCAGTATCACGATGGCTTCTGGTTCCGTATCGATCCTAGCCAGGGAGGTTGTCCTTAGATATCTACATTGTTCAGGACATGGCTACGGACGAAGTATCGGAAGTTGAGGTGATGGTTGAAAATTTGCTGGCTGAGAGGCGATTGTTCCTGATATTCTGGTTTCTGGTTCTGGATATTGGTTATTGTTATCCTGTCGCTATTGTCTTTAACTCAGCTTTTGTTTGTAACACAGGGTTGTTCATGTAGCCCTTCCTCGTGTGCTGAAGTATCTAAGTGGTCATCAAATTAGACTGTCTCCATGGCCACGTCCCAACTGCGAAAGTGACTGTGTAATCTGATAGATTGTATCATGATGATATCTGACCATGAGAGAGCGGCGGAGGCCGTGTGCTGGTATGAAACAAAGTGTTGAGCTAGTGTTGCTATGCATCGGAGATGTTGCCAACGTATACCTAGCGCCTGAAACGTTGGTGACGCAGGCGCGTGCCGCGCATCCCGCACCATCCTGCAGCCGATTGATCCTTCCCACGATCCTTCCTTCTCTTCACTATCTGTTACAATTCACACGTCGAAAGAGGTACACAATGGCATCTGATGCCGATGTTAGTACGGAGACATTCCATGGGCAGATTGGTCGCGCTGTGAGTGTCGGTATTGTCGTGTATGCAAGGAACTCGACATTAATTCAATTCGTAGTGTGACCATTGTCGGGCACGCAAGGTAGATGGCATCGAGGCCCAAATTGTAGTGGCAGCTTACCAAATTGGGTCANNGATTCGTTGCGATAGGTCTACGCCCTGCGCGAACTGTGTAGCTGCTTTGATAACATGCAAGACCACCAAGGACCGGCCACAGGTCAAACGCCAAAGAGTACTCATCTCAAACGAATAGTAAGCAACGAAACGTGTCTTCATGATTTGATCTTTGACTGACCATAGTTAGCGAACAAAAAATTGATTCCATGAAGAACGTCTACATGGCATCGAGTCTCTGCTCACAGATACTAACAAGATGCTTCATGCTCTGATACAGAAGCGTCAGTCAGATGTTTCTGTGCAGAGTACACATTCAGCTCCAATGGACTTGCCAACCCAATCGCCAGACTCCCTAGACTCGCCTCAAGATAATCGCATGGCAGCCATCTCCACCATTGCCACTACGTCCAAGAGAGACCGCCAAAATGCAGGAGAGTATGTCAACTACGAAGGAGCGCCTAAGAGAGCTCGCGTCAACGATGATGTTAGAGAGCATAGTACTTCTTTCGCTGGTGAAACATTCTTGATAATCCAATCCCGAAGAGCTCAACAAGACATTGAGCGTTTACTACAATCAAGCCCATTGTTACGCAGCAAGCCAGAGGTCCAATCGGCCCTTGATATCTTACACAACACCACGCATCAAACTCGTGATGACAAGTCTGATCTCTTGCATGGTATTCGTGTCACCATGTGTGGAGCCTTCGAATCGTCCGACTCACTGCCTGATTACGAAATGGTCAAAGACGTGCTCCGTGAATCTCAGGCTAGTGATACCCTCTTCTTCTGGATCTGGTCACCGTTCTTCACACCGTCTCAGTTTCGGGATCTTTGCGACAAACTATACCAGAACTTCGATACCTGCCCGCCAAGTATGAAGATCATTGTTTGCGGCGCGATACACTACATGTTCTCCGAATACCAAGGGAGAAAGGCTCTTAACGCCTTATACCCTATAAGCGGGTATCGATTCCTCTCCCACTCTGAGAGTTGTCTGCGAGCCTACAATGTGCTGTCTGTGCCGACCACTCAAGATGTACTGGCAGTGGTATTTGGTGCTGCTCATGCGATACAAAGAGCTGATCATGCATCAGCTTGGCCACTGGTCTCGACGGCATGCAACATGTGCCAAGCACTTGGATGGCATAGATCATCCGATCGCGATCCGACCCAGACTCAAGTCGAAAAAATCTTATTCTGGGTGGTGTATTACCTGGATAAATGCCTCTCTCTACGACTAGGTCATTGCGCTGTTCTNAAAAATGAGGACATCACCGTGAGCTATCCGAGCGAACCCTCTCGACCAGAGTTCAGATCCTGGTATTTGTGGTTCCGGGTGATGATTGCAATTGCTAGTGTACATGGTCTTGTGTATGAAAGACTGTATAGCCCCGGATCGTTCAAGCACTCATCTCAGGAGAGGCTGAAGGACGTTCAGGACTTGGCCACACGTCTGGAAGAGATTCTGAAAGACAACTCTGACCTTACCGAAGAGACAGTTTATCGACGGCAATACATGTCGTTCCTTGTCAGATCAAACTCGGTAGTGATCGGTTGTCTGCAGACTCTAGTATATCGAGCCGTTGTTCCTCCGATCAACGAGATGTCGGCCGGCCTGGATCCACGATGCCTTCTGGCTGCACGAGCAACCATTCACAGACACCTGGATATGATGGACTACCTACAGTTCAGAAACGACGGTAGTACGGACGATTATGTCAGCTGGGCTGTCCTGAACTGTCCCTTTACACCTTTCGTTGTTCTTTTCTATTCTGTCATCAAAGCTCCCAACCTTGGAGGCCTTGAATTACTTGAAAGTTTCACGAGATCTCTTCAGGCCATGAAACTCAGACGTCCTAATAACATGCAAGCTTTCAGAGAGATGTGCCAGGCATTCTCTGCACTCGCTAGACAGTACGTAACTGCTTCGATCAGTGAACAAGAGGAGAATGTTGCCAATCACCAGCTCACCGAGTACGAGAACAACTTGGAAATCACGCTTCCAGACGACTTTGAGGACTGGTTTTCTGGTGCTCAGTATATTGTGTAGTATGACTGCACGACTTGAGGAGAATACTTACTACCTTCCCAAATACTAAAGCATGTAATCCATCTCTTGGCTAGGCAGGATGGCACCAAAGTATATGTCATGGGACGCTCGAATAGCCGCCATCGCCAACCTTACGTGGAGTATCTGAATGGCGACCTCTTAGATGATGCGTCGATCCAATCAGTCATCAATTCAGTCCAACCGCAAGTCATCATCAACACTGTCGCTCCAATCATCTTCCCTCTTAAAGGCACATCAGAGTTCCACTATAAGGTCAATGTAGAAGGCACAACCAATCTTCTTCGCGCGGCTGCCGCTTGCTCGAACACCACGGCTTTTGTCTACACCTCATCGGCGCACACTGTACTCGCGACCGATTATCTCAACGCTAAGGAATCTGATGCTGTCGATGGAAGTCCTGACGGCCGTCGCTACCCTACGTCCACCAAAGCTATTGCCGATCGACTTACAAGGCAATGGAACAATAATATGCCTATCCAATCAGGTGGATTGCGTACTGCAACCATCAGACCCTGTGCCATCTTTGGAGAAGACGATTCCCAACTTCTCCCTACCATGCTTTCGCAACTGGAACAGAACCGTCAACACTATCAAATCGGCTCTAACACTGCTTTGTACGATTTTGTCTACGTTGGTAACGTGGCAGAANNAGCCCATATCAAAGCTGCCGAGGCCCTTATCCGTGAAGCTGTACAAGGGATTGAAAAAGGCAAGCAAGTTGCTGGAGAGTCCTTTTTCATCACCAACGATGACCCTCGCCACTTTTACGATTTCATGAGACAGATATGGCAAGCGAGTGGGTATGATACATCGGCCTTAAAGCCAACTGTCATACCGACCAAAGTCGCTCTTGCCATGGCTAGTGCTAGCGACTTTGCAACTTGGGCCCTTACCTTTGGGAGCTCATCGTCTTCTATCCTGTCCAAGGAAGGCGTTGAACATCTGTGTCTGAATCGTACGCACGATATCTCAAAAGCTAGGGAGCTTTTGGGTTATTTACCTACTGTCACAATTGACGAGGGCATTCGACGTGCAGTCAAGAGTTTGGAATGAGAGATAGGGTTGCAGATGTCTTGTATTAGTTGCTGTTTCGGTGAATCTCCTTACTTCCTTTCCTGGCTAGAGTACCTCCGGTGTGTATTGATACTATTTCTTGTCATTCTATTGCAAGATACTGAGAAGTAAGCATACTACACTGCTCTTCATGGCACACGTCAATCTTTTGTTCTCCTAGTCGTGATTGGAAACCTGTCTGAGGGTAACAGTCGTCAATGGCTTGATGCTTGATACTGCATAAACGACACGATGATGTATGTACTATCAGGATGAGCCCTAACAGCAAGTCTGCTTACCAAAGCCATCTTTGTCGAATCATGCCGGCAGGTGTCAGGGATAGCCTAATCAGGCTTATCAGATGCAAATCAGCTCGTACTGACGATCACCCCGCACACCTACGTCAGCGTGACAGCGGAGTCCCTTCCGTGCTCATCCAGCCCTAGAAAGACATAAGAGCAGTCGCAGCTGCAGTTTTTGGGAGAAATACATCATTCACCCTCCATTCGAACACCTCACGAAAACATCTCAATCATGGAAACCATCAAGACCGTCGCCGAGAGCGTAAGATCAACAATCATGCCCACCGCCTCTCAAGACCGCAACCCCGTCCCCGACCAAGCCGAAGACGACGCTTACTTCCCCTCTCCCTTCTCCCTCACCCAATACGTGGCCCCCAAGACCGATTTCGACGGCGCAAACTACCCCAACGCCTACACCGGCAAGAAATGGAAGATCCTCGTCATTGGCACCCAAGAACGCTATCTACGCATGGCAGATGGAAAGTTCTTTTCTACTGGAAACCATCCAGTGGAGATGTTGCTGCCTATGTTGCATCTGGATGCCGCGGGCTTTGATCTCGATATCGCGACGTTGAGTGGCGAGCCTGTAAAGCTGGAGATGTGGGCTTTCCCCAAGGAGGACGAGGCAGTCAAGGGGTTTTATGAAAAGTATAAGCAAAAGATGAGGAAGCCGCTTGCATTGTCTGATGTCTGGGGCAAGGGGTTCGACAAGGAAACGCCCTATATTGGTGTTTTTGTGCCTGGTGGGCATGGAGCGCTGAATGGAATCCCTCAGTCGCCAGTTGTTGGCAACATCCTTCGCTGGGCAGATGCCAATAAGCGGTACCTTATTACTCTCTGTCATGGTCCTGCTTGCATGCTTGCTGCCGATCTTGCGAAGCCAGAGGGAGAAAAGTTCATCTATGATGGCTACAAGATTGATGTTTTCCCTGATTCTTTGGATGATGGAGCAAACATTGATATCGGATATATCCCTGGCAAGATGGAATGGTTGGTAGGCAAGGAGTTGAAGAAGCTTGGTGTTTCGGCCATCAACGACAAGATTACTGGTGAAACGCATCAGGATAGATATGTCTTGACTGGAGACTCGCCGCTGGCTTCCAACAACCTAGGAAAGCTTGCTGCAAACACGCTGCTCAAGGAGATTGAGAACTTGTCGTAGGAGAATAGAATTACTTGACACACGCAGCGCTATAATGACATGCAGGATAATTGAACAAGAACGTCCACTCCAAACAAATCACTCCTCTCCAGACGAAATCTCCAAACTCGGCCTCCTCTTCTTGCTCTCCTCGGTCTCAATAATCTCTGCCCCAGGCCCATCACTGAACGTATAACTTCTACACTCTGCATTCTCCCACATCCTCGTCGTCTGCTCGCCCTGCTCATTGAAGTTTCCCGTAATCGCATGCGCAAAGGTACCATGACTGACTAGCACCACATTCTTCTCTTCTCTGTCTCTGATATACAATCGCAGCATCTTGGCACGATCAATCATGGTAGCCGGATCGGTGTCGAAACGGCCGCAATTGGTGTGCCAGTAAGGGTATACGTCTGCGATACGGTGTTCGTCCACCAAATCCCCAAACATGTCCTTGATTTCCGAGACTTCGGAGCCAGTGTCCATGGGTTCGTCGCTGCTTTCTTGGGCCAAAGGCATGAGTAAAATCTGTAGTCCTCTGTCTACTGCGGGTTTGAAACTGAATTTGCACGTCTGGATTGTGCGTTTCATGGGACNTGTTTTCGAGATTGTTAGTCTACAGATTCTGGTGGAATGTCGGCGGTCGTGGGAGAAGAAGGGAAGAAGGGAAGAAGCGTACGAGGCCATGAGCATATCTATCTTGTCGTGGTAGGGAAAGTTTTTGCACAACTCGGCGCATTGAGCTTCGCCTTTTTCGGTGAGGAGAGGGTCGTGGATGGCTTCGCCGTGCCAGGAGGAGTTGTGGAAGCCTTCGGCGTGGCGGACAAGGTGGAGGGTTGGTGGCATTGTTTGAGGGGCTTGAAGATCAACGCTTGTGGACGGAAGCAATGCTTTGAAAAGATCGACGCTTGAGGCTATGAGGGTGATGCGAGCTCGAGATGGGAAATTGTATTGGATGAGAGAGATAGATGTGAGATAGGGTGGGATAATGCTTCTTGTACTCTCGAGGACAGTGAGTCTCTCTTTACCTTTACCGTTTGGCGCGCCTACGTCGTTTACTCTCCACGATCAAAGTCTACCACCATGCGAGAAGCATACTTCTTCCCCTCTGGGAACTCGAGACGATGACAAAGTCGACAAATCTACCCTCTTACTCAAATCTACGCACACGCTTGTAGTCACTCTCCGTGGATGCCAAGAACCCCCCTTGCCATGAACGGAAACTGCATACTCGCCCCCGATGCTTACCGTACCGCAAAAAGTGTGTATAACCTTATTACCGCGAATGTCGCTCCGCTGTCTGAACGGCGGGTGGTTGCGGTAAACCCATCCATCCATCGAGGCTAGAAGCGTTCACGCCCGCGGGTTTGCGAGGAACCCTTCTTTTGTCACCACACATGTTTCAGACGCGGAAATAAAAGACATTCGCAATTGTCGTCATAGGGGAACCTCCAGCATGGACCTCGATAATGTTGTAGCATGACATCACACAGCGGAGAATCCACCGACCGATTCGGTTGTCTTCCGCCAGTTCCTTGTCGTAGCGGTGTTGTAGGAGTTCTCTAGACCTTGCACAGTCGTCGGCAAAGAGGACCGCTGCGGCTCCATGGATCGGAGGCTGCTGTAATGATACAACATTCGCGAGCGATGTGAGTTTGGCAAAGATGATTGTTGACTTGATCGTTGCAGCTGGTGGGGGAGAAAAGGATATCGGAGAGGTGTAAGCGTCATTGGTGCCAAGCACTGAATCGACCTCTTTTGTCAACAACAGAATGTTTGGCCATCGAACAAGGCAAGTCAGCATTTGGGGCGTGAAGCAAGTGAAGTTGTTATCGTGAAGTGGAAGCAGAGGGCATCTGGTTTGAAGCTGAAGTTGTAGCCCTTAGCATTGTACTCCTTAATGCACACGCTCCTCTTAATTCGGTTTTACTACGATGCCAGTTTGCAATGGAGAAAAAGGTACAGTTTGGATATCTTTCGAACGGCAATGCAGACAGGAAACAATGCATGAACAAGGTCCCTAACCCAACAACCCAGCGGCCAAAGCCTCCAAATCCGCAAGAGTTTCCGGAGCAGCTTCTTCTTTGCCCATATCCGTCCTGCGACCCTCTCCCTCGAACCATTTCTTTTGCTTCTTCTTTGGCTGCTCGTCCTCGTCCTCTTCTGCTTCTGATCCATCTTCCGATCCAGCAAGGAATTTCTTAAAGTCTTCTGATGCATCGGCGAGTTGTGGTGCTTCATCTTCGTCGTCGGAAGCACCTTCTTCTCCTCGTTCTCTCTCCTTTCTCTTTTCTCTCTTTGCGCGCTTCTTTTCCTTGGCAAGTGCTTTGTCCAGGAGATCTGATTCGCGGACTCTTTGTGCTTCTTCTTCCAAGAACTTCTTGCGTTGTTCTTCTGCTGTGCCCTTTGCCTTGAAGGCGTCTTCGTCTTCGAGTTCGTAGATTTGGTGTGCATTTCCTTCGTCGTCGAAGACGAGTTTCTGACCACTCTCCTTGAACTTGAGTAACTTTTTCTTGCTCTTGAGCAATTTCTCCCTTCTCTTGCTGTCGATGATGAGGGCGTCCTTGGCTCCGGGTATGTGAACTGCCTTTGCACCTGGCGGTAGATCCATGTCTGCCACTGCTGGTGTGGTCTCCTCGTCTGACGAGTCCTCGTTCTCTTCTTGTACGGGGATACGGCGTTTGACGCTGAACAAGTCGTCGTCGGACATTTGTGTACCGTCTAAGGCTTCGATGTCGTCGTCGCGAACCATCTTGGCGTAATGGTCTGCCAGAACGTCCTGGTTCTTGCGCTCGAACATACGGTCGTACTTTGTGCGGACTTCTGACTTCTTCTTGTCTCCCTTTTCGCCTTCGCTGTCGTCTTCCGAGTCGTCCATCTTTGCTCTGGGTGCGTTCTTTCTGGCCTTTGCGTCATCTCCAGCAATAAACTTGATCTTGGGTGCACCAGGCAGACCAAGACTTGCTGCAAATTCTTCGAGGTTCAATTTGTCGAGTTTGAAGACTTCCTTGTCTTTTTGAATGTGGATGCTGCGGACGTAACTGGCAAAAGCCTTTTGACCAAGGTATTTGAGAGTTGGGTCCTTGAAGCACATGTTTTGTAGTTGAGGCTTGATGGATTGTTGTTTCTTTTGCTTGACGCTGATGCGCTCAATCGGGACCTNTTTGGCTTCGAGGCGGGACAACATGCCTTCTTCTTCGCTAGGGTCGAGAAACAGTACAGCCTTGCCATCGCGCTCATAACGAGCAGTACGACCTACACGGTGAATATATGTGTCGGCGTCCTCGGGAGCATCCAGTTGGACGACCCAGTCGACAGCAGGGAAATCCAAACCTCTTGCAGCGACATCTGTTGCGAACATGCATGAATGTTGGGCATGTGAGAACTTTGTGGTAATGTCTAGACGAGCGGTCTGCTTCTGGCGACCGTGAAGATGTAGCAAAGGGATACCAGGTTGCATATGACGGAAGGCCTCAAACACAAAACGGACCTGCTTTCCTGATGACAAGAAGACGATGATCTTTGACTTTTTGCATGTCTGAATGAAGGACCACAGAGTATCGAGTTTGTCGGGAAGAGGAGTGAGAACGTAGTTTTGTTGCAGAGACTTGGGGGTGGCAGACTCGCCCTGCTCCGAGGTCGAGACATATTCGGGGTCTCTCAGACTGAGGCGAGCGAGGTCAGAAACACGCTTTGTCTGAGTCGCTGAGAAGAGCAAAGTCTGGCGGTCCTTGGGAAGGTACTCGAGAATGGCGTCCAAGTCACGCTGGAAGCCCATGTCGAGGATACGATCGGCCTCGTCGAGAACAAGCATCTGCACATTGTCGACAGAGAAGAGGGCGGTTTGCGACAAGTGCTGAAGCATACGACCAGGTGTGCAAACGACGATATTCATACGGGCGAGAGCATTTTGTTCTTCCTGCAAACTCTTTCCACCAATAACCAGACCAGCCGAGAACAAATGACCCTTTCTTCCAATCTTGACCAGGACGTCGAAGATTTGAATGGCGAGTTCGCGGGTGGGAGCGATAATCATGGCACCCAGACCAGCATCTTGACCGACACACTGCTTGCGATACAGATTCTCGAGGACGGGGACGATGAAGGCGAGAGTCTTTCCTGAACCGGTTTTGGCGGCACCCAGGATATCGGAACCATGGAGGGCAAGAGGCACGGCGCGTGCTTGGATGGGTGTGAGGGTGGTGAAGTGGCAGGCTTTCAAGCCTTCTTGGGTAGGTAGAGAGAGCGGTAGGTCGGAGAAGGAAGTGTAGCTGCCCTTGGGATCCAGATCCTGGACTTGCTGTTCCAACTTTTCAACGTCGACATCGTCTCTCTTGCGCTTGGTGGCGCGCTGCTGCTTCTTGGGCTTGGTCGGCTTGGTGCGACCGGTGATATGTGGCGCCATGTTGCCTTGAGGTGAATTAATTAGGCAGGAGCCTTCAAGTGTATTCTTGAACAGGCAGGAAGGAAAAAGTGCAGGCTAGGAAGGACTTTCACATGCTTAACTCCGTGACAACTTTTTGGTGCACGCGCCACTCGGTCGTTCCTTCCGTCACCCGCATTTCCCTCTTCAGCCAGACTCGACATTCAACTTGCACTTGCACACACGACCACACCAGCCATCATGTCTGACAAGAAGCCTGAGCCAAAAGACCTCTCGGACGAATACATCCTCGCCGCCATTGCCAAAGAATCAAAAGAATTTGACAAGGTCCGTCTCAGCCTTCCACTTCTCCCTTGAACTCCATGCTGACTATCCAATCCANNGGACGCCGAAATCGATCGCATCCTCAAAGCTTTCCGTCTCGATGCCTACGCCGTCCTCGACCTTCAACCTGGTGTCCCGGATAACGACATTAAGAAATGCTATCGCATGAAATCCCTCCTCATCCATCCCGACAAGACCTCGAACCCTTCGGCACCGGACGCCTTTGACCGCCTCGCAAAAGCACAACAAGCACTACTGGATGAGAAAGAGAGAGCAAAACTGGACGAATGCATAGCAGATGCGCGTATGCTGTTGATGCGCGAACGCAAACTCACCGTCGACAGCGAAGAAGTCAAGGACCCTGACGATGACTTCCGCAAGGCCTGGAGGGAAAAGACAAAGGTTGTGCTGGTCGACGAGGAACTACGGAGGAGAAAGAAGATGAAGGCCCAGATGCAGGAGGAAGGTCGCGCACAGAAGAAGGAGGAAGAGGAGATTGCTGAGCGCAAGAGGAAGAGGGAGTTTGAGACAAAGTGGGAACAATCGCGTGAGGAGCGCATCGGTTCCTGGCGTGACTTTCAAAAAGGAAAGCAGCCCGACAAGAAGNNAAAAAAGAAGATCAAGACTTTGGGTTGACAAACATCAGTCTGTCACGAGCCATGACTGTTTCTTGCATCTTCAACATCATCACCATCATTCAAAGCATTTATTCATGCAATTCAGCGAGGCGTTAAGGGCGTATATATTATATTCTATCCTGCATTCCAGAAGGACACTATGAGACCTTCACCATCGTCTTCTTCTCCCTGACCATGCAAATGCTACCGCTAATCTCAGTCTTGACATGTCTGCAACAACTCGAGATCTAGGACCTGGCACCCGCTCTCTTGACATCCAACTCAACCTTACTATACCACGCCGCACCTCCCAAAGCAACAATCATACCCACAGCATTCATCGTGCCCACGGCAACATCAAACAACACAGTCCCCAAAACAACCGTCAAGATCTGCTTGACATTGCCACAGACACTCAACGTCAACGCACCAGCCAACTTGTTCGTCTGGAAACTGGTGACATTGAGCAAGAAAGCCAAGAACCCATTTCCCAGCAATGCGAGAATGAGATAGGTGCCGAGATTGCCTTCTGCCGTAAACTTGAGAAAAGCAGAGACTTCGCCTGTTGCAGTTGCCCAGAGCAGACTTTGTACGGCAGCCAACGGCGACATACGCAGCAGCAATTCCAGAGCCGGGAGTTTGAGACTGCCAGTGAGCAATTTGTTGGTGGCCACGGTTTTGAGTGCAGCCAAAAAGACACCGAGAAAAGTGAGAGAAGCACCCAGTAGAGTAGCGTAGTAATCGCCGTACGTGCTTAGTCCTACTCCAGCGACAATGGGGATCAAAGAGATGTAGGTCATGGTGCCGTAACTGCGTCCCAACCAGCGGTAAATCAAGACGGTAGCCACTGGGGTAGTCGACCTGACGATCTGATGAAAAGGCACAGAAACCATGGCAAGCGAAACATTACTGATGGCAATGTTGACGGTAAACAGCACCGAAAACGCTGCCAGCACCATCTGTTCTTGTCTGCCCACGTGACTCAATTTCAGTTGATCCGGCGCAACCAGCATAATAGTCCAGCATCCCAGCGCCGCAGAGGTGGTGTGAAAAGTCGTCAACAACCACGGAAAGTTGAATCTGCCCAACACAGCCTTGTTATACAATGTCAAGCCCAAATTCATCAAAAAGTAGAGACTCAGACAGAGCATTTTTGTCCTTGTGGTGATTGTGTATTCGTGTGCGTCGTTCTTTGCTATCTGAGCTTCTACAGGGGTTTGTTTTTCCGCGTCGTCCATTTGGGAGAGGAGGCCGGCCGAGGGAGATGTCTCGTCCATTTCGAAGGATTCGGCAAATGAGGCTGGACTGCGCAGGTCGGGGGATTGTGATTGGGAGCTTAGGCGCGGCGAGGACGCTGAGTCTGTGGGTGGTGGAGAGGTTGCCATCTTTGTCTTGTGTGATGTTTTGTGTCGATCGTAGAAGGTCGTCGTGAACGTAAATCCTCGCTTTTGGGTTTACAGTCCTTTCGTTCTTAGTGACGTCGTGATTTGGTATGTCCGTTATCGTTCCAGTGATTATATGCAATGCGCAAACAGTGTAGTTGTACCGGTCAATCCGTGGAATCGAGGCAAAAAGAGAAAGTCGGATCCCGCGTTCCCCATTTCTCCAGAACAGCGCATGGTCCTGGTTTTGGTGTCTCTCCCCTGCCTGGTCATACCCTGGCTTTTTGCCTATCTTTCTTTCTTTGGTTCGGGTTTGTTGGCGAATACCAAGGCCCGGCTGCTTCGGCAGCGACATGTGTAATCTTGTTTGCTTGGCAGGGCCGACACGCTTGGCGCGATTTGTTGCCTCTGCAGCCTTGCAGCCTTGCAGGGGGAATGCTGTTGCTGTTTATGCGCGTCGTAAGCTGTTTCTTCTTTGCTCTATGCGAGTTTTTGGCAGAGGATGTCTAGAGATAGCCCTAACTCTGCTTGTTGCTGCTGATATATGTCGTTTCATCTGCATAGCACGCCATTAGATGGACTTCTGGCATCACAGAATAGAGTGTCACGATCCATGGGCACAGATAAGTCGTCGTAATACATTTCTTGGCTTCTTCCATCTCGGTATAACCAACAAACCATAGCCAAGTCTTTGTCTGACCACTTGCTCTTCCTTTGCATCCTTCAGTATCACTGGCGAACATGCCAACATGTGACAAATCAACCAGGTTTTGCCTCGTCAAAGGCTGACTTCTCAACCCTATTCTTGCACGTCCGAGGAACCATCTACGATCTTTCCAACGTCTGTTCTTCCGCATGCGTGACGTCTGGTTTCTGTATGCGTCAAAAGCCAAGATTACGTAGGACTCCGGTCGGCCAAGCATTGGATGTGTAACTTTTCTGCTTTCCATGATGATCAAGCAGGCCCGCTGTTATTCCCGTACAGGCGAGGCATGTGGATGATGATTCGCGCGGAAGGTCGCTCCGAGGGACAAGTCACATCAAACTTCCATGACGATCATTGTGGAGTATCGAACTGGAGTTTGTTATACAGGTATATACAGCTATGGGTGCAATCAGTTATGAAGCAGAATCATCTTCTCCAGCCTCCCTTGCCGCCGCTCTCTGAAAAGTCGCCTCCTTGACGCTCTCTTTCCACTCTGGCGTCAAATTCCTTCTGGGCTTCAATCTTGGCCAACTGTCTCTCTTCGTCGGAAGAAGAGAATGAGAAGGAATCACCTAGTGTTGATCCCTCTTGCTGTTCATTTCTGATCTGAGGGGCATTGGTGGGTGATTGACGTGGAGAGCCCTTGGAGCTGGCAGATTCTTGTCTGATGCGGTCCCAGGTGCTGCCTGAAGAGCGAGGAGCGGGTGCAGTCTGCTGAGCACCAAGCGGCGATGCATCGTCACTGCTGTTGTGGTTGTTTCTTCGCGACTGGTCAACACGGGATTGTGCCTGGGCAGCAACTCTAGACTCCTCGGCTCGTTCGGCACGGTCTGCATTTGACTGTTCCTTGCGAGCACGCGCATTCAGTTGTTCGTCTGTCAAGAGACCAGTGTCTTGAGCCTCCTGCTTGTAGTCATCCATCCATGCACCTCCAGTAGGACTCATGTCGTCGTAGTCAGAAGCCTTGCGCTGAACATCTTGACGCTTCCATGCATCTTCCATACCGAGTTTCTGCGACGCGCGTTGTGCTTGTTGATCCATACGGCCTTCCTGGCTCATGATGGGGTTGCGTTGGCCTTGAGGTTGCATCTGGCCGGTGTGTCTTTGTGTGCGATTCTTCAATGCTTCGATATAATCTTTCATGCGAGGGTCCGAGCCAGTCTCTACTGCATTGACCGAAGTGGCATAACTGGCGAACAAAAGAGCGCCGGTGAAGAACCCAACGGCACCGTAGAGCTGGAAACGCAGAGTGTGCCAGGCGTAACGAGCCATCTGCCCACGCACAGGACCAAAGCGCTCGGGGTTGAAGGCACCACCCTCGGCCTCGGTCTTAGGGGTGTATCCAGGGAAGCGGAAGTTGCTCATAGTGCGGTATGCAGCGATAGCGCCACCAGCCATGCCGACTGGTGGACCCCACGACACCGTCCGTAGTGACTTCGCAAAGTGGTAGCTGATGGCATCGACCTCTTCCTGGCGCAAGGGGCGATGTATGACTGCTTGAGCTTCATGACAGCTTCGTAAGATGGTTTTTACTATGGCATCGTCTCGGACTGGGACCATGAACAAGTTGACGGGTCGCGGCAGCTGGTCGAGCTTGATGTGGTAGCGGGTTGGTGTTTGGGCGTCGTTGCCGTCGTCTGGCGCTGGGAGCTCGCCGAACGAGTTGGGCTCACTGTGATTTGTTGCTTCTTCGAGGACCATGGTTGGATATGTCGATTGTTGCTGTCGTCAAGAAGGCAAGAAACTCGAGAAGCAGAACTGAAGCTCTTCTTGCTGTCATGACACGCTCAAGCAAGAGTCCGGGGTAATGAGGTCATGGTTAAGCTTGTGCATACAGCATAACTCTATGGTAGCAATAGGCATACCTAACCATGTTATGCTAGCTATACCATCCATCCTGCCTCTCTTTTCTCTTCTCTGTATGTTTCGTTTCACCTGACACCACAGACGCTGGTTCCATGTTCAACCTCTAGACCTATGATCTGACTGTTGATGAGACGATTGTGACTGTACAGTGCATCGTCGATACTTCGAAGGATTCAGGCTGACATGCCATCCCTTCTTATTCCTCTAGCAAGCATCCTCGACTTGATCATCTTGATGTTTCTTCAGTAGTCCGTCCAGAATGTCATCCTCCACCGAAACATCACTTGAAAACTACGCAACCCTCCCACACCGCGAGCTCAACCCTACAGCCAAACAAACCATCCTCCTCATCCACGGTGCCTGCGGAGATGGCAGCAACTGGAATGCCATAACACCCCACCTCACAAACTACCACATCCTCGCTCCCGATTTACCCGGTCACGGCATAGCAAAAGACCACCCCTTCACAATAACCAAAGCCGCAGCCGCACTCCACGATCTCCTGCTCGCTCGCGCACATGACCAAGTGGCTTACATCGTAGGCTTCAGTCTCGGTGCCCATGTGGCCATACGCCTAGTCTCCCATCACCCTACCATCGCAACCTGTGTCCTGGTATCCGGCTTCCAAGTCTTGTTTGGANNAACAAGCAGCAAGGCATTCTCTGCATATCTGCCTCACGCAATATGGGCAGAACAGCGATTGGAGTCTGCAATCCCGCGCTCGTGGATTCGCTGGGCGATGGATGGGATTGATATCCCTCGCTCGGATCCAAGTTTATGTACAGTGGACTATTATCGTCAAGTCTTTGCTACCTCGCCTGATGCGGAGAGATGGCCAAAGCCGTGGCCGGCGAGGACGTTGGTTATTGCGGCGGGTAAAGGTGGCTTGGTGCCTTCGAATGATAGGCCTGAAGATTCGAGGAGGTTGGCTGGGATTGGTCGTGAGGTCAATGGTGCTACTAGGGCGGTTATGCATCCTGACATGAGGCATCCCTGGATCTGGCAGGCTCCAGAACTATTTGCAGAAACCACAAAGCTCTGGCTCGAACAGGGGACTGTCCCGGCAGGATTTGTATCCTTGGATTGAGGCCTCTCGAGGTGCAATAGCACGAGAAATACGTAGTAATGTTATAGACACGAGCAATACGAACCAGAACATTATGACATTTGTCCAAAGCATTCGAGCACATCCACCAGCTCTTCCTCAATTCAGGATTACCAACAGCAGAACCAGGATAAGTATCAGGACACCAATCGTCACCCAACTCCAATTATCCTTTGCCTTCCTCGCCACCTTGCCTAGTCGTCCTCTTGCACGATCAAGGTTTCCTTGGAAACGATCAACGCCTCTTTCCACATCATCCAAGAGTGCATTCTGATGGTCCATCTCATCTCCCATTTGTATACCCAGCATCCTTTGTCTTCCTATACTGCTCGACAGTTGATCGAGTTGCGCATCCTGATCTGACAGCACTTGCTTATGGTACGCGTGAATCTGCTGATTGCTCAGGTCTGTTTGGTCGGGTACGGCGGGCTCGTCATCGGTATACGCTTCTTGCGAAGCAGAAGAAGAGGTGAACAACTTCCCACGATTGGCGTCTTCGGGCGAAGAGTCTCGGTATTGTTTATCGAAGCGCACGGATTTGTTGCGTTGTGGAGTGGAAGTCGCGGCTGCAAAGTCGGGGGCTAGACTACTGTCATTCGGCGTCGTTGTGGCTGTTGTGGAGGTATGGCCATTGAATTGCGCATTTAGGTCTTCGTATTGTTTGCGTAGTTTGGAGAGTTGAGTTTGCAGGTNCGGATACACTATTGTATCTCACCGTCAGCATTTGTCTTCTGGCAACCTGTGGAGATCGTGGACAAGGAAGACGTGCTCTCCACCTGTGGATTCTTGCTCTTCGACATTGGAGGCCAAGGTTTCTATGCCAGCGCGTAGAGACTCGAGCGACCGAGTCAGGGGACCATCGTTTGTGTTGTTGCCTGAAAGTTTGAGGGATTGGGCGCGTTGGCGTTCGAGGAGGGAGAGTTTGATGTGGTCGGCGAGGAGGAAGAGTTGGTGCGGTGATGTTGACATGACTGCGTATCTGTCCCGGCTGTATCTCTGGTTTTTATCGAGTTGAGGCGGAGAGGAATGGTTGAAGTGTGCGTGTGGTGGGTTGGACAAGGTTGTTGCCTTTCCCCGGGATTGCCATGCTACGGTCCAGCCACCAATGCAATTGCCAAGACTGCATCGTTCCTTCCAAGAGAACATCAAGGTGTTCGCTTCTGAAACATCTTGCTCGGTCTGTCATGTACACAAGGAAACACAGAATCGTGAGACAAATTATCGCATTACCAATTAAGACCTAATACTACGTAACCGGGGTATTGAACTACACCTTCTGAACCACCTCATCACAAAAGAAATCTTTCATCATCATGCTCTAGTAGGGAACCTTCTCCTCGAAGATGGGGGACTCGCGGACTCTCTCCTGGCTCCACTGCACCTTTGCCTTCTCGTTCAAGGTAGCTTCCTCGTCGGAAGCAGGGATGTCGTGCTCCTTGCAACCAGCAACCTCCTGTGAAGAAAGACCGTACTCATCACGAGCGATCCACACAAGCTGCTGCTCGTTAGCCAAGCTTGGGGGCTGGAAAGCAAACTCGAGCTCCTCGTTGGTGTAAGGACGGATAGGCTCATTGAAGTGAGACGCAAGCTCTTTGCGCACAGTAAGCCACTTCTGGGCGAAGCGCGAGCTGAAGAAAAAGTGCTGGAGCTTGCCCTTGATGCCTGATTTCTTGGGCTCGGGGGAATCAGTAGACCCGGCAAGGGTAGGCGAGGTGTCGCGGTTGGATGTGGTGCTGGGTTTGCCCTCTTCCATCGTCTCTGCACCCGTGTATCCTCTGTTGCTGTCCTCGCTACCAGGCATCATCTCGAGACCATCGACAATGGGACCGAGTGTCTTGCTCAGGATGACATGATAGATGATGGTGAAGACAGTCAGAATGATGGTGATAATCAGAGGACCGATGGCAGCTCTGTCCGAAGAAACTCCAATGGCGAAGAGACCGATCAAGCAGAACTCAAGTAGATATACGCCGACTGTGATCTGCTGCAGAGCACGAGCATAAGCACGACCCTTCATATCGATAGAGTCGTTGCCAACCACGTAGAGGAGTTGGTAGCGGTAAGCAAAGTACAAGAGTGCGAATCCGACGGTTGCAAACCCAAGAAGTAGAGGAGCGATGCAGGAGTATGCGATAGCAATGACTCCGAGCATTGCATTGGCAGGGTAGACGGAACCCCAACCAAGACCGATCAAGTTGACGTAACGATTATAGACCTTGCGGGGTGTCGAGTCCAAGATGCTACCAAGAATGGTGATGAACAATAGGGNGGCAATGTTGAGAACGAGCACGGCGGCCTTGTTCAGCATAACAATGACAAAGTAGGCAGTGTAAAAGTTGGAAGCAAGAGGAAGGTTGCTAGCGAGGAGCGTAGGTGCAGATGCAGGCTGGTCGACAATCTGCTTTGCAACAGCGGCAGCTCCGGATGAGAAGGTGGTCACGAGGAAAACGTCGACAACCTGGAATGAGAAGTACCAGGCCTGGACTCTCAATTCGACTGCAGATCTGGTAGGTTCAAACATGCCTGCAAGCAGTCTCAAGATGATAGGCACCAAGGCCATGAGCACAGCAAGCAGAACAGAGGGCAACAAACCAGTAATGACACCGAGGATAACACTGGGAATGCTGCTGATCCAGGTCAAGCCAGGAATAGTCTCGAGGGTCTTGACATTAGAGATGGCACCAACGAAAGCAACAGGAATGGCCCAGAAGACGATCATGAGAATAACGAAGATGGTTGATGCAATCATGATAAGACGGGTGACCATGTTCTTCTTTTCCAGGTTCTTCCAGATGACATCCTCGGGCTGGACACCAACAGTCTTGGGGGTGAGCTTGGCTCCCTTGACTTTCTGCTTGGTTCCTGACATCTGACGGTGAGCAGCCTGGGCGAGCTCAAGAGTCTCGAACTGGACGAATACGGCGGGGATCTTGTCGGCGTTGCGAGTCTTGGTAAGTTCTTCGTCAACTTGCTTGTTGAGACGGACAATCTCAGGACGGGCCCAATCAATAGTGTCGACTTTCTTGCCGATCAAAGGAATCTTTCCGAGACGGTGAGTAGGACGAATCTTCTGGTCGACTTCGACACGGCCGCTCTCGCGGTCAATAGTGGACTTGTCCTCTTTGCCCTTCTTCTCAGCCTTCTTGTGGGTCTTGACGAGCTTCTGGACGAGCTTGTTCTCGGCGGCCTCGAGCTTCTGCACAGCCTTGTCTCTTTCGTCGACAACATCATCGAGCTCCTTGGTGTTGGGCTGAATCCAGACACGGGACACACCAGTGAACAGCTCACGCAGAGCGCTTTCCTTGAGGTAGTCCTCAGCGACGTTGGTGAACATGACAGTCCTGGACGACAGACGACTGCTGTAAGCTACCGAGGTGATGACGGATTGGCGAAGACTGATGAAGTAGATGATCTCACGGGTGATGACAATCATGACGAACCCAACAAAGACCCAGGCAAGGATGGCGTGCGCATAGTAGTAGTTGGTGTGGCTGGGAATTGCCACATTGCTGAACGACAGGAGATCGAATTGCTTGTTCCCAGCGCCGCNCTGCAAACTCGTCAGACCAAGTAAAACACATGGAGAACTTAGGGGATACATACCAGTTGCATTGATGGGAAAAAGGATGGGCCAAGTAATGATTGCACCGACCAGGCAGATAGTGAAAAGAATCTTGAACAGACGCAAGTAGAGGTAGTTATCCAGAGAAGAGTGCATCAAGATGTGATCATCATTGAGACCACGGAAGTTCTTGATCCATCCGAACTTTGTATCTGAAGGCTGTGGTGTATATTCACTNNAATAAATGGTTAGAACAAGGGAAAAGGGGTTGGCCGAAACTTCAGCTCACTATTTCCTCAGGAGCGGCAGATAGGTGCGCGGCTCGTAAACCCTCTTGTACTTGGGGCGGAAGATCAGAAAGACTAAGAGAACGACCGCAACAATGAGAAGAACAGGAATCAAGGTCGACAAGAAAGTCGATGCCGAAGGCGACTGGTTGCGATGACTACCTGCCTCGGTGGGAGCCATGATAGCGGTGTTGTTGCTTAAAGCGTTGTGTCAACGCGATTGAACCTGTGGGAGTGGTGACAAGAGTGGGGAGAAAAATGATGGGTTGCGATGGTGGAAATACTTGTAGTCGCACACGCACACCGCAGATCAGTCTTCGGGCTGCGCAAACACACACCCCTCGACAGCTTTTACTTGTTTGGACGTCAAAAACGGGTGGTGTTTGATCAACCTGCAGCTCGGCTGGTCAATAACCTTTTCGTGGCTCTCCCTGTGGCGCAAAGCTTCAAGGCCCAGAACGATTTGATGGTCAAGACGGTCAGACGAACATTGACACACAGCCACGCTGAGATCGATTCTTTTCGTAGGGCGCTCGTTCAGTGTGTTTAGGACAGTGATAGGCAAGAAAACAATTCACTAGGCGATGGCGATCCCTTGCGTTGACAGGGAGTTGCAGAGGTATGCAACTGGTCTTTGTTTCATTTCGATGCATTTTCACATGAGCGGAGCGTCATCGGCGTCATATGCGCCATGGGCGTTGATCATCTTGCAGCACCAATCTCTTGGAGCCGTCAGCGCGGTCTTGGGAAAGGGATTTTTCCTTTTGCATCGCGGGGATCAAGGATCATTCGATGATCACGTTCAGATGCTTCAGACCCTTGGATCGATATTAACCTGATGGTACTGCACTCGGGAATACGCAGGAAATTTTACTACGAAACCATGTTGTGCACCTTAGCGAATGCGCCAGGTCATGGGCTGTGTCACGCTTGGGAAATGCAGATGGCAGGAAAGGACGAGGACACAAGCGTTGCGCTGCCGGGCCAGCTGCTGTAACGCACACGGGAGCGCAAAAGATTGTTGACGCACAACTGTCTTTGGTGAGGAGCAGAAACAGAGCAAGAAACGGTACACTAATCTGCCTATCCCAATTGCTGACCCCTTTCGAGTTTCGAGGCTGGAGCTCTCTGTACTGCAGCCACAATTGTAATCTGGCCGTGGCTGAGTCTTCTGTGGCTCAGAGCTGTAATAGAAACTCTTCGCATACCTTTGCCTCTATCCAGCTACCATACAACGGTAAGTGGCGGACGTGAGACGGTCGAGCTCGGGCAAGTGGTTCGATTCTCTGGTCGTGGTTGTTGTTGGGAAGGATATGGACGTAGCTCCAAAGATCAATCTCTTCGTGTGAGAAACGGTGAGCGGACAGCACCAGACGCAGCCCAGCACGCCCGAGCGAGTCCGTGACTGTACCATGTCCCGACGACCCGCATGTGTTTGCATCGAAAGAGATTCCGTCGATACAGAATCTGGGGTCGAAGGAGGATGAGCAGATCGCTGAAGATGTTCAGGAACAGAACACCGTGATGATAAATTGATGGTTCATCTCTGCCAAGTCATGCACGAGCTCGCTCAAGTTGGCGCATGAGTCGTCCGAAGAACAACGTCATGCCGCCGCGCTCGACGTGACACCTTCGCATCGCGTCCTTCAGCCATCTACCTTCAAGCACTCGAGACCATCACATATCAAGATGGCAACAGCAATGGATTTCGCTTTGCAGCACAAAGGTCAGCTAGCCACCGTCACAGCATTGGTCGTCTACTCTGCCGCCAAAAACAAACTCACACCAGGCGGCATCATAGCTGCATCTGTGACAGCCGCAATACACATGGCACATCCCTGGGGAGTCTTCTTCAACCTCCTCGTAGGTTTCTTTATTGCCGGCACCTTGGGAACAAAGGTACGTGTTTCATGACTTTTCTCTTGCATCCTCGGGTTTGGGATGATGTACTCTTGATCATGTCACGAAGGCGAAGCAAAAAGCAATATCGTCATCCGCGGCGTTATCAAACCCCTCGAACATTTGAGCTGACATCCGAAACAGATCAACCACACGACCAAGGCAACTCTTACTCAATCAGCAACCGGAGGTGTGGGAGGTGAAGGTGCACGCAACTACGCTCAAGTGTTGGCCAATTCCGGCACTGCGTCGCTTCTGATTCTATGGCATCTATATGCCTCGCAAAATGGTGTCAGTCTGAAGAGTGAGTTCAGCTTGACTGATGCTATACCTTTTGGTATTGCTGCGTGAGTTGTTATTATCTGTTATGGAGATGGATCAGAAAACTGATTCGTTCAAGCNTCATACGCCGCCGCGGCTGCCGATACCCTCAGCAGCGAACTTGGTATTCTCTCGCCAACTTCTCCTGTTCTTATCACGGCGCCATGGCGCAGTGTGCCTCGGGGAACCAACGGCGGAGTCACCTTTACCGGTCTGCTCGCGGGTCTTGCAGGTTCTGTATTTATCTCTACTCTTGCCTACTTCAATCTGCCCTTCTCTCGAATGGCATGGACCGGAGACTCAAAGTTCCTCTTCTGGGTCGCATTGACAGTCGCGGGCTTTAGTGGCACATTGCTGGATTCGCTGTTGGGTGCATTGGTCCAAGCCACAGTTGAGGACAAGAGCAGCGGTAGAATCGTCGAGGGAGATAACGGCAAGAGAGTCAAGGTTACTGCAGGAGGCAGTAGAGTGCAAAGAGGCATGGATCTGCTCAACAACAATGGTGTCAACTTTGCCATGGCGGCTACAGTTGCTGCTGTCGGCATGGCTGTGTGGAACTCAATGGTGCAGAACGTTATTCTGGCCTAGAATACCTTAAGTTTCGAGATCAAGCAGGTTAGCGACTAAGAAGTCTTACTCAAACACAACATCTTGATACAGAATACCGTCAACACTTGCAACAAGAATAGCATGTGCTCCTCACGCGACCACATCCGATAGACCGCCAAGACTTCTGACTGACAGAGTCACCCTGGTTACATACATAACCTCCTATATGAGATTCCATACAGTAGGAGACTTGATAGTTCTGAAGCCCGTGCCTTGTAGGAGTACAGTATTGTCTGACAAACCAGTTTCACGATGGCCTCGACCGCAAACGACTCGTTAGGGATCTCAGAAATGATTATCGCTTCCATCGAAACTTCAGCTGTACTTACTCGAGTTTTGTGTACACAACCGATGCTTTGTGGTCACTGCCATCGGAACTCCAGTACCTTCTTCGATAGTACCAACATCATTTCTTTGTATGAAGTATCAACTCAATAGATCTGAGTGACTCGCACAATTTTGACTCTTACGAGCCATCTAATTATGATTCTTTCGAAACAGGCCGGAAGTGGAAGGCAGGAGGCACGGGAGACGCCGAGAAAGCTTGACGTAACCATCTTTCTTTGTCTCCGGCTCCACCAACCTCCTCTTACCTACCTCACAGATCAACGAGATGGCTATTCACACCAAGACAAGTATAATTATCAGTCCCATAAAGGTGGCTCACGTCATCTCGACGCAAGGTTGCGATTCATATGTGGGCAAGAGATTTGTTTCTCACAAATCAACATGGCCGTTTGCGGAAAATACGCGGTTTGCTTTGTCTTGATCTATGACCACAGTACTACGGAAGAAAGGTGAAGACAAGAGCGACGATTTCCGGGCGTTTCATGCCTGAGCATTCAACAGAAGCTGGCCCAAGCTTCGTTTTGGCAATCTGATAAACCCAGCATTAGATTCAACATGGCGGACAACAAGATGGCTGGCACTGTATCCGCCGAGGCTATTCAACAGCAGTATGAGGCAATCGTTGCAGCTGTGCACAATGCCTCGGACTTTGAGACTGAGAACAGCTCTTCGATTTCCAAAGACGAGTCGATTCCACAGACAAATGTCGAAGACCAGAAGGATACCTCGGCCTTGACGGACAACGAAGACCAGACAGATGACGAAACTGAGTCTAGTTGTCCCGAATGGAGTACTGGCAGCATTGTTGACGACGAAGAGTCGGTGCAAGATCTTTGTCGAGCGCACTGAAGACCCATCGAAACCTTGGCGACTAACAGGCACCCTCGGATGGGAATGGCGCGATGCCGAAGCTGTCCCCTCAGTTTGCAACAAGAGGGCTGGGAACTGGGTCTGGGACATTAATGATCCTTACGAAATGATGCCCAAGGAAACCGATATGTGGCAGGGCGACACCGATGAACTGTCTGCAAAGCTGCCATACCTCAATGAAGACGACCCGAAGGTCAAGCAACACTACGAAGACGTGCTAATCGAGAAGCTCTACACTCCGCAGTATGGTGAGAAAGCCAGGGAACAATACTTTGACGACACATATGGCAGAGGGCGTTGGATGCTTCGCTTGTTCGGGTTTGCGCGAGAGGGTGTCGCATCCAATGGCGACATGGTTCGTTTCAACCAGTTTCTAAAAAAGTGGTACGATTTCAAGAAGATACAGGACTTGCAACCTAGGCCCCTGCGTAAACAGCACGGTTTTCCCGATTACGTTCAAGGCTTTTGGTTTCCGGGCCCAACAGTGGAAAAACTGCCAGCACGGTCTACGAGCGTGAGAATGCGTCTCCTTCGAGCTCTCTTCAACATGTCTTCTTCTTCGTCAATCCGCCAGCATCTTTATCCACTGAGGATCCAGCGGCGACTGGAGAAACTAATACTGAAGAGACTAACACTGCCTCGAATTTGCCTAAACAGATTTAGATCTTCCCGTGATTTCTCATGTTGTGCAGCTCATAATTGTTTTTATACATAGAATCAATTGAACACCCGGAAAGTTATTGTCAATGATGATACTACCACGAGAATCGTCTTGTCGTGGTTGAAGCACATGCCTTGTGACACTCATCGTTGGAGATTAGATGTAATTCTGATGCCAACATCACCGGGTGGAGTGATGTGTTGCCAACGATTCAGCTTTGCCAAGCCTTCAAGTGCTCCAGACTGCAACTCCTGGGGATAGCAGTCCTTTCGATCACCGTATTGCTTCTTGATCTCTTTCTCCTTTCATTAGTTACCTCATCATACGAACGAACTCACCACTGATCGTAAACATGAGGCTGTGGCTGATTGATCATGTCAGGGATGTCTGCAAACGGCAGTTGCGTTGCAAAGGGGCACAAAGGAATGCAAACGCCTGCTTTCAGCCCTCACGGCTGTAATGTTGTTTTGTAGCAGTGCTTACCTCTATTCAAGTGGAAGGTGCAGGAAAGTACGTCTCTGGTTTCTTCTCTCGACCGATTTCACAGATTGAAGTTTGCGATCAGTTGGACCGGCCCAGACCACGAGCTATATCGCCTATCTTCCACGAACCGAACATGGAATCCAGCGACAATATGACGAGCCACAACGCACAGACTCCCTTGAACATCGACGATGAAGACAGTGATTCTGGTTCAGATGCATCGAACTCGACTGCTGTGTATGAACATGAGGCTTTCGAGAGTTTTCAGCATAAAGTACTTGCGCTCGGCACAGAGCTCCGATTGGATTTTCAAGGCCTCGAGAGGCTTAAAGGAGGCTGTCACAACCGTATCATTGCTTTGACTATGCACAATCTTTCTAGTGAGACAGGATCTGAGGATACAACAAAGGCCATCCTGCGGATTCCACGGTTTGACGAACCCGTGTCTCCTGGGAACGAAATCGCCGAGCACACGATCGCGCACAGAGCCGGAATCCAAGCGACAGAAGACACAGAGAATCCTTACCTCTGGTTCCGTGAAGCTATCAACGACAATCTACCGCCAGAGAGTAGCCATCTGGAAATACTTGATGGAGTCGCCATCCTGAAACTGCTTGCCCGCTCCAGCATTCCGGTTCCTCGGATTCTAGCTTTCGATCCAACTCGAAACAATGCGCTAGGATTTCCTTATTCACTGTATACTCGTCTCCCTGGAGTCACCCTTGGTGACGTATGGAAGGATATGCCTACGGATGGTAAAATCAATATTGCAGGCGAGCTTGCCACACTACTCGCTGGTCTGAATACAATTCGGTTTCCTCAATCCGGCAGACTCCTCCACGATCATATCACCACGAACGTGCAGTCACCTCTTGACCATTCCAAGCGCAGCGAAGTCGGACATGACGTGGTGGTGGGTGGCTTCGGCAGAGGGTTCGCCGGCTTTGAAGAAAGAGACAAGCCCACTGTACTAACGACTTCATCGCTATACGACCTTCTTAGAACTCATCTCGACGATAAGTTCCAATACGCCAAGTTCATGCATCCCGAAGAGTCAGAAGTTGAGTTCGCCAAGTTGCAGGCTATGCTTCAAGATATGAAGGACATGAACTGGTTTGATCCAGATGATGGAAGTGCAGAGTACAGCATCATCAACCATAATGATTACGATCCCAGGAATATCATCGTCGAACTTCGCGAAGATGCTGATGGATCCTCCAGCTGGCATCTATCTGGTATCGTTGATTGGGACGACGCTCATTGTGTGCCGCCGGTGCTGACCAGGCGACCTCCCCTATGGCTGTTTGACTTCGTTGATGACGACCTGATACCTGACGTGGTATGGAAGTATTATGACATGGATCATGATATGATGCCACTTGAGTACTACAAAGAGACCAACACAGATCATCTCACTTTAGAGGGTGCCAAGATCAAGGAACGCTTCGAACAGGTTATGGTTGACAAGATCTACTCCCCACGGCATGGTGCCAGGGCCATGGAAATCTACCAGGACGACACGTACGGAAGAGGTCGTTGGCTCAGACGTGTATGGCGCTTTGCCAACGAAGGCATGTATGACAATAGTCACGATCGTAGATTCAGACAAGTACTTAAAGAGTGGGAGGAATTCAAGAAGACAGGTCAAGTATCCCACCGCACAGTATTTGGCGAGGAAGACGATTCAGACGCAACGAACTCGACTATCGCCTACGACCACGAGCCTTTCGAAACCTTCCAAAACAAAGTCAGTACCTTGGGGTCCGATCTTGATGTTGTCTTCGACGACATTGAACACATGCGCGGAGGATCTTTCAACCGTGTAGTCCCTGTGACTCTGCGCAACCCGCCAGAGACAGCATCATGGATCGACGGGACGAGAGCTATCATACGTATACCCCGTGTCTGGGATGGAGATCTTAACAAAATCCCTGCTGATGAACATGGTCGGACTTGCAAATGCGATGCACATCCTGAGCGTCAAGTAGTTGTCAGTGATGAACACGAGAGTGAGTCAGGGAGCACTTCTTCGACTACTGAGGAGGTCATCAAAAATCCTCCAACCTTAGAAGGTCCGATTGGAACCGAAGTGACAGACTCATCCCCCAAGAATCCGACCTCAGACAAGGGCTCATCATCCGAAGAGAATGATGATGATGGTGCAAGCGACGACAGCGACATCAGCGAAATAAGCGACGTCAGCAACATCAGTAGCAGAAGGAGTTTGAGCAAGGAACCATTTCAATGGGAAATCCTCGACGAGACTGTGCTCTACAACCTGCTTGAGGATGCCGGCATCCCTGCACCGCGTATCCTAGCTTTTGATGTCGGCCGTCACAACGTATTGAAGTTTCCATACTCGATACAGACTCGTCTGCCTGGTGTTACCTGGATCAGTGTCATGAGAGACATGCCTCTCGAATTCCAGCTTCTTCTGGCTGAGGATCTAGCTGATGTCATGGCTCGTCTACAAACAGTTCACTTCGAGTCATCCGGAAGGCTTCAATGTAACCAGAAGTTGGATACGCCCCTTCGATTGTCTCTTGATTCTTCAACCCGAGAAGAGATCAAGGAGAAGTTGGAGATTTGGGGCTTTCCTAAAGAAGTCGGAGCACTCATGGACAGTGCAAGAACCTCGCCATGTCAACCAGTTTGGAATTCGCTCTACGACCTTCTGTTCTACTCGGTGCACGATCTTCTCACTCGTGAGTTGCAGCAAGTAACATCCCAGGGCCCCTCAGAACAGCTTGTTCGGATGTACCTCAAACTGAAAGATATCATACAAGACATGGATCATATCGGTTGGTTCTCAGAGGCGGACAAAAGGCCATCCCAGAGCGTTCTATACCACTGGGACCTCGAAGCACGCAACATCATGATTGAGCGGACAGGTAACGATCCGTCAAGTCCTTGGCGAATCTCAGGTATCATTGACTGGGATAATCCTCATGCTCTACCTGCTGTGTTGACTATGAAGAGCCCGATTTGGCTTTGGGATACCTCGGACGATGCTGAACTCCCTGAAGAAGTTCAAGAGTACTATGACAACGACTTTGATTGGATGCCTCTCGAGTACTACGAGAAAGAAAACCCTGCACATCTCAACGCTGATGGTATGAAAGTCAAGCAGCGTTTTGAGGAGGCGATTGTCAAGAAACTTTACAGCAAGCAGTACGGCGTAGATGCCCACGCCAAGTATCTAGATGATGCATATGGCCGGGGTCGCTGGCTTCGACGCATATGGCGATTTGCAAGCGAAGGCATCTTTTCCCATCCATCACACTGGCGTCGTATGGAACAGCTCGACCGGGAGTGGATGGAATACAAACGAGCGAACGGCATCGAGTATGACCACATTGAATATGCGAAAACACTGCGTGTGTACTCGTCGTCCGTGCAATACAACACAGCCAGGAACGAAAGCCGAAGCGAACCCACAAGCAACATTCAAGAAGCTAATGCAGAGTCGAAGATCGATACCACTGCAGAAACCAACAGTTCTCAGGACGGCAAGCTTCATCTCGTCATACCTGGCCATTCCGTCGCAACTTCACCTGCAGACGATACTGCTGGAATTCCAGAGCAGAGGTTACCACGCTCCAAGACTTTCAGCACTTTCCTGCACTCTCTCAAATGTGCTCCTTCATAGAATGGTTTTTATCTCTGTTATTTCACATCTTAGTTGCCTTTCTACCTTTGTTCATGAGATAGCATCATTCAATCCATGGAATGAACTTCAGTATCGACAAACGAACTTTATACAAGACATCTACAATTGGCCACTAACCCTCTTCCATCGCCTCTAGATGTATCCCTTACTTTGCCCCCTTCTCGGGCTTGCCAGACTTGACTTTTACAGAGTCAGTCTTGACTTCCTTGACAAAGGCCGATTTCCGCTTATTCTTCTTCTCCTCAGCGACTGCTCTGGCAGCTTCCTTCTTCTGTCTCTTCAAGTCGCCTACAGGGTCTCTGATTGCCTCTCGCTCCTTGAGCTCTCTTTGCTTTATGACATCCTCTGCCGCTACACAAGAAGGGCATGGTTCCCATTTGAGATGAGCCACTCTGGGGTGCTCGGGACATGGTTGGGAGTGGGCATGGCAGTACTTTGAGCCCTTGGGCTTGTGACAGGGTCCTGGTCCCTTGCCGTCTCTAGGGCAGTGGTGGACTGTACGGGTGAATAAGATTCCGACCATGGTGCTACTATATCTAGATTGCTGAATCTAGGTAGTGAGTGAGTGGGTGAAAAAAAGCTGCTCTATGGTCAGTACTGTCTTCTAACTGTGGTGATTATATCGCGCTTACTGTGGGAAGAATAGTAATGCTCGATATGATATGCTCTGTGTATACTCTGCCTCAAGGGCAGGGTCACTTGCTTTTACGTTCCTCTCTTCTTCATTGTTCTGCTTCGTCAATGTGGTTAAGCATATTCGACAGTCTTTGTGGTCTTTGACACTCTTTGCTAAAGTCGAAGCCACAAATTCGGGGATGCCTCGACAAGCACTGCCATTGCTAATTCGAGAATGAAGAGCTAGCCAGAACCGGCGAAGAAAGTACAAAGGGGAATAAATGATGCTTTGCGAGATATAAGTTGACAAAGAGGAGCTTGCGAGAGACCGCAAGGGGAAAGGCTCGGTCTTTTGATCGAATGAGGTCCATCACAGTAGAACTAGAGCAGCGTATCTTCAGGCGTTAGTGTGGTCTAGACAGTAGATCTGGAAGTGCTATGAGTTCGAAGGCTGCATGCGCGTCCAGCCGAATGACATAGGATAAGGAGTCTAAACATGCAGGGACTCGGTCTGAATACTTAGGCAGGATTTGCTCTTGGACCCGAGAGCCGACACGCCTGCTAGAGTGCGATGTCTCTTGTGCGGGACGAATTGAACTACCCACTTCTACTTCTCATTAATCGAGCAACTATACCCGTGATCCTCTGTGGATATTTCCCCTCCCCTTATGCCACACTCCTAAGTCTTGATCTTTCTCGCGCGAGGGAGAGCCCCAAGATATAAACAATATCACAGACGTAGTTGCTATCCTTGCAGGCAGACAGCCTCCTCCAATTTTGATTAAACTCCGTGAGTATAAAACCATCCATGGCCACGCACCGTCCGAGTCCAGTCCAAGCTTGCTGCAGCCTATGTGACTGGGCTTGTTGTCTCAGTTATATCAGGCTCAAATTTCCTGCCCTTACGTTTCCCTTCTATAACACCACGGAATGGATATATAGGAAGATAGTCGCCCTCTTCTCAAACACGCAAACTTTGCGTCGTAGCTGAGCAACAAAACCAACAAGACGCTAGGGAAAGCGTTTCTCTTGTCCTACTATAGCTCATGTCTTTCTCTTCCACTTCATCTCGAAGCGTCAGCGTCATCACAAACTGCATGTGATCTTATTACCTACACCCGTATATCCGAATATCGAGGAAGGTGTTCCTCGAGTCGATGATGCTGGTTGAAGGGTCCCGATCTCCCACAAGTATTGTACTGGACATGATGTAGAGTTGCGTTTCCGGCAGAGATTAAAGAATAGGTTACGATGTCATCGACCTGCTACCGTCCTTGACAGTCTACGCATCAGGTGCAAGGGCCTACGAAGGATAGATGATGATAAGCAAATAAAAGGACAGGAAACGAAGGTGTAGTATGTTGTTAGTTCTGTATAGCCGTTACAAAGGTCAGACTTTGTGCAGAATCTTTTGGGCACTTCCAGGAAAGTTGACTTTTGCAAACAGTAAATCAGGTTTTCAGTTTTCTTGCTTACAACATCTCCCTCTTTTTGGATATTGTTTCAGAAATGTGCGATGGTCTACTTCTCCTCAACCTCCAGGTTCTTAAGGCCCTCTTCAGCCTTGCCGACATTGACCTCAGCACTACCAGGGCCCTCAACATGGCCGTCAGGCTGAGCAACGACATCGTTCTTGGCAGCACCAGGGAACTTGGAACCCTTGTCCTTCTTGATCTTGACCTTCTTCTCGGGGGCAGGAGGGGGAGGGTAAGCCAATTTCTCAACCTTCTGCCACTCCTCGTTGGACTGGAAGTCTGCTTGGATAGGCTCAAGGAGCTTGTTGAGAGCCTCGGTAACGGCAGGCTTGAGAATCTGGGGAGACAAAATGTCCTCGCGGTAGTCGGAGTGCATCTGTGCGATGGAGGTGTAGACGAGGGGTTCGCCTTCTCTGCGCTCGACGACGAACTTGGGCTCGCCGGTTTGGAGGGCAGAGATGGGAAGGAGGACGTACTCGACGAAGCTGAGGACGCCGTTGTCCTCAACAACCTTGGGAGCAGCGACCTGTCGAAGTCTTGTTAACGCAAACTCGAATTGAAGCAGGCAAGAAGTCCAAGAAACAAAGAAGAGAGCGGACACAAGAAATGAGAAGAACAATGCAAACAAAAACATAAAACAACAAATATATGGTGCAAACTTACAGCCTTCTTGAGCTTCTTCTTGACAATCTCGGGTCCGTCCAAAAGATCGATTTTTGAGTCAGGGTCAGAAGCTGACATCTTGCCTCCTGTAAGACCAGGTACCATCTGTATTAGAGGTACAATTAGCATGTTGTGCGTGTGGAATAAGGTACAATACCACAAGGATGCCGCAACACAGAAGCCGAGATAACATCTGGTGGCTTTCGCTTGTGGAGTTCGTGCCCACGCATACTTACACTGTTCATCAAGTGGGCACGCTCTCTGAAGCCAACCTTGGGGAGGATCTCCTTTGCTATAAGATACCGTTAGTCAATTGCTCGACGACCGGACAACGAGCATGGAACTTACCGAGGGCGAAGATCTTTCTCTGGTCAACACCACCAAACTGAGCGTCAACATCGAGGTCTGCCAGAAGTCAATATTGACCACTAATATGAGCCTACATCTCAACTTACACTGCTCGTCAAGACATTGCATGATGGGGTACTACAATAAAGTCAGCTTGCAGCCCATTTTCACATGAAAAAGACGTCCGTACGATCAATGCACTCAAAGGGGCACTGTCTGATTAGATGTCAGCTAAACAATGTCTCAAGAGAAACAAGTCTCTACACACCAGTCTGTTTGACGACCTCAGCGCCAGCTCTCTTTGCATCGTGCGCGCTAACAATGCTGTGGAGACGGTACTTGAAGAACAAATCAGCGGAGTTCGTTGCAGATTGGTCACTCTGATCTACTTACCATGTCCATGTTGAATTCAGGAGTAAGTCTAGCCTCGTCAGTAATGTTATCATAGCTGGCTCAGGGACGAGCTGCAGCTGATGATTTGATTGCGGTAGTCATGGACACACACAACTCGGTAGCATCACTGACTGCAGTTGTTAAATGCACTTACTGGTAAGACGAGCCGAGGACGAACTCGAGCCTGGAGAGAGAATGTCAGTACATTATATCCCACAATCAATCAATGGGAAAGACCAACTTCTCAATGGACACACCGACGGCCTTCAGAAGACTTGTGATGCAGTGGCGGTAGCTGTGGACACCGTCAGATTCGTACAGAGAGGATTTATTCAAGGTCAACGTACTACTCGGCACGGAACTTGACAAGCTCGATGGGTGCCTTGAAGGAGTCAGAATTCTGCTTCTATACATGTGTCGCATATTATATCACCTTCACTATAAGACTGTCAGTATTGATCTTTGCCAAGTCATGATATATGCGCCAGAGGTATGACTTGAATATACTTACAGTTGTCGAGGAAGCCATGGATCTTTCCTCGTCGTTAGCAAATTGACAAAACATTAGACTTTAGAGAACAGCGTACATCGGCAAGCAAAACCTTGACACGGCATCCAGCTCTAAGGAAAGAAGCGATTTGTGTTGCAGGTACTAGGTAACCACAGTGAGGACTTGGAGAATGATTAGTGAATTTCGTTTAGATGATTGCTGCTGTACATACCGGCCAGTAGTTGCAGTTCCCCAGTATAGAGAGACAGTTTCCTATCACAAGTTCAACAAAGAGATCATACGCTTGTTGGATGGAATTGTTGACGTACGCCTTTCTCAAGCTTGGCCTTGATAATGTCTGCACCGAGCACTTCCTGCAGATCGGAGACGACTAAGTTGCAAGTATGAGTATTTGCCGTATGTAAAGAGCAGACTTGGCGATATCTGGGTAGGTTTGCGGAGAAATCGAGCGACTGTGTGGTGTTGAAATTGTTTGGGTAGAAGTGGTTGACGTACTGAGGTCGAATTTCTCCTGAGGAGTCTGGGGGTTTATGTTGACACCAGGCATTTTGAGGGATTGCGCAGGCGAGAAACGATGGTGAATATGGCAAGAGCGAACGACAGCTGTATACGCAACCAAAAAATTGCGGAAGTGAGGTCGCCGGAGGAGAACGCCAAGACTTGGGATAGGTGAGTCAAGGCTGTGCATATGTACACAAAACGCACAAAAGATGCGGCGAGTTGTGCAGGAGGCGCGGAATGTGGCACGAGTCGTGACAGGCGTAACGGCCTCAAGCAGTTGCACCTTGTTGGACAGTTACAGCCGTTTCAGGAGCTGTCGGAACATTTCTTTTATTATCATCTCCTGCAATAAAGAATGAAACGCTGCAGTCTTGCATCTCTCTCTAATACTCCTGCATGAGCGACAATGGACGACAAGCAACGCGCGACAGCAACAGCGATTCCGCCGCTGCCTCCTCCTATGGATGACGCTATGCAGAATGTCAACAATAACCTCGATGACAAGCACGACACGCCCGTCCACGACAAGGTGACGGCACACGAGCAGAACGATGCACGATCCGATGAGAAACAGCCATCTGCAGCAAAAGCCTCAGCTGCAAGCATGCAACTCCAAGACATGGTCGACAAAGCTCTAAACTTCGTCTCGCATGCAAGCAACGAAACTCTTGGGGCTTGCCTCGTTGGCCTGGCTGCTCTCACCTACACTCTCCTGGGGAGGATAGGTCTGGTGTTGATTGGTATTGTTGGCGGTGTAGCACTGCATGCCACATGGGAGGCCTCTCACTCGTCATCCGATAGACTCGATGCGAACGACGCCGAGCGGAAGAAGCGGAGAGAGGTTGGTCTGGATGTTGTCCACCGCCTCGTGTTGTCGAGGGAGAAGGCAGGCAAGAGTGCAGACACAGACGACTCGGACGACGAGATCAAGCCATTGCCTTCCAACAAGGCCGACNNTTTTTCTTCTTTCCGCCCCGACACTCAGGCCGCTCTGAATGTTTTTACCGATGCCATCATCCGGGACTATGTCAAGTATGTCATTCTCCTTGGTCACCTTAGCTCTGACTGACCTTGACGCAGTTGGTGGTACTCACCTGTCCTTCCTGGCGAGGACTCGTTCCCTTCCGCCTGTCGTCAGGTTCTCGTTGGCTTCATCGTCTCTCTTTCCAACCACCTTTCTCGCAAGCGACCCGTCGATACTTTCCTCGATTTCCTAACAAATTCATCCTCGATCGTCATCGTCTTTCTCAACGAGCTCGCCGCTGCCTTGAACGCCTCGCCCAACGCTACCTGCGAAGAGGCCGTCCATACCTATCTCGAAATGAAGCCCGACAGCAGTCTCGCCAGCATCATGGACTCGAAGCATCAAGAGAAGAAACTCAAGGTTGTCGCAAACGACATCTTGCTCAGATACCTCGACAACAAGACATACATGTGTGCCCCGGCCCAAGTCTTTCTCAAGCAGATCCTGGCAAAGCTGGTCTTGTCCATGACTGTCGACAGCTGCTCCAAGCCAGAGTTCATCAACCAGTGGATTGTCTACGCCCTCGAAGATGGAGAGCCCGAGCTGATGGAGGTCATCGATGCTGGTGTCGAGGGTTCTGCCCTTGTCAACTCCCAGCCCTCCAAGAAGCAAGTCTCTGTGGGCGAACAGGCCGACAAGCCAGCATCCAGTCCCGAGGCTGTCCGTGAACACAGACGCAAGGCCAGTCGTAACAGGGCTGAAGAGGCCATGGACGAAGCTATGAAAGAAGCGCAGAGGCTTAGCCTGCTGATCGCTCAAGAGGAAGCAAAAAGGTCCACAACCGAACAGTCCGCCGTCGTCAGCAGCGGCGACGTGTCTGAAACCACTACACAAGGCATCATGACTCCCTCATCATCTCAGGGCGATGCTGATGAGCGCGTCAAGTCCGATGCATCAAAGTCGCCGACTTCCCAGTCCACAAGAGAGTCTGAAGATTCGAAGAAGCCCTTTACCTCATTCGACCAAATCTTGCCTGCCACTAGTCCTACCGCCCTGTCTAGCCAGGAGGATAAGCTTCGCCTCAAGCCACCACCAGTCTTGACGCTGCACAACGCCTCGATCAACATCTTTGATGATGCTTCTCCTGGAAACAAGACAGTAATGCGATCAAAGCCTAATGTGGATTACATGATTCAGATTGAACCTACTTCTTCGAGCTTCCCTGGTTGGATGATCGTTCGCAAATACACCGACTTCGAAACCTTGCATGAGGTCCTTCGCCGCATTTCCGTTATCACCGGCACTCGCTTCACTGACACCCATGCCAATCTCCCTTCATGGAAGAACAACACCAAGTCTTCGCTTCGAGATGAACTCGAACGCTATTTGACTGATGCTGTTCGTCTGCAACCACTGGCCGAGAGTGAGGGCATGAAGCGTTTCTTGGACAAAGACGGAGGTGCTTCTCGCTCGCCTGGAGGAAGCAAAGGTTTCGGATGGCCAACACCTGTTGCCTTTGATCAGATGGGCAAGAGTATGATGGACACATTGACCAAAGCTCCCACACAAGTCGCTGGAGGCGGCAAGGCAATCTTCGGCGGTGTCACCAGCATTCTTGGTGGCAAGCGTACTTCTGTTGCATCAAACCACAACGCCAGCCGCTCGTCCATCTCGTTGAACCCTGCCAATTTCCTCGAGGATAGCTACATGGGCAGTATGAGTAATGTTGGTGTCGAAAGGCAGAGTACAGATAGTGTCAGAAGTGTCGCAGCACCTCTGTCACGCACTCCTTCACTGTCAAAACGTGTCGCAGCACCCGCTCAACCCAGTCACAAATTTGAGCAATCAGTTGATTGGAAGACTAGACCTAGCTTCTCCACTCCTCGCACATCATATCAAGGCACAAGAAATGGGGAGCTCAGTCGCCCATCGTCCTCGACAGGTCTATCGAAGCTTGACATGAACCTCCCTCCACCGCCTTCTGACATTCCGGACGATTATGCCTCACCAACAGCTGTATTACACCAACCCGCTAGAATTGACGACGACATGACCTACAGCTCTCCGGACACTCGCTCGTCAACATCCAGATATCCCACCTCTGGTACCAGGTCACGACGCACATCCAGATCTNNCCAGAAGCCGCTTCTACACGCTCCACGCCGGCAGTGACTCCAGCTGCTCCCAAAACTACAAAAACAACACCACCCNATCTCAGAACAAGAAACACAAGTCACAGTAGAACTGCTTTTCGCAGTGATCACCGAGCTGTACACTCTGTCTTCTGCATGGAATATCCGCCGCACTCTGCTCAATGCCGCAAAGTCCTTCCTTCTTCGACCTGGTAACCCTCAGCTCGAGGCTATTCGTCAGATGATCCAGTCCAACGTCATTGAAAGCTCGACGTCTGATGCTTCCATCGCTGCACACATCCTCAAAATCAGGGAAAACTCTCTTCCTACCGAAGAAGAGTTGAAAGCTTGGCCGAAAGAGATGACAGCTGAGGACAAAGAGCAATTGAGAATCAAGGCCAGAGGTTTGCTCGTCGAGAGAGGTATGCCTGCTGCTTTGACCAGTGTCATGGGAGCTGCTGCAAGTGGAGAAGCTCTAGGAAGAGTATTCGATTGTCTGCAAGTCGAGGGTGTTGGGCGAGGTGTTGTGTTCGGTGTTCTTCTGCAAGCACTCAGGGCCATTGTGCAGTAATATAGGCAATAGTGATACCCCCTCCCTTTTCATTTTCTTTTCTTGTTTAGAACAATTGTAATGAATAGTCTGCATATGAAGTATGAGTATGCCTTGGACTTGGATTCCTTGTCTAGTGTGTGTCTCTCTGGACAATCATCTGGTTTCTTAAAACACTGTGAGTTCTGACAGGTAAGATTTGGCGAGCGCGAGATCAAAGGCGATGTCCCTTTCCTGCTCCTGACTTCGCTGGGTCAGGCCAACACTAGACAATGGTAGCTATTGACTTTTGACGTTTCACTGCTGTGATTCTATCCTCCTAAACAACGACGCAAGAAAAGTTGTTGCTTTCTTCCAGATATTCTGGATCAGTACATGTGAAAAGAAAGAAAGGAGTAAGGCATCCCGGCCAAGACAGCTAGGTCCACATCGAGAACATCGAGTACTAGGTCGATATCGTCCTGCCTCCTCCATGATTAGATAGAGGGGCGACAGCCACATGTTCCACATTCTCTGCTGCGCATCAACTCATTACTTCAACTGGTCGTAAAGAGAGAGTATGATCGGCGTCATCGACCTGTTTACGATTTCGAAACAAGAAAAGCATGTTATGCTGGGTGACCATGGTATCTGTATTTTGAGGAAGCTTATGTTGGGAGGCTTGGGTATAGCAGATGCATATCACTGATTGGACTCCAGCCCCATTTAATGGCTTAAAAAGTTGGATATGCACGTGTGGAGGTGTGGGAGAAGAACACTTGATAGCAGTTCTTGTAAAAATATGTTTATACATTACGTTTACACATGTCCTCTACTCTTTCGAGATCTAGAATCTGTTTTGCTTGAGGAAAGTGCCAATGAACTTGTAAGCATCCATGGCGGTGTAATGCAGATTGACACCATGGCCAGTCAAAGGAGCCAAATAAGTTCCGTTGGCGGAAGCAGCAGGGTACAGCATCTTGATGGCGGCCTCGGCCTTGTTCATGGGGTAACTGCAGTTTCCGTAGCAGAAGGGCAGATCCGCGTCTCCGTTGACGATAGCAACGGGGCCGGTGAAGTTGGAGGCTACGCCGGCGATGGCGGCCTGAGTGAACAGTTCGCCGAAAGTGACACTGCCCTTGGCAGCCTCTGCGGCGGCAAGGACCAGGGGGTCAAACATGGGTGCGCGGAAGAAACCGTATTGGTTGCTGACGGCAGAGTAGTCGACGAGGTATCCGTTGTTGAGGTTTGCGAATCTGTAGGGTTGGTTCTGAGATGCGATCTGCAGGTTCAACGCGGTAAGGAAGGGAGCAATGGCGGATTGGTTGGTGGAGAAACCAGTCAGGATGGCGGCATCGAAGGTCGATGGGTGGTTGGCAGTGACGGACTGGGTGATGGCGCTGCCGAACGAGTGGCCGACTCCAATTACGGTGGTGAAGTTTGTGTTTGCAAACATGGAGCTGCGGAGCATCATGGCGAGTTGGTTCGCAATGCTGACCTCGAGGGGTCCTTGGACAGTCTTGATGGGGTCGGGGGTAGAGGACATGCCGACGCCGAGGCGGTCATAACTGAAAGTTGCGTAGCCTTGTTCAATAGCGGAGTCCACGTAACTGTAGCCGGGTGCAAAGTCCCAGTAGTAGCGATCAAATCCGATACCGTGAGTAAGGAGTTGCACAGAGCTGGGCATAGTACCGTTGGCAGGCATACACAGAGCCGAAGCAATGGTGTAGTTTCCAGAGACAGACTGCATGCCTCCCATGATACTCTTCGTGAATGTTGAGCCAGCGCTGATGAGCTCGAGGAAGGTGTTGGTTACGTCGGACTCGTTTGCAGGAATGTTGAAGTTGAAATCGACATTCTGAGCAGTAGCTTGGACAGCAACATTGCCAGAGACACAGATGGCGGCACCTCCGCGAGAGGGTTGGACAGTAGGGTTGGTGAAGCCAGCAGTGTTTGGTGCACAAAGACCGGCAGGGATGGCACCACCAAAGCTGCTTGTGTATTCCGCGGCAGCCATGCCGGCGAGAGCGAGTAAAGTCAATCCAGACATGGTGAGCGATTGAATGTGATGTGTTGGTTGATATGGTCTAGGCGATGGCGGGCCATGGTGTTCTTATAGCTCGGGGTCTCAAGCTCTCGATATTGATTGATAACCCAACATGATTTGGAATGTGGGATTCTCGAGCGACTAATGGTACACTACAGATGTCGTCGAAGGTTTCCTGTGAGACAATTGTTAACTCCGCGTAGCACCAGGAACATTTAGTGACGTATCGTCTGGGGTCTAACGGGAGCTAAAGCTTACGCTCTTTCTAACCTCACTTGCTGCTTGACTACAATTGTGCTGTGATGTTCCATTTAGTATAGTACTCTGCACTCGATTCCGAATTTGGACTTCAGAAGATTGCAAGAAAATATTAGCTGATAGACTTGTAAGTGTTGTGAGACTTTTCGATATGTTCTTCATATATCCAAGACGCGTTGAAGTTGTGATCGTCTCCGCGGCAAAATGCGGAGAACAGGCCCTCGATTACTCGATAGAGTTGAGCAGTTTGATATTTGTCAAACCCGAGATAGGTGAAGGAACATTGGATTCTCAATAGTTTGATCGATACATGACAATGGCAGAAAAAGGCATTGAAAATGCTCGATCGATGGGTTTGGTCTATCGAGTTGTGTATGGCATTGTGAGAATCCATGATGGCATCTGCGAATCCGCATGCCAGTGAAGGAGCAATTGCTGTTATCATCCATAGGCAAAAAGCCATGTCCATAGTAGAGCTGGACCGGCTGAGATGCCATATAAACCATAGAACGCGTCTGAGCCACTGTGCTTCTGTCCAGGAATCGCGTGCAGATAACTGCTTCCGGAAACAGATTGCCAACTTATGTAGAGTGCTTTTTTGTGCCTCGTCACGAGAGGGTGGTTGATACTCAAATCACCTGATTCCTGTCAAGCCGTCCAATGCCATCGTTAACGTTCAGCTGTTCGGTGTCGTCGTGTCGTGGTCTCATAGCTTTCGTATGCTTCGCTGCGAAGAGCCCGCCTCTCAGTATTGCCGATTGAGAAAGTAAACATGAAGCTGTCAAATGTAGCGGAACATGTTGTTCTTGACAGAGCGCTTCATGGAAACGGGTTGACCGTCCTCGTACTCGATACCAGCATCGCCGCCATCACCAGCATGACCAGCCATTTTTTGACGAAGCTCTTCATCCATCTCAGCCAAGGTCTTGTGCTTTTTGGGCTGATCAGGTTGAGATTGAGGCGTTGACTGCTTTTGAGCCTGCTATTGTCAGGTGATGAAGAAGGCGTTTTTCGAAGTCCAACTCACGTTTTGAGAGTCTGTCGGAGAAGAGGCGGATTTAGGGTTTGAGCTAGCCAGACGAGTCTGGCTGAGGCATGGTGCTCGCAGGGAACAAGATCTTGAGAGCACCCTCTGTGATGATCTGAGTGATGATAACGACATGTTTGTCGAATGCGATAATAGAAAGTGAAGTTGTATCTACAATATTCGGTGTTTTCGATGGCCTGTTGCCTTGGGGTTCACCGACGTCACACTCAAGTCATCCCGGACTAGATCCAAAAGGGAGCTAGCACGTGACTCGGCAGCCTGTCAATCTAAAGCTTGGCGTTCGAAGTCGCGCGTGCTTGTCGCAGTGCTCAAAGTCGACACTGCTGCTGCTCCAGTCACTCTTGTTGCAACCGCCAACATGCCCGTCGTCAAAGGAGGAGTCTGGACCAACATCGAGGATGAGATTCTGAAGGCCGCCGTGTCCAAGTATGGACTCCAACAGTGGGCCCGAGTGTCTTCGCTGCTTGCGCGCAAAACTCCAAAGCAGTGCAAGGCAAGATGGTCGGAATGGCTGGACCCAGGCATCCGAAAGATCGAATGGACCAAGGACGAGGACGAGAAGCTTCTGCACCTGGCCAAGTTGATGCCCACCCAATGGCGCACCATCGCTCCCATTGTCGGAAGAACTGCCACACAATGTCTGGAGCGCTACCAAAAGCTGCTCGACGATGCAGAGTCGCGCGAAAGCGATGACTTTGGTCTTGGAGGTCCTACTGGAGGCGAAGCTGCTGCCCCATCAGCCGAAGATGTGCGCAAACTTCGTCCTGGAGAGATGGACCCCGACCCGGAGAGCAAGCCTGCCCGCCCCGACACCATCGACATGGACGAGGATGAGAAGGAAATGCTGAGCGAGGCTCGTGCCCGTCTGGCAAACACCCAGGGAAAGAAGGCAAAGAGAAAGGCAAGAGAGAGACAACTTGAAGAGTCAAGACGTTTGGCTGTCTTGCAGAAGAGACGAGAGCTGAAGAATGCTGGCATCAACATCAAGGTCGTCACAAAGAAGAAGGGTCAGATGGATTACAACGCCGATATCCCCTTCGAAAAGGCTCCCGCTCCTGGCTTCTACGATACTGGAGAGGAAATCACTACGAACGAACGCGAGCGTGACGCCTTCGACCCCCGCAAGCAGCAGCTGCAGCGCAAGCGACAAGGCGATCAGGATGACAACCCCGAGGACCGCAAGCGTCAGAAAAATGACAAGGGTGGAAACCAAGCTGCTTTCGCTGCCGCTGCAAAGGCTGGACGTGAGCAAAAGCTTCGTGAGGCCGAGCGCAGCAGTAGACGCCGTGGTCTTGTTTTGCCTTCTCCCCAAGTCAGCGAGGGAGAGCTGGATGACATTGTCAAGATGGGCATGGTCGGTGAACGCGCAAACCTACAAGCCGGTCAAAGCGACAACGAAGCGACCCGTGCTCTGATTGGCAACTACTCAGACGTCGTTGGCTCAACACCTCTCCGCACACCTCGAGCCCCCCAAGAAGAAGATCGTATCGCCAACGAGATTCGTAACGCTAGAGCAAGAACAGAAACACAGTCTGCCTTGTTGGGTGGAGACAACAATGAGCTCTACGAAGGCGATGCTACGACCGGCTTTGGAGGTGTCGCCCCGAGCAAGCAGGCCACTGCTACACCAAACCCCATGGCCACCCCTTTCCGTCAAAACGGCATTGCTGCAACACCGCGTGGTCCCGGTGCTACTCCCCTCCGCACACCTCGCGATACATACGGACTAAACACCGGCGACGGTATGCAAATGATCGCACAAACACCACGAGACCTTCGCCTACAACAGAACGCTCTACGTAACGATATCAAGAGCAAGTTGTCCGCCCTTCCCAAACCAAAAGAGATGGATTTTGAACTTGAATTGCCTGAAGAACAACAAGAAATTGCTCCTGAGATCGAGATGAGTGAGGAAGATGCTGCACGTCGGGATGCTAGAAACCAGGCGGCGCAGGAAGCACTTGCGAGAGCAGAGTTCAAGCGCCAATCACAAGTCATCCAACGAGGTCTACCACGACCGAGCGTGGTTGATGTGGATGCCATGTTGAAAAATGCCGCAGACGATGAGGACCCCATCAAGAGCAGTATCAATCGCGAGATGACATTGCTAATTGCAAACGATGCTCTCAAGTTTGGCAGCGCCAAAGTCAGAGGCACACATAAACCTACAACAACGTTTTCAGATGAGCAAGTCCAACGAGCTCGTCTTGACATTGCCCTGGAAATGGGTAAGGATGAGAGAGGCCGCGCTTTGTTAGCAGAAGGCTTCGGACAGGCTTGGGAGAAGGCCCACGAGCGTGGCATGCTTCCTGGTCTTGCCGGTTATGCAGAAGATGAGGTCGACGAGCATCAACTGATGACCGAAGCTTTCGACGTAAGAACAACTCAAATTTCGCACAAAACTCTTGACTAACATGCTGCANNGAACATTCAATCTCGCATCATCTCGTCTGCCGAAAAGGGCAACACATTAGAACAGAAACTCGTCAAGCATCACACAGGTTATATGATCCGATCAAAAACTCTGCGGCAGAAGATCAATGAGGCGGCAGACTTTTTGGCAAAGACAAGTATTGATGTCGATCTCAAGAGGATTGCAGCCGCTGCCGAAGAGGCGGGCTTGAATGAGAGGTTGGATAAGATTCGTGAGGAAGTGAATGTCGTTGCGAGAAGGGAGAGAGAAGCACAAGGCACGTTCAGAGAAAGGAAAGAGGAGCTAAATTTGTTAGCGACAGCCTAGGAAGCCTTGCCATGAGCGTGGGGGTTGTGTCAATATCGTAAAATATGTATACCCAGGATGATCCAACTATCTATATCGAATGATCTATTGTTTTGTGCTCGTGCGTGATAGGTTCTGTGGCCTCTTGCTAAACAAGGAAGGAGCTTTCCACGTATGTTCAACCTATGCATTGCTGTGCAGTCGATCGATCCTGCTTTTACCAGCGACTTCCTTATCAAATGATATACGAGCTTAGTAAGCTGACAAAGTACCCCACCCCTTCCTCTCTCGACCACCTTTCTTCTTCTATTACCACCAAGGCTACTCATACCTTGTCAGTCAAATCAGGAACGATCCAGCTATACCATTCTTTGAACTTGAAAACGCCAGAGAACCATGGCTCCAGAGATCACCTTCCACGACTTGACGTCCCAAAAGTGGCCTTATTCCTGGTCGCCATTTACCCTCCGCACAACGCAATGCCTAAACTATCTCGAGCTCACCTATAAACACAACGAGATCTCATATCCAGACATTGCAAAGACACTCTCATCACTAGGTGTCAAGCCCGACCCTGAAGATGTCGGCGAGGCCATTCAGTTTACCCTCCCCGCCATCTCTATCGACGATGAAACGATAATGGGCTCGTTCGCCATTGCCGAAAAGTTGGCAGCTCTCGATAAGGCGTACGAGAAGAAATTGTTTCCTCAGGGCGACAAATCAAAGGATGCGGTCAAGACTCTTGAGAAGGAAATTGTACCGCAAATGGCGACAGGCATGGGAGGTATGCGCAAACACGTCATTGCGTTTGTGCCTTTCTTTTTGGATGAGAGGGGTGCTGAGTATTTCTATGCCACTCGCGAACCCAAGCTTGGTAAGCTGGAAGATCTCAGAAAAGTGGCTCTAGAGGAAGAAAAGGAGAAAGGATGGAAAGAATTAGTCCAGGCGGCTGCGATACCTGTCTTGGACTTTTACAAGCAGATTGATGGCGAGGAGAAGGGTATCTTCGCATATGGAGGAAACAAGCCACAGTTTGTAGACTTTTGTGTTGTAGGCTTTGTGCAGTGGTGGATTTGTGCTCGTGGAGAAGAAGAGATTATGGCTGCGTTGGAAGAGGTCGGAGATGGTAGGCTTGCAAAAATCATGAAGGGCTGCGAACGATTGATGAACCCTAGGGAAGTATGAGGAATGGCTTCTGGTCTGCATATTTTCGGCAATGCGTATGCTTCTTTGGTATAAAACTCAAACTTGCTCTTAAGCTTGGGACTTGGGTTGACGACCAACGACTGACGGACCTCACCACGTGTGACTCAATATCCCAACCCAAAATTTCGTCAAACCTGAGAATTTCGAACTATTTTTTTGCACGACCTCTCCCATCTCACATGCCTCGACTGTGCAGATCCGCAACATATCCTACAATGGTTTTATTCGATCAACAATATTGCGTCCTCTGCGGAACTACCTGCAGAAGAGGTGCGGCTTATGAAGTCTGCAATATAGACCCGACATCAGCACCCGCTATAGTCTTTCAAGGGACTCCATTCTCGCCTTCCACATCTCGTGATTCCCCTCCGGTATATGGAGAGACAGAGCCTCCAGTATATACGAAAAGCGAGATGTCTCCACCAGCATACGAGACAGGTCTGATTGAGCCACGTCAAGAGCTGAGGAGACCTATGATCAGAGGAGAAATGCGACTTTGGCCTCCCGAAATCTCGCAAGAAATAACCACGCTCCAGAATCATTCAACAGTCCGGTCTCAGGAAGACTTGCTACCTCCGCCGCAGGTGAGATTCATGCCTCGACCACGAATATCTATCTTCCCTCGATCGCGGATGACAGTCACGCCGCGAGTGAATCCGCTACCTCCGCTTGGAACGCAACTAGTTATGATACCTCGAGAGGAAGCAGAGAATCTACAGCGTCCCTTTCGACGACAAGTAGATGTTCCATCCCAACAGCAGATGGAGTTCCCACATCGCGAGCAACTACATCAACAGTTTAAGCAACCTCGGTCCGTCTCGATAAGTCGTTTAGAGATACGTATTCATGCTGGTATGAATCGTGTGGCAGCTCTTGTTACGAAATTCAAAAAATCCGTCACGACTCGAAAGACCAAAACTCCTGCAGAGATAAGAGCAGAAGCCTTGGAAGCATGGATCGAATATGGATGAAGCTTACAATCGACAAAGGCTTACAAATTGATCTTTCTTGGATCACTTCTGATGATCCCACAGCTATTTTGCATGTTAGTCCCTTAGTAATGTTGGCCTGCGTTGCCGTGAGATAGGAGTCGACTTTCATCAGTCGATCGCGTGCTCAAAGTACCTTTTTACGTGACAGGCGGGGTCGAAGCATCGCACCTCCTTATCTTCCGACTAACATCACTTTACAAAGTTATTGCGACATCTACAACGACTCCTGTTCGCTACATTGGATACTCAACATCAATGTTGTCTTCGCACATGCTCATATCTGTAGCCCCAATGGAATTCTTCACTGCGGGTCCCTGGCTTGCGTGCTACATTGCGCAAAGGATGAGCTACCATAAACCCGTACCTCACCCTGGGTGAATGCTTTGTTGTGGTCGAATATACCACTGGACAAAGTCAATCATGGATGTCAAGACAGTCGCGATCATAGGCGCCGGTGTCAGTGGTGTGTCCTCGGCCATACACCTTAGGAATGCTGGGTTGGAAGTCACGGTCTTTGAACGAGGAGATGTTGCTGGGGGCGTATGGTATGTTTCATCCCTTTACACCAATACATCGTTGCTCTGCATCAACTTGCTGTCTGTATTGCGTGTACATAGAGGAAGCTGATGATTGGGAAGGGTCTTCGATTCTCGCACAGCTGTTGAACCCGCTTACCCAGCGACCGTGCCTTCTACAGGAGACTCGCCCGCCTTTGATTCTTTTCTTGAGTACAACAATCGAAAGACTCGGAGAGATAGTCCTGTAGGTCAAGACTCGCCAGACCCGAAGACAAAGATCGATAAAGATGATTTGGAGATCCTGCATGCACCACCAGGGTATTGCTCACCTTTATTTCTTTTCTCTGAACGGCTTATGTCGTCCTCCAGTTACACTCAGGGACATGACTGACTGAATTTAACAGANCCATGCTACGAAGGTCTTTGCAACAACGTCTCGACTCCCGAGATGGAGCTTCGCACTCACGCTTGGAAACCGAACACTCCTGATTTTGTACCTCACAGTGTGTTGGCAACATATATCCAGGATACCGCTACTGCCAACAACATACTCTCTACCATATCTTTTCGCACAAGAGTAACCAGAGTGGAAAAGAGAGGGAAGAATTGGGAGGTCAACACTTCAAAGTTGGTCGAGAAGAATGAAGAAACGGAAATCAAGAACACAGTACAGGTATGCGTCGTTTGCAGCAAGACAAAAGAAAGAAGTGCTGATGGAGAACGACAGCTTTTTGATGCGGTTGTGGTGGCAAGTGGACACTACCATGCTCCAAATATCCCTGATTACCCCAATCTCGATGCCTGGAAAACTGCTTTTCCAGCACAAATCACGCATTCGAAATCTTACCGCTCACCTATCCCCTTTGCAGGGAAGAATGTTCTGGTCATTGGGGCCGGTGTATCGAGTACAGATATCTGTCGCGAGTTGGGTGGTGTTGCGAACAAAGTATGGCAGTCGAGTCGAGGAGGCGAGTATGATCTGCTACCTACCATGTTACCAGACAACTGCACTCGCATCGGATCAATTGCCGAGTTCTCTCCTCTAACTACGCAAAAGCTAGCAGACGATGATAAACTTCCTGGCAGTGTCGTTTTATCTTCTGGTAACACTGTCGAGAACATTCATCATGTCATTCTGGCAACAGGTCACCATATGTCTTACCCTTTCCTTCGCCACCTCCACGCCGATGTATTGCATCCTCATCAAGCGTTAGAGACAACACTAGTCACTACAGGACAAGTGACCCATAATCTGCACAAAGACATCTTCTACATCCCCGACCCCACACTGGCATTTATTGGTGTGCCTTACCACGTAGCAACCTTCTCGCTTTTCGAGTTCCAAGCCATGGCAGTGGCTGCTGTTTTCTCTGGCACAGCTACGCTGCCAGGAGAGAAGCAGATGAGAAATGAATACATTGAGAGAATACAACATAAAGGGGTAGGGAGGAGATTGCATTCGTTAAAGGACGATGAGGGAGAGATTTTGTATGCGAGGGAGATGATCGAGATTGCGAATCAAGGAAGGAGAGAAGAAGATAGAGTGGAAGGCCACACGAAAGAGTGGTTTGAGGCGTATGCGAGGAGATTGGTGAGGATGAAGGAGAGAAGAGGCTCAGGTTCAACGCGGACAGAGCTTGTCAAATCTGTGGAAACATAGACGGATAGAATTGATACGTGGTTTAGAGGCTAATCTAACATCTGTAGGTGATGACTACACTCGAGATCACCGGAATTACTCTAGGAGCTTTGCGACAGCACGGTAATCTGTCTTGCCGAATGGAGACACTGGCATTGTCTCGACAAGGCGTATCACCTTCGGCACATTCTGTGGCGCTAGTATAGTTTCTGCTGTTTCTTTGATCTGCTCTTCGCTCAGATCTTGCCCACCAGATACAGCACACCCCAAAACATCTCCAATCACAACAACAGCAACACGAACTTTTGCCGAAATGGCCTCTTGTAGTCTCGCTTGTATATCGTTGAGATCCATACGGTATCCACCCAGCTTTATCTGTCTGTCGGTTCGGCCTATGAATGCGATTTGTCCGTCGATTGTCCAGTAGCCCCAGTCGCCGGTTTTGTACATGGTGCCACTGTCACTGGGCCAGATTGTATCGGGAACGAATCGGTGCTTTGTTTCATTTTCGAGTCCGATGTAGCCTCGAGATACTTGTACTCCTGCGATATGAATCTCGCCGGCAACGAGGGGAGGTGCTAATGCCCCCTGCTTGTCGAGTATGTAGACACGCGTCGACAAGAATGGCTTCCCGATGGTGACTGGTTGTCCTGGCTTGACTTCCTGAGCAGTAGCTACCATGTGGCATTCGGTTGGACCGTAGATGTTGTATGTGATAGCTTGTCCCGCTGACCATCTATCCGCAGTATGTTGAGGTAAGACCTCAGAAGCCAAATATACATACTTGAGATTCGGATAGTCCTCTGGATTCAATTCCGCAGCGAGCGAAGGAGTAGTAAGTAGTGAGTCCGCCAGTCGGAGATGGCCAAAAGGATCCATGGTATCTTTGAGAAGTAAGATGCCGCCATAGCAAAGAGCTGAAAACACCTCTAGCAAAGCGCCATCGAAGGGGGTGCTAGTGTCTGGGCTACACGGTGGCCCGGCTCAACATGTAGACGAGCAATAGGATCTCTGAGTACAGCAACAACACCTGAATGAGTACATCTTATGGCTTTAGGTTGACCGGTGGTTCCAGATGAGAAGCAGATGTAGGCTCCTGACCACGGTTTTGGCTGTCTTGTCGATGGCTCATCATCATTATTGTCTTGATTTCTGGCATCTTTCAGGAGGGTTTCGACACATAACCCCAATTTACAACCATCGGGGGTCAATATTCGCATGTCTTCATGAGGAAGTAGAAATGCCTGGGAATCAGCTATTGAGTAATGATGCGATCGGAGCTGATGAGGCAAATCGACGCCTTGAGGCGAAAAGACACAGTCCGCCCAAAGAACCGCAAACATCGCAACAACCCAGTTGACAGATCCATCTGCATGGATCAAAATAACGCTTCCGGGCTCCAGCAGCTCCCGAAGTCGGCGTCCTACAGTCTGGATCATATTCGCGAGACTTTTGTAACTGATTTGCTGACCACCAATTTGTAAGGCTGCCTCGTCACCCCTCTCTAAAGCTTGTTTCTGGAACATAGAGATTATATCGTCATGAATACCTTGCAAGGATGTCTCTGTTGCAAAACAGTTCCCCCATTCCAAGAGGCTCTTTCTTTGAGAGATGGGCAGCATGTTCTTCAGACAGTCGCCAACATTCAATGTTCCTGAGGCAAGACTGATCAATGCCGTCTCGAAGAGATCCGTCATGACTTTCATTTCTGGGGGAGTTCGCCACTCGCTGTTGAAGGTGAATCGTACTCTACCGGTTGGTGATACATAGAGAGTTGGCAACGTCTCCTTGGGGGATGTCACTTCGGTTTGATGGCCAGCGGAGTAGCAAGGAATGTGCGGCTGAAAGGCACTGGATACCACGACAAGTCCTCCCAAGGAAAAGCCATCGGAAGGGTCAGAGTAAGACATATTCTCCAACTCCAGCACCTTGTGAAATACTTGCTCTAACAAGTCATGAGCAGTATCGTCTTCGTTGACATCCATGGTGAGGATCACGGATGTCGCAAAACTACCCACTGCCTCTTCGATATCCTTGATTGGCAGTGATCGTCGAGAACTGACTGACATGATATGGACTGTTGTTATGCCTTGAAGTTTTCAGAGGACTAATCCCAACGCTGCTCGGACAAGGATCTCAAAAGTGAATCCCGTACGCGACTGGAGCATTTTCAGGTCTTCTGGATATAATATATCGATAGACCTCATGCGTACTCGAGAAGAGTTCCGATCTCCCAAAGCTCGTAGTAGCGGTTGATTTCTTGCACCTCCGTGCACTTCGTGTGTCGCCCAAAAGGCTTTGGCGGCAGCTTCGCGGGTTGCGTGATAGTCTTTTAGGCCTTGTGTCACATTGAAGGTGCAATCGTTGACATCCACAGTCGACGTGGATTGTTCCAGAAACGCGTCAACTTGACGCAGCAAGATACCGATAGATACACCATCCATCAAGGCAAGATGATAGAACCAATGCACAACACTCAGCATCCGCTTGCTTGATGTCTTGCGAGGCGTCACGACTCGAAATATGGGCTCGGAAGATGCCTCCACACTCCATACTGAGAACAAATCCTCGAGGTCTGCTTCTTCCAAGCGCTCGACTTGTTGTTCTGTCCAATTGAGCTGAAACAACTCCTTCAATGTTGCCTTGACCAGCAGAGGATTGGTCTCTACATCAAACTTTAGTCTGAAAACCTGGTAGCTTGACATTGCTCTCGCAAAGGCACTCTTGAGCTGCGGCAGCATGTCAGTGTAGCAATATTGAGTGACATGCTGAATCGCTGCTCCTGGAACATGGTGCGTATAGACAGCCACACCCGCTTGAATGAACGTGAGAGGGAGACCAGTGGTCGTTATGATCTTTGGAATGCGCTGAATGGGGTCAAGCGTTTGGTGGTCGTTGTGACTCTGGTTTGGGGCGTCTGATTTAAAGTTCTTGGTCTGTGATGGCTGGGAGGATTCGTCGGAAGCCAATTCTCTCAGCTGCGTTTTGTCGAGAAGAGTTCTAAGATGTTTTGCTCGTAGGATCGTACCAGCGCTAACATGAGGATAGCCTGAGCCTTTGATCAGGTTGCTGAATCTGATGGCAAGTAGAGAGTCACCGCCATTACGAATAAAGGTTTCTTTGAGCTTGATACGCTTGGGCTCTTGATGCAGCAATGCGCACAAGCACTTTAGCAGACCTTCGTCGATATCCAGCTGTTGTTCCATAGTTGCTTGACTTCAACCAAATGCCCGGCAAATGAGTTTTGTAGACGACGAAGTAATCTAGAGTCTCTGAGGTGAACAATTATGCCATGCGGAAGAGCTTGGCCTTATACTTTGAGTAGTCGGCAGGACTTGCATGCTGTCTTAGCATCACACATCATCTACATGATGCTTGGTGTAATGTGACGAGCAGAGAAACAAGGCACACCATGCATACGGGACAGAGATCCGATAATGTTGAGATGCCCGAGTTTTGTCGCCAGTCGAGGCAGATCTCGTCAAAATCCGTGTGCCTGGGTGAATCGTATCCTGTTCCGTCACGCTACGTATGCAGGCAGCTCCTATCCAGATTACAACACAGGATGGGTATCAAGCTTTCCGGATGGCTCGCCGATCAGTTGGCTTATTCTCTCCGCTCCATTTTCTTTATACGATTGTAGACAGGAAGAAGGGTCGTGTAAGTCTTCCCATGTAGTTGTGAATCTGGCCCTCTATCATGTCAGTTCTTCGCACGCGTCCTGTAAGCATACCCTGGTCATTCAAGACTTGAATCATGACCTCTCAAGGCTGGGGGACTCGCAAAAACACCTTAAAGCATGGTTTATGGCGGCCAAGGCGCATGACAATCTGGAGAAAGCGATGAACATAGGCTAGTCATACATCCGATGGATAGCGCGCGGATCCATGCGTCTGCATGTACCAAGGTACAGCGATCGACAGGCATTCCCAGATGAGCGGTCGGCGAGCCACCCACTTTCCATCGGATGCAGACACCCGTAGAAAAGAAGGGGTCGGAAAGCGACGAGAACAAGATTTGTCAGATCTCGAGAAGTTTACGCAACTGGGATCGATTACTGATTTGGAGGTTAGAAGATTAACATGTGTTCTCACGCTTGTCAAGCTCGTAAGATGATCCTGACAAATTAGAGTGTCAAACGCTCTGACAGGTTTATGTCAAAAGAACAAGCTTCGTATCTTGCAAAGGATAGTATACTGATCGCTACGCAGGCAACTTGGCCTCCAGTGATATGGAAAACACATTTCCATACCATATTTAAGGTGCGACTAGCGGCCGAATCCGCTTACATAATCAATATAACTCCTATCTCAACTCCATCCCATCTTGAATCACATGTCGCACCAAACAAGATCAATAATAGCAATACATCAAGACCAATGGCCAACAACAATCCATGGCTCTATGCGGGCCTAGTCTCCTCATACTCCAGCATCTCGCGCGCGGAAAACAATAAAACACGCATCTGCCTCCCCACTCCCGACCCCTGGGACGAATCTCAAACCCAACCAACCCAAGCCTGCAAAACATTCGCAAAATCTACTGATCCATCTACTACAACACTCACCTCAACACCCATCAACGAAGCAACACAAAACTCCCTCATGGTATTCCGCTACAACGAAAGAATATACGCGATCGAATCGGCATGTCCGCATCAAGGATACCCACTTACCAAGGCTTCATTATCGGATATCGAGGATTTTGGCATTGTGCTGAGTACGGGGATCACATGTCCGAAGCATGGGTGGACGTTTGATTTGCACACGGGAGAGGCGGATGTGAGTCGGTATAAGTTGGGTTTGTACGAGGTAGACTTGAGGGAGGGTGAGAATGGGGAGGAGGGTGTTTGGGTCAGAAAAAAGGAGAGGAAGAGAATTGGCTGAGGAGGGTTTGGATATGCTTAGTTTGGGTTGCAAAACCCGCATATGCCTGGTCGAGACAACTTCAGCAGGAAACGAGTTAGTCGGGCGGCCCGGCATTGGCGATGGGTATGTCGTCTTTTTTGATCGATGCATGTCCTCCAGCCCGAAGCCAGCTCTAGCAGTACCGTCTCAATGCGGTATGCAGCTTGGTGAGTCTGCTTGACTAGTCTAGCTATTCTTCTCTTCTTTCACTTGCTCTTTCTTTCTGGAAGACTCTGACTCTCTCGCCATCGAAGATTGCATTGCGGACGGGTTACCAGCATCAGAAGATTCAGGGTTTGTTGTCTTCCTTGTGCCGAGCCACTTATCCTCGGAGCCGACTGGCATCGCTTTTGATACGTCCGGAGAGCAATAGCATTGATGACATTCGTGGAGACATGGGTCCGAGATTTGCTGCCCTAAGGTAAGGGGATGTTCAGTCAGTACCTTCCCAATAACGACGTGTAGGATGCTTGTATGTGGGAAGATCGACAAGCACAGGGGTCCTGTCAAGCAAGTAATTTGCGGCCTTAAGGCTTCTGTGAAGTCGGCGAGACAGTCTGGGAATAATCCTTTGCTGCTCCACCACTGTCCTCTGGATCGGAATTGTCGTACTTACACCATAATTTGAGCCCGTTATGTGGAGGGTAGCCGCAGCCAACACACGTGTGCTTGACTTTGTGTTGATACAATATGGGAACGTGAGTCTTCCACACAAACATATCTGCATGGCCCTTTTCCAAATGGTATTCGAGCTGAAGCCAGGAATTAGCATACTTGACACGACACACTGTAATTTGCCTCCCGCAGAGGTGATGATCATATTATCATACCCATTTCCTGAGTTTATGAGTTCTCCAGAACTGTTCAGACTGAATTTGTTGCTGCCAGTGAGACGCTTTGTATGCCTTCCTGACCATGGCCAAAGCAGGATCTGCACGCTCCTGTTCGCCCCAACTCCTGGCCCGCGCTCGTATTCGCTCGCGATACGCTTCGTCTTCTTTGTACCTCTTCGTTATATATGACCTATGATTTTCAAGCCGTTGTGCACGCATCTCGGGGTCCTCGCTGAGCGGAGAGAGCAGCGGAGGACAGGTGGAAGAGAAGGATCGAATCACATGCACACGAGAAAGTGCTGTTTGGGTTAAAGACCGTGGCCGACACCGTGCGGTCCATTGCATCAGATTGTTCATGCTGTCAGCAAGCAAAACCGTGTTGACTTTGGTTGTGGATTGGACAAACCAACAAGGTTTGATAAATAGGCGAGGGCTGACGTTTGCTGTCGGCACCAAGGCAAGTGACACGTGATGTCGTTGACGTTTGATATCAAGATGCTGCTGCTTGTCTCGGCGACACAGGAGATGCTCCGTCTGGACTGTTGTAATCGGAATTGTGAACGTGAACGCGTGCGCAGATGTTGAAGCACGCGCAGCGGGCCCAGCGGCGTTTCGGCGTCCGAAGCTCCGAGATACACCCGAGCTTCACCATCCAACTTCAATCCATCACATTTCAACACCCCCTCAACCAGAAATGACCAGAAGTAGCTCAAAGCAATCGCCTTCTTCTGCTCTATACCTCGGGGGCCGCAAAAGGGCAAAACTATCGACGCCTGTGTGATTCGAACACACGCTCCCGAAGGAAATGCCTTAGCAGGGCATCGCGTTAACCACTCCGCCAAAGCGCCTTGCCACGGACCCGAACTCTTTCCCAATCGGGAAGGAGCCGGGCGGGTATCCCAAGGTTGGTTGGACCTCGTTACTGGATGTGAGTGAGCAAAAACGCGGGGTATATGTACCTAAAACGAAGGAAGGAGCGACCCACGACTTGGACGTGGAAGGTGCGACCGAGAAAGTCAACTCAAAAACGGAAGGAGCGATCCACGGACTCCAAGAGAAAGGAACAACCCACGTCCTCGAGAATGTAGGAGCCATCAACACTGCTCCATACCTTCGAATACGCAAGGAGCATAATTCCTGTGAGTGTTGTGCGAAGAATAACGACAAGATATGTTGCAAAGAAAATATGGAGCAGAGGAGAAATTTATCTCGGGCCAGATTTTCAGCCAATCCTATTCGAGTACTCATCGGCGAAAACTAGTCTTCCGGCTAATTACTATTGGTTTGAGGTCAATTGGTGACGAATTCCTATGCTCCTCAATCACGCGTTGTATCAAGATGCCTATATTCAGTATATATTGTAAGCAGCACTACTGTGAGTTCAGAGTCTCCCACATACTCCTCAAATGCAGATGACTCTTTTCCATGCCTGCAATATGCCACAAGAACAAATCAAACACGCTAGCCCTCATAAAACCAGGGAACCCTTCATCATCGCCCTCAACACTTGCATCATGCAAATATATCCGCGGATCATTCGGATTTTCACCCTCTTGTGCCTCTATGTCCTCCGCTGATATGAAGATTTGTCGATTTATGTGCATGTGCACATCCTCGTTCCATTTGTTTTGATCCCAGTATTTGACCAACTTGGCTTGGTCCACGGGTCCGGAAAGCGCAGAAGAGTCTTCGAGATAGGTGAAGCGAAACATGGAACGTATGTGTTCAGGTACTTCACTGCCTTGCAATCTCTTCTGAGCAGCTTCCTCAATGGTTACTTTGAAACTTTCCCAAGCCTGGTCATCGCTATAGTTGAGTCGTAGAACCGCAAATCCCCATATCCCAATATCATAGTAAGGCTTCCGCTGGGCTTTTATAGCGAAGTTTTGAATCTTTTGGGATGTAGAGATGTTGGTGGGATACGAGGGAAAATCATTCTGCCCTTTTGTTTCTCTCATGATTTGCTCGAATGCTTTACGCTTCAAAGAGTAGGAAGGCTTGGCAGGCTTGTCTTGTTGTAAATCGTCATGGATGAGTTCTTGGTAGCGGCGACGGACTAGATGGTAGCGATGCAACTGCCTTGTTGCTCTTGCCGCTTCTCTGCGACAACCCTGCTCTTTGTAGCATTGTGATATAGCTTTGAATTCTTCAACACCGTCGGGTCCACCGAGGTCATCCATTTTGCTCCGGAGCTCGGGCGTTTGCCGGTTTCTAAAATTCATGATCTGTTCCAGTGACGGTTTCTGTTCAGGAGGAAAGCCGTGGATGATGATGTTGAGTTCTTCGTCTGTCATAGTCCATACTCCTTTATGCAGACACGTTCGGATCAATCCTGCACGACGACCATCTCTCGGATTTGGTAGCACCAAGGCATCTTCATCTGCTAATGGAAGGCAGAGTTCGGAACCACGGCGCTCAGGCTGTGGGAGAGTCTCTGGTGACTCGATCGATGCAAGTGATATTGTGATGGGTTCCTCGAAGTTTCGTTCCGACATGGTTCGAATGCTTGATAGTTTGAAAAAGTCGTTCGGAAGGAAGGGAGGTTGGGTTGCTATTGCCCGCCTCCCCGGATTGGGACGCCGCATTTTCTGGCGTCACCAAGAATCCTTCATTCATACTAACTACTTTTTCTGAACAAACTCATCAACAATGTGAGAATACTCGCCAGTTGCTACGCTCGTGGAGTAGTAACCAGTGAGCCAGAGTGGTATTCTACCATCGGCTCGAACCTTTTGCCTCAGAGTTGCGCAGAAACATGAATTATGTACGATGGGTATGCTAACAAAAGGCTACAAGGACACGATGACCTACTCCCAATTATTGTCAAACACCTTGCCGTTGACATAGTTGACCATCTCCTTGACCGGCGGTAATCTCTCTCCCTCTCCAAACATCATGCCTTGCTTCATGACTGTCCTGTAATTCTTTCCTGGAGCCACCTTTCCAAGGACATACTCCTGCCTTGTCTCCACACGGTCAGGAACAGGTATCGAACGACCGACAACTGCTTCCATGGCTTGCCATGCAAATGTAATGGCTTCTTTTGCACCAGCTGGCACACCTGCATCATCCAGCATGAAAATCTTGGTCTTTGGGTAGTTCTTCTGAATGTATGCGGTGATGTTTGGGTTGTAAGCACCGCCACCACACATGAATATCTCATCAATGTCTTGTGATGGAGCATAGCGGCGGTAGTGGTCCACGATAGCCTGTGCAGTAATGCGAGTCACAGTGGCCACCACATCATCTTGTGACATTCCCAGCTTCTCAGCCTTCTCGATCAACTCGTGGGCCATGGTGTCTCGGAACACTTCTCTGCCAGTCGTCTTTGGAGGATCAAGCTTGAAGTATTTGAATGTGAGAAATTCGTCTACCAGCTCTTGATTCACGGTTCCGCGCTTGCCCATGGCACCGTCTTTGTCGTACTCTTGCTTACCATTGGTGTAGTGACGTACAACAGCGTCGATGAAGACATTGCCTGGGCCGGTGTCGAAGTCGAAACACTGATCAATACCTCCAGCATTGTCGGGAGGGATGAAGCAGACGTTGGCAATACCACCAATGTTCTGACAAGCGCGAAGCTTCGTAGGGTGGTGTAAAAGGAGGGCATCGAAGAAGGCGATGAGTGGAGCTCCTTGACGACCAGCAGCTTGATCACTGACGCGGAAGTCTGTGACCGTGGTGATGCCTGTTTGTGCAGCGATAAATGTCCCCTCAGCCATTGTCAACGCACTCTTCGTCTGACCTGCCTCAGGCATACTAAGCAGCCAGATCGTCTGCCCATGTGAACCAATCACATCAATACTGTTCATTGCGACATCTTGCTCCTTGCAAAACTCCTTGACCGCATCGGCAAAGGTGTTGCCCAACAAGACATTGACTTCGGACAACTCCTCAGGTGTCGTGCGGTTGTGGTAAATCATGTTCATAACCCTCTTCTTGATCTTCTGCTCCAGTGGGATTTCTCCATACTTGAGAAGTTCAAAGTGCATCGGTGCTTCTGGGCTGGTCTGGCGGAATCTGCATAGCGCGCAGTCGATACCGTCCATACTCGTTCCACTGTTCAGGCCCAGTACGGTCAGATCGAGTGCCGTTGCGTCGCCATTGATGTGTTCGGTGTGGCCGTTCATGGTGGTCGATATGTGATGGTATAACAGATCAAGAAAACGAGGAAGCTTACACCCCAGCTGACGAGCAGGGGCTCCTTCCAATAAATACATCCTCACATGACGTTCCGGCAGCTGACTGCCGACATCTCGGAAGTAGCGAGATGTCATTGCCCACGAGACAGAGGCCATCAGCGGAGAAGGTTACTCGCAAGACCGTAAGAACGCTTCGCGTTTGCATTTAAGCGATTATCCGAATATCAAACCCGTCATCTCCACGACACCGGCAGTACGGTATCTCTGGGGTGCTTAGCAACAACGAACGCCTTCCGGGGCCCCGAACATTTTCTCGACCTCTTTCTCGGCTCCCGGTAACAGGCGTGTGCAGAGATGGGTTTCTAAGCCATACTCCAGACCAACGTACAGCCATCTCGGATGAAGCAGATATAAAAGCTTGGGTGACTGCCCTCGAATGTCGATCATTCACCTCAGCAATTCTCCATTATCCAGTCCATCTACCAGAGCTATGGGTTTTACAACAGCTTGGAAGAGGCTATCGCCTACTCAACTCAACATTGCTATTCAGACATTTGCTTTGATCTCTATCTTCTTCGAAGGCTATGATCAGGGTGTCATGGGTGGTGTCAATGCATCGCCAAACTATGTCAGCGAGGTCAAGATTGGCCAACCTGATGGTACAGTGACGAATACCACCAAGCAGGGCGGTATCGTCAGTATCGTGAGTTGCAATTCATGTCCTGTATTGATATGAGATCCATGAGCTAACCAACCTCAAAAGTACTATCTTGGTGCCATCGTCGGTTGTTTTGTCGGTGGATGGGCCGCCGATCGCATTGGAAGAATCAACGGTCTCTTCTTCGCTGCCATATTTGCTCTCGTTGGAGGTGCCCTGCAAGCTGCCACCCAGAGTGCCGATTTCATCCTCGTCGCCCGTGTAGTCACAGGCCTTGGAACAGGAGGTAAGCCCTCCTCCCTTTCTTCACTAGTGACAATACCTTTCTGACCACCTAAACCATCACACNNAGCCCTCACAGGCATCACCCCCGTCCTAGTCTCCGAAGTCTCGAGCGCAGAACATCGCGGCGGCTTCCTTGGCTACGTCTTCATCGCCAACTACCTCGGTATCTCCGTCGCCTACTGGCTCGACTTTGGCCTCTCCTTTGTCAACAATGGATACTCTGCTGTACGCTGGCGCTTTCTTCTCGGTTTCCAATGTTTGCCTGCCCTGCTCCTTCTCGCAGGCATCAAGATGCTGCCAGATTCTCCTCGCTACCTGGCTTCTGTGGGTAGAAACGCCGAAGCCCGCGAAGTGCTTGAGCGTGTGCGTGGATCTGCAGACCCTGAAGCTGTGGAAAAGGAGTTCAATGAGATTGTCGCTATGGCCGAGGATATCAAGCCCGCTTCTCCGATTGAGTTTATCAAGATTATGTGTGGGCTTGACAAGGACAAGGGTGCTCATTTGGGTCGCAGAGCTTGGCTGTGCATCTGGCTGCAGATCATGGCGAGTTGGACTGGTATCACGGCTGTCACTGCTTATAGTCCAGTCTTGCTGCGACAGGCCGGGTACAGTCAGATCAAGCAGAACGGACTTGCCGGAGGCNNCCTCAACACCATCGGTATCATCGGCACCATCATCTCTGCACAAATCGTCGACAGATTCGGCAGACGCAAGTGTTTGATGTGGGGAGCTGCTGGCCTATTCGCTGTAAACTTGATCGTAAGTTTTTGCCCCTTCTGACACTTGCTGTCCTTAAAACTGACCTTTCTCATANNGGCTGCCTCACTCTACGAAGCTTCCCGTCACGATCCCTCCAAGGCAGCCAGCATCGCCCCTGCCGCAGTAACCATGCTATTTCTCTTCAATCTCGTCTACGCATCTACCTGGGGCACAGTCGCCTTCCTTATCCCGACAGAGATCTTCCCAAGCAGAATGCGAGCACAAGGTAACGGTTTTGGAATCACTGGCTGGGCCATCGGTGTCGGCTGGACCGTTCTCGTCAACCCAATCATGTTTGAGAACATCCAGGTATGGCTCAGAGTCCATTCTGCTTCGCTTCATCAGTTACTGACACGANNTATACAGAGTCGAACATACTTCCTGTTTGCCGGCCTGAACTTCATCTGGATCGGTATCGTTTACCTAATCTATCCCGAGACCTCAAATCGCTCGCTTGAGTCCATCGAAGCCATGTTCACAACCTCACCCTTCTACTGGCAGATGGAGAAAGCATACGCCGAGAACAAAGACATGTTTGCTACCGGCAAGCATGAAATGGAAGGAGATAGACTGTCAAAAGAGAAGGAGCTGGAATGTTCGCACGATGAATTGCCACATGTATGAAAAGGCGGCTGACGGAAGCAGAGTATTGGAAATTTGTTGTGTTGATACTGTAAGAGTAGAGTTGTCCTCCAGCAGGCACTCAAATGTTATGAACAGCTTCAGTTGAAATCAAACGCCCAAGACCAGTTTTCGAATAGCTCTGCTGGAAAGTGTATCTGTGGCGAGTCTTCAGAGATGGCGAGTCGCTGCTGCGTGTGCAGACCGGGAGATGTCAATTCATGACTGGCTTGATGCGTCCAAGGCGTCAATCCCGCAACAGCACTATTCGCATCCACCGACCGTTGTATCTTCATAAATTCGTCAATCCTAGAAACTTGAGCTCGCAACTTGTCGCTCGTCCCTGCGGGACAATACAGATCGACTTCCAGATTGGCAAGCAGGTTTGCAAGATCCAGAAGCACTGACCGCACACGTCGATACGAAGATTCAGTGAGACCGTTCTCGAAGGCTGAGCCCATGATACTTCCAATACCCGCTAGGTGGTGAAGGAGAGGGGAGCTGATCGCGCGAAGGTAGGCAACAGGAACACTGGCAAACCCGTTGATGACTTCGCTCGCGATCTGACACTTTTGATCTACAGTAGAGTTCTCAGTGGTGAACAGGACCATGCGGACTAGCTGCAACGAGGCAGCGATGTTTGCGGCTTGGAATCCAAAGAGATCTCTCTCGAGCCTACCCGTCAAGGGTTGTGTTGTTTTGAAAACAGGCGGCAGTTGTTCGTAGAGGTTCATGATTTTGGTAAGGACGGATGTCTGCCGGGGGCTGCCTTGGTCAATATAGCCCAGGACAGAGGGTGTGCGCTGTACTGGATTTCGAAGATGGCCGAGCCGGTCGACTGCGTGCTCGAGTATCCGGTAGAGATCCGTGACAAAGTTCCATCCTTTCACCCAACTAGGAGCATTGTGCATGTTGCCTGTATTTATGGGATTCGCGTCGCTGAAATATTCGTCGTCGCACTCGGCCGGGTAGCAGACATTGAAACAAGCTTCTCTGCTTCGGGCGAAGCCACCCCAAATGATGGAAGAGAAGACATCCAGAGTGTACATAGACCAGAAGAGCCTTCTTCGTTCTTCGACTTCAACATGACCGATACCGGAAGGCCAATTGCTTTCATTCTGCAGCATGCCTACAGCGATAAAGCTCTGGTAAAGACCGATATAGTAGTTCATCCGGGGAGTATCTCCATACTGTATAGAAGCGATGGCAAGTAGAGCATAAGCTCGCATGTAGTCAAAATCTTGCGATAATGGGGCATCGTGAGGAATAGCTTCTTTAGCAGCTCGGAATAGCTCTTCAGAGGATGGACTCTGCAACGATGCTGCGTCCCATTTGCCTGTATATAAAGCACCGTCACGGACACGAGCCGATGAAAGAGCACACATTGCCAGAACTGAAGCAAAAAGAGGTCGACTTGTGGCGTACTCTCCACGCGAGACTCTTCGTAACAATGTAGGGCGGTGGAAGTAAGGGAAAACCGGATATACGACCTCGAAGTATATCTCAGTGAGATCCATGACAATCGCTTGTGGAGGCATCATTCTCGGCTTCCACGTGAAGGCCTCGGGGGCAGTCTCTTGATCAGCAGGAGATATCTGAGTCTGTACTTGTTGACGGTTGGAAATCGTCTCTTGTACGTCGCTTCTCGATTGGCTTGTTGCCGACCTGGCTGATCTCGGCTTGGGGCCTCGCCGGGCCATAGGGCGGAGGGAAGTGCAAGCCTCGCCATAATCAACACAATTCTGACACTGCCCTTGCTCTCCGTCAGCAGGTCGGCATTTGACACTACGAGCGCTGCACTGATCACATGCACGTCGATTGCGTCGTAGTTTGCGTGGCCTTTGGGAACTTTCAGTCTGGCTCATGACAAACAGTGGTCAAGCTGTGCATCATGTTGTCGACGGGTGGTAGAATTGAGCTTGGACGCCGAGGGACATCTTGGCATGATGTGCGTCATCATGATCGCAGAGTGAGTCAGATCATGTCGTAAGAAAAATGATGGGCAAGATCATGATCTGACTCACTCTGCGATCATGATGACGCACATCATGCCAAGCAGCCCCCTATTCCAATGCGTGGTTCATGCTACCACTTCGGACATGTTAATACCACTGTAATCGATCAGATAGCTGTCGATATCGTNTCTGCCCACATATCAGTATTATTGTATTGATACATCATATGTGATACTCACCCAATTCAGCAGATCAGGATTATCGAATATGCTCTCTAGGGATGTGATGTCCATCATGTCGTAAGTAGCATCTTGAAGTGCTGTCACATCTTGTTGCGGGACAAGATTTTCCTGTATCGTAATAGTTGAGTTTCGGTCATCTTCTTGTGGGTTGTGACTTTCAGACACCAAAATTGATGGATGTTCGCCATCTAATCTTGCGAGCATACAACCCAGAACACGACTCGCGCGAACCGCGTCACGGTATGCAGGCTTCTTGCTGGACCAGACATGTCGGGCCTTCTGTAACGCTTCGATTTTGCGTAACCTCACCTCGCGACTTCACAAAAGTTTAGTGAAATATACAAGAGCCAATCGTGGAGATCATGCATACCTTTGAGATCTTGATTCGTTCAGATCCAAACAAACTATCATGGCTGCCGCGAACTGTTCGTGAAGGGTGATGTTGGTGAACATCCACTTGCTCTGGTACAGACGTCCCTGTGGCTGCAGAGCTTCAAAGTAGTCGTTTTGTAGGTCGAGCTGTCGGAGTGCAGATCTCACACAGATCGCTCTCGATCTTTCGAACGCAGGATCATCCTTTTTGCAACTCAAGTATGGTCTGTGTAGGATACAGAACGCCTTGAGGTACTGGAGCTCGAGCATGAAACGCTGCATGATCAGGTAGTCCTGATCCACGAAACTAGTCTCCGCGATGGTACGGATACGTAAGGATGGTGGAACGTTTTGATGGCTTCTTTCAAGACTCTCGTGGAGAATGTTGGTCTCCTCGACGTCATGTCTTCGATTTGACAACGCATGTCGAATAACCGGACGGATAAGACGTACAGCTTCGGCTTTGGAGATGAAGAACAGCATAGGGATGTGAGTCGTATCAGAGCGCGGTGGTGGCAGGACAGTAGTGTTCTCGTCTAAATCTTCGTCCAACAGGTTGGCAGGAAATCGGCAGTCGCATTCGTCGACGTTGATCATCGCAGGTATACCTTGATGAGCTGACATGCTGATATCGAATATCTCAATGTAGTGCCACGCGCGGCGACGCATCTCGCTTTCGAACGGGGATAGCCTTGCTGACAAATGTGTGGGATCACGGTGATAGCCCATCTTTTGTGCAAGTCTTGTGGCCATAGTGAGGATGGGCCATGGTTTGATTTCCGGATCCGCGTGGAGGGCATAGACGCAATGGAAATGGCATAGCAAAGCTTCGACAGAATATGGCTGAGCTTTGAGATATTGCCCGGCGACGAGGCACCTTGCAGCCATCCTTAACGAGCCGGCGGTCTTCGTGTTGCACGGTTCGAAAGGCGCAGTTTGACCCCTTGCAATAGCAAGTTTTCCTGCCATGAACATGATGGAGAATAGAATACTCAACCAACAGAAGGTCGTTGACGTGGGGTCCTTCCAGAAAGCTTCATATTCTCTCCGAAACCTGGCACTGTGTATAAAAGTCAAAGTCAAGAAAGACTCTTTGAAGTAAGATGCAACAAGACTGTCGACTCTGTGGCGCTCGGGAAGTGCTGCACGGACTTGGTCGATGGTCAGGAGCTCTTCTTGGCCAAACAAGGGATCTGCTTTGAGTGATGATGGTGTTGGTTGTGCTGGTTCAGATGGGTCGTCATTCAAATCCGAATCCATGACTGAGCGAATCTCATGGATGCTTTCTAGAATGGAAGCCCAGTGAGTTCCTCCAATATAGTTGACCTGAGTTCCCTGTTGGCTCAGATGGCCACCGGCAGAGACTTCGGAATACGCAGGAGTGTCTATCTGAGGAGAGATGGAAGAACTCGGAGGCGTAACAACAAAATTGCTCATTGGTGCAGTATGCATCAAACCGTTGACCATATCCTCGAGTCTCTGTAAACGACTTGCAGCAGCATCGCTATTGACTGAGCGAGGTTTCGGCTTTTGCTTGACGGCCACCGAGGTGTACTCGCAAGTCGAAGACTCTCCTCTCTTGATACAGGAACTGCATGGTCGTTGGCGATCACATTTCAACTTTCTGTCGCGACACGTCGAGCAAGACAGAGGGCGGCGGTTTCGTTTCGCGACGCGGGTATTGTTAACACTGGACGAGAAGACAGAAGTGAAGTTTGTCAGATCCGACATGACTTTGTCTGTCACAACCAGGACTGTATGCGGACCTCGAGATATGACTCGTTGACTAGTATTATGATGTTGTACAAGACTCGAATGGATGATGTACCCGGAGGAAGGAGTGTCGGAGTTAGCTCCTTCCATTTTGGGCCAGCACGTGGACCCTGAGACTGCTCACGCCAAGAAAATTGCGGGCAAAGGGCGGAGGTGACGGAAGTCGAATGAAGCTTTTGGTCTGCGAAAGGAAATTGGCATGTGATGATTGACCTCGACGAGGCAGCCAGGGAGGGCTTCTTTCGCTTTTAGTAATGTTTCAATACAATCGACTTTGGTCAAGAGACTCTCTGATCCTCCTTCGCGTGTGCCAGTGAGATTGAACCGCATCCGACGTGAGAGCGTCGTCAGCATCGGGTAAACACGAACAGCATCACCAAAAACATAGCTTCAAGGTTCGAGGCAGCCACATGTCCCCATGAACCGCCCGAATCCATTTGCGTCCAACAGCTTCTTCAAGCCAGCGTCTTCGCTCCTTGGGTCCTCGAACAGCTTCACTAAAGCATCGCGTCAGAGAAGTCTGTCATTGGACTCGGATACCGAAGCCCAGCGCCATACCCCTGAGCCACCATCTTTATCAGCTATCATGAACGAATCACCTACTGCGTCAACCTCTGGAGCACAGCAAATGATAGCAAGCCCTACGATCCCTCTCGTCGATATGTCACGCTCTCCGTCACCGTTCGCAAAGGCCAAAAGTGCCGCACAATTTGAAGATGACGAGGACTACGAGATGCGATCCATGTCTCAAACCAGACACTTGGTCGCAAAGGACAATGCTGCTAGAGAACAAAGCAGCACACAACGCATCTTCCAAAAAGGTGGAATTGGTCAATTCTTGTTCGGCACTGCTGTGGGCTGGCGCGTCTACTTGGCCTTGTTGGTCNNTTTTTGGGTCGGAGGCTGTCAATTTGGTACGCTGCTCATGAACAGATTCATCCTCTGGACGGGTACATACAAGTTCCCTTACCCACTCACCCTCACGCTCTTGCAACTCTGCATAACGCATGTGTTTTTGCTTGGCTTTGCTGCTCTGACCAGAGGACTTGCTTCGCCCCTAAGAAGCATCGGGCTGGGTGCCATTGTCGCTCCTTCTCAAGCATACAACAGGGGCAACAGACCCACACGATATACCGGAGGCTTGAAAACCAAGTCTGTATTCAGCAACATCTCGCACTGGTTCCTTCACGGCTCTGGCGGCATCGCAGGAGGTGGTCTATTCGAATATCAGCGCAACACAGCCAAGCATGTCTTTCCTGTCGCCATCGTCTTTCTCGCCAAGACCGTCTTATCCAACATTTCCTTTGCATACGCCGTCATGCCCATGTACATGGTTTCGAGAATCGCCGTCATTCCTTTGACTTTGATCTTCACTGCCATCTTGCTTCGCCAACAAAATACGATCCAGACCATGTCAGCAGCCATGATCGCCACACTAAATCTACTCATGACCAGTATACGGCCCGGAGAGCGCGACCCCTGGGAGTCAGTAGTCGCCGGTATTTCCAGCTCAATTTTCGTCGCTCTATACCCCATCCTTCTTCTGCGCGGTTATCGCCGACTAGTCTCTGATCTAATACCACAAGGCGATCGACTAAGCGCTGCAGACTCAAACTCTGCATCCATCAACACAGGCACCAAAGAAGAAACACGCGCATACTGGAGAACCCTCCACTACACCTCTTGCCTCACAATAACCCTCCTCATCCCCTTCGTCCTCCTCTCGGGCGAACTCCAACAGATTAACCGCAATTGCTATTTCTTGGACGTACCTTGGTTTTGGTTCCTCATGTCTTGCGCAGGTCTAGGTGGCTTTGGAGTCTTTTCGTCGTTTTTGCTGTTGGTAAAGGCGACGTCGCCGGTGTCTGCGAATTTTGTTTCGGTGCCCAGGAGTGTGTTTCAGATTGTCGTGTTGAGTAAATTCAAAATGCCGGCGCACAGTTGGGTTGGTGCTGGGTTGTGTGTGCTTAGTTGTGCGTGGTATTGTGTTGCTAGGATTAGGGATGGGAGGGGTAGAGGTGGGTTTGGTGTTTGAATTGATTGATGAGTAGTACAGCTAATACATGTTCTGGTTGCCAATTTTCGTAGGGCAGAAGAACCGTTGCTTCACAAGAATCGAGACCTGACCATGTATGCGTTTTTTGTCGAATCTGCGAGACCCAAGCACCACACCAGTTGGTTTTCGCATCTCGATGCTTGTGTGTGAGACTCAGAGACTGAGCTGTAGTGGGCGCTGTAATTCTTTGGGGTAGACTGACTGACTCTCCTCATTCTCCAGAATCTGTGACTATGTTCCAAGATCCTAGATTGCATCTAAACTGTATCCAGCTTCCTGTGATTGAGCAATGACCGGAACGACGTCCAGCTACTTGCGCTCTGCTTCACAGACTGACAGACATACTACGTTGTCCGTCACCTAAATCTCTCCTTACAAGCGTGCCAAACCATCGCCTATTTCTCAACTTCTCAGCCCTCCTCTCAGGATGCAATTCCTCTCTCGGACCCTTCCACTCCCTCAACTTATCCTTGCCACTAGCATCCTTGCCAATGATGACATCAAAGTCAAACAAGCCACCGTAAGAGCCGATGCAAAAACTTGCTCTCACATGCATACCTCCGTGTTGAGATTTTGCTTGCTCACTGATATATGGACCCATCAAGGCCACGATTCTTGCAGCCATGACACTAGGTTCGTATTTTGAAGCTAGTTCCTCGGCCCACCCTGTAGCTGGTTCGTTGGATGTTGTGACGAGGGCTGTTGTGGAAGGTGAACGTGTGTTGAGCCAATAGTCAAGAATCTCATCATCACGGTGATCGTCTTCCCACAATGTATGCAGCCAGAGTGATAGAATGAGATGGCGTAAGTTGTGGAAATGGCGGAGTGGTGCGAGCATGTATTTTGTAATCGCTGTAGGATTCCAGAGAAGCGGCGCTCCACGATAGCCGCAGAACTTGAGTTCTGTGACTGTATTCGCATGGTATGAGGCCAGTGTATGCAGAAACGGCGGAGCTGGAGGCCATCCATACTCGGCCTCAAAGACTTCATTAGAGCCAACCGCCTCAGGTACCGTTGTGCTAAGACGTATAATCTCATCTGTGTCTTCCTCCTCCAGAGAGCCAAAATCGTCAAAATCGTTGGGATCCTCGTTGATGCCTAAGGATCCAATGTCTCGGCCAGCGAAGCCCCATGAATTGCCGATGGGGCTGTTGACTCCTATCATGACAATTCTTTGCAAAGGTGACTGGCGCAAGGCTCTAATTGTTTCGCGTTTCTCGTCTCGCGGTATACCTCCCTCCATCTTCAGGGTTTCAAGACTTTGCATGCGGGCTGCAAATTCGGATATGAACCTCCTGCGGCTTTCGCGACGATTTGAATCTATGGGATCGTCCGAGTCATCGGTCTTGAATTCTCCACTCCGGCTGTAGACCGTGTCGACTCGAAGATCTTCTAGCGTACGTGCCATCTTGGATATCACGACGTTGATCCTTTGTTGGAGTGCTGATTTCGTGGTGTTTTTGTGCCTGAAGAAGCGATCGGCTGGCCAAGCTAAAGATCGGAGCCTTCGATGTGACTCCAACCAGCTTACGCACATGTCTGCGTCAAATGTAGAATCGGAAGTCAGTCCACACGTATCAAAGAGATAGAGATCTTGCGGCAGCTCGGATTCGGGTATCACTGCATTCCGGAATTGGAAAGCGCGAAGATGAGGGAAGTGTAGCTTGAACATCCTGCTGAACATCGCTTCTAGACTTGCTTTTGACTCGGACGAAGCGCGTTGGTCTGTCCTTCTGAAGAGCACCCAATCTAGGTTCAGCGAGGTGAGAGAAGTCGTGGAATGCTCTAGGATGTGCATGAATGTAGGGTACGGATCTGTATCAGATGAGGCGTAATCTGGATGGTTTCGATCGAGGAGCTGCTTCACACTGTTTGTGGGAGATTTTTCTTCGTCTGACAGTTCTTGCTGAATCGAAGAGATTAGCCCGCCAATGTCAGGGATTTTCTTGTATATCTCTTCGTCAAAGCTATGAGCTTCCTTGAATGAGAGATCGAACTGTTTTCTGGCTGCTTCGATATCTGACTCGTCTGCTTGAGGACTATGGGCTATGATTAGGTTACGGATGAGTGCTTCTTGATGTCTGAAGAGCTCAGTTGAGGTCTTGATCACACCACCACGGCCATCCTGCCTGATTTCAAATGCTCTGTCATTTCGCCAGTCCGGGAATGGGCCTCGAGTGTATACTTCTTGTGAGTCATGTCTTCCAGTGTTGGCTAGCAGTGGTAACCGACGTAACCGAAGGCTCTCTAACGCCCTGAGGTCGAATGTCTGCAGTAGTCTTTGCGGGATGCCAGCAATGCTACAATTCTCGAGCCAGAGGTGCCTAATGGTAGAACCTTTTGAATTACCTAGCAGTCCAAGCAGAAGACCACGGGTGAGGTTCCAGTGGCCGAAGATGATCCGTAGTGTGTGTGTGCTAGTGAGATTCTGGCATGCCTTGTCCAATAGCCGAAGTGTCCTCCTGTCATGAGACAGCGTGCGACCTTGGAAGTTGATCCTCGGCAGTTCATAAAAGATAGCAGGCGGTGGTAGATGACAGCGATGTGTCAAAGTGTGGACATGGGAGGCGATCCACGGATTGCTTGCCAAAACCAGGAGTTTGCGAATGATAGGACTATCATCGTGTTCGTCGCTCAGATCAGGCGTTGCAGGGTTTGTTGTGCTGCAGTCTATGAGATCAACGTTGTGCCACAGTAAGGGAGTCGCCTTCTCGTATGACCAGCGACATGCTTGAGCGAAGTTGGCCAAGCTGTGATCATCAAGGTATTGTAAAGTTTCATGTAAAATCTCCTCGGGCAGTCGAGCAAGCAGATTTAGCCTTTCATCCATATTGTCTTTGTTCCCTGATCGGAATGAATTCATGTCTTGTGAGTTCACTGGAGTGTCGTTCTCTGCTGACAATCAGTCTGATGTTTGGTATACCTAGCGGAGACGGGCGCCTCGGCTCGGGGTTACGAAATGACGTACCGGCTTGTAAGTACCAGACGGCGGTGAGAGCGACGAGAAGAGTGATTGAGAGTTGCAAATAGACTGTGTTGTCAGTCGACGCCATCTTGGCTACATGATTCGCGTTCATTGGAAAACAAACACGGCGACGATGAATGTTTGTATAGGGTCACTTGAAGGTGAGTGGTTGGCTGCCGCGTTGAGCTGGTCGAATTAAGGTTCGAGACTTATCGATAAGGGAAGGAGCGGGAAAGTTTTCGGACTTGTCTTTGGCAAGAGCGTCTTTCAAGCAGTGTCTCGCAATCACACATCCACCATAATGGTCAAGCAAGAAATGTCAGACGCGGAAGAAGGAGGTGTCGGCATCCCCTTGATGGAACCTTTGTCGCCATCGACGTCACCCGAGCCCCAGACTCGTCCCTCTGGATCCAAGCGCAAGCGTGAAGACGGAGACGAAGACGAAGCACCAGCTACACAAACCAAGGCCGCAAAGCGCAAGAAGGCCAAGAATGCAAAGAAGGCAAAGCAGCCCAAGGATATTGAGGAAGACGCCCTGGATCTCGAGGCTGGAGTCAACCATGCTATTGCCCACATGGACAGCCAGTTGCTTGCCGACCACGTTGCCCAGCGCACCAAGCGTTTCCACAACGAGTTGAGCGACATGGAGTTGGAGGACATGCACATACCATGTTGGTGAGATCTATGCGACAGCCCAGGACTGTACTGACGGGGGACAGCACACGCCATCGTAGATACCACATCCTGGGACCAACCACGCAACCTGGAGAACCTACCCGCCTTCATCGAGCAATTTAAAGACGAGAGACGAAGCGACAAGCCAGGAAAGACCCTCTCAGACTCGGTCAAGCAAAAGTCAACACCACACACAATCGTCATTGCTGGCTCTGGAATCCGAGCTGCCGAATTGACAAGATCGCTGCGCAAGTTCCAGACCAAGGACTCTTTCATCGCGAAGCTGTTTGCCAAGCACATTAAACTGCAAGATGCTATCAAGATGGTAAAGGAGTCAAAACTTGGTATGGGTGTGGGTACACCTCAGAGACTGATTGATCTGTTCGACGATGGTAAGTTTGAGCATGTTGCAAAGTCTGCGGTGGATGCTAACGATCTCAANGGCGCTCTATCGGCCGGCAGACTTGAGAGAATCATCATTGATGCTTCACATATTGATTCGAAGAAGCGCGGAATTCTTGACATGAAAGATACGGAAAGCCCCTTGATCAAGCTGTTGACAAGACCCAGCTTCAAGGAGAAGTACAATGAGGACAAGATGAAGAAGATTGAGCTCATCTTCTACTGAGGAAAGAAGGTCCTGTTTGTCATGTTTAGCAGCTTTGTCTATACTGTTTTTGATACCCATGCTACTATCACATCAAAGTGTCATTACATTGACATGCATCACCTGAAGAAGTGGCTCGTGTGGATCATCTCTCTTCTTCGTGCGAAGAGCAGGTTTTGAACATTTATTTGCTGCCTTAAGAGAGACAGTCTGGAAGTCTCGGAAGCCAGAGCCTCCTGAGAAAAGGTGGCAATGCTGTTCGTCGCACTGCCTCCAGAACCGTCCAATTCGCGCCTTGATAACGCCGTTTCCCGTTCGTAACCGTCTTTTTGGTGCCTCGATCCGTGTCCAAGTAAGGAGATGCACATTGTTGTGAAAGCTCCCTAACGCCGGGTGGGGGTCGCGTTGTATAATCGTCGCATCTTGTATGGCCAAAAAGCCGCTCAAGTAAGAATAACCATGATGACCGAGTCTCCTCTCAGGAANNCCTGCAAGTCCATATTGTCAGCTTCAGTTCGTACATTCAGACCAAGTATAACGACTCACATCTTGCTGATGAAGCGGTCCTTGTTGACACCTCTGCCCTTCTTTCCCTGGCTGTTTCTCGGGAACTCGGTCCACATCTCCTTGACGTTCTCGAGGACCATGTTGCAATGTCTGTCGAATGCTTTTACGCGGGCGAGGAGTTTGCGGTTGTTGCGACACGAAATGACGACCTGGTTGTGGTTGCGGACGGCGGTTTGAAGAATGGAGAGAGGACCAGCAGTAAATTCGTGCTCTTCGACGCGAGCAATTTCGTACTCGCTATCCGGATGTTAGTCGATGCGATGGAGAAGGAATCGGGGAGGGATTTACGTGAGCTCACTGCGCGGCTTCTGCAGAAGGTCGCTGTGAGGAGGTTAGCATTGCAGTTCGCAGAGCGCATAGATACAACAACATCACTCACGTAATCTTTGCTGACTCGGACATGTTTGTGGATGTGTCTGATGGAGCAGATGGAATGTCGCAACGACGCAGGTGCAGGTGCAGGTACGACGGCTTGCGGCGAGCTGGACGCCGGTCTTGGCGCGTCGGGACAGTGACGATTGGTCTTGGTCGCCGCTGCGACTGTCCAACATCTACAAGCTCTCCCATTTGATTGCCATCCATCACCTGAACTCCCCCTCTACACACTACACATCGCCACCCATCATGTCTGAAGGTCGCCTGAAAGCAGACAGAGACTTCACCAAAGAGGTCGACAAGGCCATTCCCGAAGCTCAAGACCTGGCNAAAGGTAGCTCTGTCGTGTGTCCGACACATCTCTCACTCTGGCTGACCCTATTCTAGAGCAACGTACAAGGCGCCATCGAGAAGCTCCTCGCCCTAGAGAAGCAGACCAGACAAGTGCGCTCCACCCGCCGTCCATCGCATCGACCAACGTCACTAACAAGATCNCAGGCGTCGGACCTCCCTTCCACATCCAGACTCGTTGTCTCCATCGTTACGATATGCAAAGAAGCCAAAGACTGGCCGCTGCTGAACGAGCAGGTCCAGCTTCTGTCCAAGAAGCATGGTCAACTCAAACAGGCCATCACCAAGATGGTCCAGGTTTCCATGGAATTCATTGACGACACCCCCAACGTCGACACCAAGCTGTCCCTGATCGAGACTCTCCGCACTGTTACCGAGGGAAAGATCTTTGTCGAAGTCGAGAGAGCCAGAGTCACTCGCATCCTGTCCAACATCAAGAAGAGCCAAGGAGATATCACTGCCGCCACCGACATTCTGTGCGAGCTGCAGGTCGAGACTTTTGGTTCCATGACCCGCCGCGAAAAGACAGAGTTCATCCTGGAGCAAGTTGCACTCTGCATCGAGAAGGGCGATTGGACACAAGCAAGCATTTTGAGCCGCAAGATCAGCACTCGCTACTTTGCCCGTAAGCCCAAGAAGACAGCCGAGCAGTTGGAGAAGGAGCGCAAGGAGCGTGAAGAGGAGGAGAAGAAGCGTGGCCCCGACGACGCACCGGTCGAGCCCGAAGACGATGTCACAGATCTGAAGCTGCGCTATTACGAGCAGCAAATTACCCTGGCCAAGCATGACGACAAGTACCTCGACGCCTGCAAGCACTACCGTCAAGTTCTGGATACCGAGGCCGTCGAGAACAACCCTGAGCAACTAAGAGCTGCTCTGCAACGCATTGTCTTCTTCATCATCCTCGCCCCTTACGACAACGAGCAGTCAGATCTCCTTCACAGAATTCACCGCGACTCTCGCAACTCACAAATCTCACACGACGCCGCCCTCCTAAACCTCTTCACCGTTCCCGAGCTCATGCGCTGGCCCGCTGTCGCCGAGAACTACGGGCCCCATCTGTGCAAGACCGATATCTTTGATGCTACCGAGAACACTGCCGACCCCAAGGCCCACAAGCGCTGGCAGGACCTTCGCAAGCGTGTAATTGAGCACAACGTCAGAGTCATTGCCAAGTACTACACCAGAGTCCACTTCAAGCGTCTGACAGAACTGCTCGACCTTAGCGAGGAAGAGACGGAGAAGTACATCAGTGATCTTGTCGTGAGCAAGACCATCTACGCCAAGATCGACCGTCCCGCCAGGCTCGTCAGCTTCGAGAAGAGGCGCGACGCAGACGAGGTGCTCAACGAGTGGTCAGGCAACATGAAGAGTCTGCTCGGCCATCTCGAAAGAATTGACCATCTCATCACCAAGGAGGAGATGATGGCCAGAATCCAGCCCACCAACAAGGGCGAGAAGGCACTGAGCAAGGTTCGGTAAGCCTTGAGAACTGGCTATGTACTAGTATAATCTCTCTATAGACCCACGAAATGCACCATGATCCATGAGCTTCTATCATCTGAATCTATTAGAATGGCATGTCCATGTCTTCGGCCTTGTCTTCCTTCTTGTTTTCTAGTGAGTCTTCTGGTGGTCCGCCAACGACTTCTCTGATGAAAGCCACCAAGGCCGCGACATATTGCTTTTGACTGCTGGGCAGGAAGTGGCCGCCAGGGTGGTAGACAAGTCTAGCAACACCACCCTCGACACCCCTGCCGGTCACACAAGCATCTACGAGACGCAGACTTCTCGACTCTTCAACCACCGTGTCCACACTACCGATAAAGTGCAACATGGGCGTCTTGATCTTTGGCTCATAGAACGCAGTGTACAACTCATTCGGCGCAGCCCCAAACCCACTGTAGCTCACCGCAAACTTGAGCGGCTCCTGGATCACATCTGTCATGAATCCCGTATCGTTTTCAAAACTCTCGGGGTAACGCATACCACCCTTCAACTGCTGTTTCTCAAACGCTTCTCTGCGGTTTGCTTCCAACAAAGACGCGAGCATGCCCGCACACGCACCGCCCTGAGAAAACCCTATACACCCATCAAAAGGTCCTTGCTCTTTAATCACCGCCGCAATGGTGGAAAATCCTTGTTCCATGCCTTCATAGCGAAAAGGCTCTCCATCGCCTTTTCTCCTCCACCACGCGTACGCCTCTGGTTCTTCATCTCCAGCAGCGCCATCCACATCGTAGCCCGGAATGTCGTTTACAGATAGCTTCAGCGGTGCGGTCGGGTATACCAATTCAACGCCGCCGGGGTAGGAAGGCAAGAAACCGGGTTTTGGGGCGGCGGGGAATGCTTTTTCCAGGTTCTTCTCCAGGGCGCGGGTTTTTGCGTGGAAGAGGGGTCCGTTTTGGGTGTAGCCGTGTATCATGAGGATTTTGAGTTTGCGGTTTGGGGAGGAAGAGGAGGAGGACATGGTTGTGGTGGGTGAGGAGGAGAGGAGTGAGAGGTTGCGGGTTGGAGTTGGGAGGTGGGAGGTTGTGAGGTGGGTGCGGCGGAGAGCTGAGGATGGTAGCATGGCACGTCCTTGGAGCGAGAGTGGTGGTTGCTGCGGTATGGGGATTGATGGTTGTTAGCCGTGCGTTTGTATTTGCTGAGAGCATATCGCCGTCTAAGTCCGTGGGAGTCTATGACATAGGCGGCTCGTGCGGATTCCTTATATAGATACAGATGTTTGTCTCGGAAGATAGAACACCACGTCCTTATCGAAGCAATTCCATATCTGAATCCATCCCCAAGAAACATTCTGTCAGACAAACCAGAAATGCTGCTCTCTAAGCGTATGACGAGCCAAGTCAGCCGCATCAAGGGCACTCGAGGCTTCTCCACCAAGTCTGCTCTTATGGCAACTACCAAAAGAAGAAGAGTACAAGATGAGATACACAGACCGTCACTCTCGGGTTCGTCAGTCGGTCATCTATTCTCCGAGATCAACGCCATGAGACCTGGCATGGAAGCACTCCGAGCAGACGGAATGACGGAAGATCAACGAACGTATGCTCGCAAGACTGCAACGTGGTTGATGGGAGTTCCTGTTGTTCTGGGCACGTTGATTGTGGGCGGGAACTGGATGTTAAAGGACAGAGAGAGTGGTCCTGGATCTAAGGACTGAATAGGATGGTATTGGCTCATACGAAATGGATAGGACGAGAAATGAGGATTGACGTTGTGTGGATATGAAGATTCCGTAGGTACTACCAGTCGTGCATGAACCCCTGGTTAGGCTCAACTTACGCTACAAACAGGTATCCTTGTCGTTGGCGACCCTGACTGCACGTGGACACTTGTTCATCGTGTCAAGATATACAAATTTAGCTGCAAACAGACGAACATTCGAAGGAAGCATGACGTCTTGTTATATACGACGACTGGGCGCCAAGATGAAGCATTACGAGGCGGTATACGAGGCAGGCTGAGTAATGGTTGAGGGGGCAGAGTCGCACTGCAGAGCGGATTCTGTAGGCAGTTCTCGTGAGTTGCAAATAAGCAGCATTGCAGTGGCAGAGATAAGACGATATTGCGATATAGATACCAGAGGAATGATGCAGGCTAGGGGCCAAGGTGAAACCAAGTCGGTGCAGGCTCGGTCGGGGAGCGTTAGGTTGGCAGCGAAACTTGGATTTGGTCACGGTCGTCAGTTCGGCTCTTGCAAGAAGGTTGAAACCCGCATGACAGCCCCCCTAGCCTTCGCTTTTCTCTCAAAGCATATTATTCCCGTCACCTGAGACTTTCCAGACTCTGCTCTGACACATCTTCGGTCACGTCGTGGTGTCGACATTCAGTCGCGACGACGGCCAAAGCACAACCCCCACGGGCAACAACGGCGGGGATTCGAACAATTGTTATGCCATGAGAGTGCAGCAGTAGACTGACCTGTTGGATATGGAACGCCCATACCAATTTTCCGACGATCGAGACGGCGCGCGTTCACCNCTTGTATGTGCGACCCTCGCCTTGTCCCTCGCCACGACTAACGCAGCGCGCAGCAACCAGCAACTGCTCAACCCCGTCACCCAGCCGCCGGGCACGTCTTACAAAACAAATGTGAATCGCAGTAAAACGCGCAAATGGGCAGAGGCCAAGAACTATTCTTACGACGGCGACGACTGGGGCGGTTATGACCCTTACGACGAGTACGGCAGTTACGACGACAAGCAGGACCTTCCCCTGCCTGCTGCCCAACCACGGCGGAACTCGTTCGAGGCTGGCGAGGAAGTCACTGCCTTCTCTTCTGGTCAACAACAGCAGCAGCACCAGCAGCAGCAGCCGCCGCCTCCCCCTGCGCATACAACTCCCACCAAGCCGCAACCTCTCCAGCCAGCGGCGCAACCACAGAATGACTATGGCATACGCCGCGACTTTTCCCAGATCGCTCATGTCCCGCCACCCTTGAAGACGAATACCTCTCCTCAGGCCGTTCGCGAACGNTATCCCTGCCAACTTCCCTGCTAGAAAGAGCAGTCTACAGACCAGCCTGCCATCTTCGCCTGGTCAAACCCCGCAGCAACCCCCTGTTCAAGAGCCTGTCTCGCCAACNNCTTGAGCGCTTCTGCTGCTCCCAACCCTGCCAAAGCTCTGCCTTTCATCCGTCCCGCCGATATCTACAAGCGTATGGAAGAGGAGCGTTTGAGGGAGCAAGAAGCGAAGAACCAGATTGAACAGACTCCTGTCAGACATGAAGAACACCAAGGCTTTGTTGTCGAAAGTCCTGTTCTGGCCAGACCCATTGGCGCAGATTTTGCTCCTGCTGCACCTGCTGAAACAAGCAGTGTAGAAGAGGCAAGTGCCTCACTGGGTTCTGCTCTGCCAGCAGTCAGCCGTGTCGCTTCTGGATTCGGCTCAGATTTCTGGAATGCTTCCGAGTTGTCAAGTACGCTGAATGCTGCCGATAATCTCTCGCCGACCACTACCAATACTGAGCCTATACCACCTGCTGAAATCAACAGTGTTGAGGATGCTTCCCATGAACTGCAAGATGCCGTGAGTCAAGCGTTCGAGCGACGAGACGACTTGTCTGTGCCTCCTACGCCCATCTCTCGCGACAATTCTCAGTCAGGTCGTGGATCCGACACGGCAGGGATCAGTCCCATCATGAGCCGTGTACCGAGTGCGGCGACCGCTGAAGCGAAAGCCCGCCTTGCTGATAACAGAGAGATGGGTCCTATCGCTGAGGAAAGCAGTGTGCCCGCCAGTCCCAGCTCACGTCCGTCATCTTCACAACAGATCATGCCGAAGAGACACTCCCCTGCACACTCTCGCCATGTATCAGCCGAGTCTTTCAGCAACAGCCCTGCCAGAACACCTCAGTTAGAATATACTAAGAGACTCTCGACCCCAATGTCAGCAGAGAGCACGAGCCTGCAAGACGAGCAAGCCGCTTCACCTGTCGATCCGCCTAGCAATCCTCTTCCTGTAGCTTCGGTTCGTGTCATCGCGCCTTCAGCAGACTACACTCGTAGGGAGTCAGATATCGCTGCGGATGCGTCTTCGAGCTCGCCAATCGATACTGCCGAAGCCGCGAAGGCTGCCAGAGCAGATTTCCTGCAAACTCATGAGAGAGTAAGATCCCCGGTAATCGGGAGTCCTAGATCACCCGTGATTGGGAGCCCTATTGATCGCAGTTCTTCTCCGATCTCGCGGCAAGGATCACCTGGGCCTGGAAGAGTCCGTGATCTTGCAGGAAAGTACAATGAACTTCACACTCTCTCGAGGAGCAATTCTGCCATGTCTTTTGGCTCACAGAAGAGCGACAACATGTCCTTGAGGAGGAGTGGCACTTTCGACAGCACCACCAGCGATACTAGTGATGTAACTGGTGACGACAAAGTTGTTGAATCTATCGAACAAGACCCCTCGACTCGTCCAGACCCTACCAGAGGTCCTAGCTTCCGCCCACACTTGCCTGGCGAGTGGGTGTCATATGTAGGAACTCCTGGAACAGAGATACCTGTGGCACAAGAGGCTACCAGGCGTACTGTTGAAGACACAAGAGATGACGTTCAGCCTGATCAGAGCACTCCTAGGCAGGCAACATTCCCCTCCACAGAAGACTTCGATCCCACACCTGCAACAGTGAAACAACCGCTTGCTCACAGGGACATCCAACCCAAAGAGACGAGCCCCGTGGATACACTGAAGAATGCAGGAGAAGCATTAGGCGCCGCGCTATTATCCTCGTTCGGTCAGAACCATGGCACTAGAGACTTTGCTCAGACAGAACCACAATCACAGGAGGAGGATTTGACTGAACCTCGACGATCAGTAGGCGATGTCTACCTTAGACCTTTGATGGTCGACCGTAAGGCTTCATCTATCGCTTCCAGTGTTGATCCCACACCCCCAGCCAAGGACACTCCTGATGGGCTCAACATCTCAGGGGCGTCTGGTTACTTCCCTCCTCCAACACTGCGCATCAACTCAGACGCAATGACTCCAGTATCTGATTATTCGCCTGCTGATATGGAAAGCGACCGTTTGCGCAGAGAGATTGAAAGAAGTCTCACGCCCCAGATACATTCTGAGAATCAGCAGATTCTTGATCAGGATGCTCTGGACGCGCCTGCAACCCTCAGAGAGCTCCAGAAGACTGAAGGCCTCCGAACTGCTGAAACCCAGCCTAGGTCGAATGTGCCTGCAGTTGTTGCTGAGCCTACAGCATCGCAAACAACAAGCCAGGCTGTGGACGCTGGTCTCCTTGGCAAGCGCTTCAGTTTCGAAAGAGACCAGAGCGCGTCTAGCCTGTGGGGTGAGGTCGGCGAGGATGTCAAACGTGCTTCTTACGAGCGACCCAGATCTGGCGTCGGGCTCCATGTAGTGAACACGAATCTGAGCAGCAGCAGTGAGTCGAGTGCCTCGTCTGTCAGGAGTGTCCTAGCCGAAACAATCGAGGAATCTGCTGGACCGCCTCTACAGGCTGCCGTTAGTCTGCCTTCGCCTTTGGCATCGCCGGATATTCCTGCAGTGAACACTAGGGAGGAGACAATGACCGATGCAGACGCTCCTCCTACGGTTGAACTGCCAACCTCGACAGAGGAGCCCATTGGTGAACAACCACTTCCCACAATTCCTATGGAAAGCAAGACTCCCTTGACGCCCACCACGACCACAAACACGGCAGCTCGCATTCCTACTGTCAGAGAGATCATGGCGTTGAAGTCGGTCGATGAGCGTGTCAACACGTACAACTCTTCGCGAGAGCAGATTGCTTCAATGGACACTGGTCTCGGTAGCTGGCTTAGTTCGACTCTTTCTTCTCATCCCGAGCATGCACATGTTGTAGTAGATGCAGCAAAGAAGCCTGCGACGACAAATGCAGTTGGTGGCAGCATTCGTTACAAGCCTCAGCCTGGAAACATCATGAAGATGGCTAGAAAGGGTCTTAGTGGCGTTACGAACAGGGAGCCTTCGGGCTCACACGCAGCTGATCCTAGTCAGACGCCTTCCACTGTCGACCGCCAGAACTCCAATGCAGCTCTTCGCTCACCATCGGCACAGCACGGAGGCGTGGAAAAGATGCAGACCAAGGGCAAGGACTTGTTGCATTCCGCCGGCATGTTTGGTGGTAAGGCCACCGTAGGAGCTAAGGGCCTATTTGCAAGAGCCAAGGGAAAGCTTCGAGAAGGTGGAAGCGAGAAGGTAGATTGATTCTTTCCTTCTGTTCGAAATCCCCCTCACTGATCTTTTTGATGTTCTTCTTGATTCTCTTGCCACATGCATCTTAACGATTCAACGTCATGTTCCTGCGATACTTTCCTTTGGCGGTCGCTTTCCCAGCCGGCGGACTTGTTTCTTTGCGACTTCAGCATAAGCGTTGACCTTGGATGGGAGGCATTAATGATCTGAATGACGGGTTGCATGTACCGTTTCGGCTGCGTAATGTTAACTGAATAATCCCCCAACTCATCACTCATTCCAAAAGACTTGAAAGAACGTATGTTGATAGGTGTATCTTCACAGGCTTCCGGACGCGCCACATCCAGCAATGCCGCGCTTGCCTCGCCCACGTCCCCGAATGTCACGGACGAGCGTGGCAGCAAAGCCAACAACCGTTTCTCCACAGCGTTCGGCCGTTTGGGTGGTGGGTCTTCTGCAGAGCGATCGTTGTCTCAGTCGGCAGCGAGTGCTCTACAGTCACCTATGGAAGGACCACAAGTCGTTGTGTCTCCGACGGTAGAAAAGCCTTCTGCATTAACCATACCACCCAGCAGCGCCGATGCATACATTGCTCCATGGACGGAAGACAAGCCAGGCACGTTGGACAAGGATCTCGAGAATGAAAGATTCAAGAGGATTGGTCTTTTGCCGAGTCCTGCGTTTGGTGGATCGATGAACTCGCGCGAGTCCAATGAAAACATCAAACCCAAGGACGAGAATGACGAGCCGATGAAAAGAACGACGCGCTCGGTTGAGCTGAGCAAGGACCATGGCGACGAAGTTTCGAAGGCAGTCGCTGTTGACGCTCTCCCTGAATCAGCTGCGCCTTCGCATGTGGAGGAAGTCGCATCTGAATCGAAAGTCGATATGCCTGTTTCAGCTCTAGCTTCGCACGATGCTGGACTATCGTCAGACACTCATGATGTTGCACCAGAACGTCCCCGTCCTGTTGAGCACACTTCAGACATCAACAGAAGTCCGACACGCCGTCCTGTCCCTCAACAAGCAGGTCCTGATGTACAGCCATCATCTCGTCGATCTTCGGTTTCCAGCCTAGGTCCTGATGACAACGACTTGGCACAAAACTCGGTGCCTCTCAAGAGAAGCGTGAGCCCATTGCTTGCCGAGGCGACTACGCAATTACCTGTTACTGCCGAGAAGGTCGCCCCTGAGCCTCAGAACATAGATGAAGAGACAAATGACTCCAGACCTCGAATTGTCAGCCGCAGCAGTCTCCCATCACAGCAACGCCCTCAATCACAATCAAGACAGTCGTCCTGGCAATGGAAGAACTCAGGTACATCGTTGGTTGGGCTCAACAAAGGTCAAGGAGATGCAACAGCTTCCCCAGTGAAGGCTAGATCTGTCTCTGGCCAACGTATCGCCTCTGGACCTGTGAGTCGTGCTGAATCGCCAGTCTCTTTCCTTGAGATGGCACCCGCTCAGCAGCAAAGAAGTACAACTGCGCCTGGCGCATACTCGTCAGAGGATGCCAGTGCTGTTCCCGGCGCACGATCAGAGCAGCCAAGCACCGCCCCGCCTCAGAATCTTATTCTCGTGCCAGCTCCCTACGAAGTGGGTCGCATGGCCCCAATCGTGCAGTCGCCTGTCGAGACGCAAGGGCATTGGCAGAATGATCAGTTCAATGCACCGATGGCTCCAGGACCCTTTGTTGGACCAGGCGCGATGTACAGCCAACCTAGTACTATGAGCAGCGAGCAGATAATTTATGAGGAGCCAATCAATCGGACCTTCTCGCCGACAGTCATGGATCCTCGACAGCATGGTAGCGAGTATCAGCTGCCTGGCGTTGGGCCTCCTGACATGAGCCAAAGCTCAATGAGAAGGAGCAGATTCTCTATAAGAAGTCCGGTCCGTCCGGTGCACAGCCCAGTACAGGTCGAACGCATCAATCCAAATGCAGTAGTCTTCGACCATCAACGTACCTTTTCTGGTGACGAAGTCCCATTGACGGCTTCCGCACAGGAAAACAGGGAGAAGCGTCGCTCTGGCCTTTTCAGCGCACTCAGTCGCGGCTCGAGCTTTTCTGGTTTATCTGGCATGAATTCGGATGGAAGACAGAGTCGTGGTAACGACTTCGGCCAAGCTGGCTCGCAGCAGCAAGTCCCGGCACAACCAACTTCCGCGGCACAAAAGGCTAGAGAGATATCAGGTGGTAGCTCGAGAGGCAACACACTCAAGAAGATGCAGCGCGCATCTACTTCTGCTGGTACACCCGGCACACCCGGCACGCCTGATCCCGAGAAGAAGAACAAACGCTTCTCGCGACTTGGTTCGATCTTTGGACGATCCAACTCGGAGGCTAAGAAAACCAACAAATTGGTCAAGGGCATGCCTAAGACTCAACCCGAACGCATCCCAGAAGCTGCTGCAGCGACAAGGACAAAGAACAACATGTCTCCGCAGAACATCCCTCCACCACCTATACCTATGGGTATGGGCTATGGCATGGAGAACGGTATGCAACCTTCACACCAGTGGTCGGAACAGCCTGACCAGCAGAGCGGTGCACTGCCACCTCCAGGTGGATGGTATGCGCCAACCTCGAGAAGAAGTTCTTACCACCAAGACCAGCAGGCCACGCTGCCTCAAATCACACCCACGATGTCCAGAAGAAGCTCCTATCACCAGGAGCAGCAAGGCAATTTGGCCCAAATCCAGCCCACAGTGACAGGCCAATCCTGGCAATCTATGCAACCACCTCAGCAACAGCAGTCGCCAGTAATGCAGCCAACTCGTCGTCTTCACAGTGAAGGATACCGTCACGAGCCTCGCTACAATGCTCCATCTGACTACAGATCGATGTCTCCTAGTCCGTTGCGCGGTCAGCGAGGCAGCCAGCAGTATGATACTACAACTCCTCAGAACTACCAACGCACACCCTCATGGGCTGGAGGGCCACGACAGCAGCCACCGCCACCCGGACGCAACTTCTCTTGGGGCTCTGTGGAGCAACAGCAGCAGCAACAAGGTTACTTCCCTCAACCCGCAATGTCGGGCTCACCTGTCAGACAAAGCCCTGCCGGCTCGCCCTCGCATTCAAGAAACGCATCCTTTGGTAGTATGACCAACATCCAAGCTGCCGCGCCACCACTGTACCGCAACTCCAGCTCGGGGGCTCTGCAACGATCGTCGTCTCCTTCTATGTACGGAACCACGCAACCATACCAAGTCCCCATGCCCGCGCCCACAGAAGCCCAACTCATGTCAAAGACCCAACAGGACTGGTATCCCAGATACAGCGTCGGATCACCAGGACCGCCACAACAAGCCAGCACACCCGGCATGTATACCAGAGGCTACAGCAACAGCAGACCAGGCAGCTCAAACGGCTTCGACGGCATCCCAGAGGTGAAGAATACCAGACCCGGTTCTGCTGGCGGGATGATGATGCCTCCTCCTCCTCCTCTCCAGCAACAATCACCACAAAGTTCTGGGCGAGGCCAACAAAAAAGGTATTATGGCAATGGCGGAGCTATGGGACCTAGACCTTATCCCTCGGGGAATGGTCAGCAGCAGGGTGATTGGCAAGGCATTTATCGTGATGTCTAGTTGCCTCTTGTGATATTGTTCTCTTTCCTTTCTTTTCTTGTTCTATATATTTATCCCATGATGGTTGTGTGGTCTTTTGGAGATGGTTTTCAATGTGGATGGTTATTGGAGATAGGGGGTTCGAGGGGTATATAATGTCGATATCGAGTATAAACTTTTTGCATGTACGTGTGTGTTGTCCAAGTTAGAAAGTGATCGTTGCCGTATATTGTATCATATCTGGAGGTAGAATGTTTTAGGACAGGGACATACCAATTCTCCGGCAGCAGATTGTCTAGATGTCATTGAATCAGTTCTCAGAGGTAGAAGAACATTGTGTTTTGTCCTTTCCCTTGTAAGTCACATTCTTGAAAACAAACATGATACAATTAAAGACTCAAGAAACAAAAAACGACTCGTAGACGCTTTTTTCTACCGTCCATAATCAAAAAGATACAAAAACATACACACGCTGGATCTCATGCTCCTCCATTATAAAACGCCAATTGTTCCCCCACAATCACCTTAAGCCCATCATGCAACTCCTCCAATGACCAGAGCTGCCAACATGTCCTCTTCACTTCGCACCTTGATGTTGATGGTAACGCCGCTCTTGGCACTGAATGCCATTCTGACCAGCGATGCCACTTTACCGCCCGTCACACTCTTGCCGTAAAGCTTCAGACTGTGTGTGCTTGCAGAAAGTGTCACTTCGCTGCCTTCAAGGGGTTGCATGCCCAGACTCTTGACGAGCAACTCGGTTGCTTCGGCCAAAGTCTTGGCGTTGGAAAGCTGGAGGGTTTCCTCGGCTTCGTGTTCGTCGTCAGAGGGGATGCTGTTGAAAATGCTGTCAAAGTTGCCAGCGAAGGCGGGAACAATGTAATCGGAGCCGACAAGATCCAAGTCAAAGATCTCGTATTCGTCTTCATAGCCGTGCTCTTCGGGCTCGTTGGTCGACGGGTCAATCTCCTTGCTTGTGAATTTGAGCACGTTGGTGAAGTTTGCTGCCGAGAACTCTTGACCTTCGGGGCGCTTGAAGGAGACGTAAACAGTACCGGGCTCATCTGTCTTGAGCATGGGAGCAGGAATGGTGAACTCTTCCTCCAGACCGATCTCTTCTGACTCGTCGACGGCTGCCGGTGTGCAGACTACTGTTACATCGGCGAGAACTGTGTCGGGCAACGTGTTCTTGATGTCGTACTGAATGACAACATGTTCCTTGAACAAGTGCTTGACGGCAGTAACAACATACTCGGTTTCGCTCTCGGTCAGCTCGACGATAGCACTGCTCTTCAGAACGCCTCCATACGAAGCAAGTTCGGGAATGGCTTGCAGTTGTTGAGCATACTTCTGAGCAGCTGCGCTTGCCGAGGCGATAGCTTCCGCTGAACCACGAGCAGCCGCAGGTTTAGGTCCGGCTGAAGGTGCCTTGAGGGTGGGAGTCGCGGTTGTGAGTTTCTTTGTGCGGTCCTCGGCGAGTGACTGTTCACGGGTAACGACAGGGACGGAACTGAGGTCGAAAGGCTGAGAGAAGGCAGCCGATGAGTCTGCCGTCACGTACATAACAAGCTGGTGCTCCAGAACAGGCAAAGAGAACATCGAGTCNNTAGACAAAGATTAGCACACGTTTACCAGACATGCAAGAGTTAGCAATATCTTACCGTTTCTGACGAACTTGCTAGCCATGTCGTCATCCTCCTTCATCAAGCGCAAGTTGAGAGCTGCACGGTCTCTGACCTCATCATCGGTATCGTCGAGGCAGCGGGTCAGAAGAACGTTGACACTGCGCTTGACGTCTGGGTCTTGCTGACCAACACCGAACTTGGCCAGAGCAGTGACAGCAGCGGCACGCACAATGGCATTCTCAAGTACAACACGGTTGTAGATGTAACGGATGTACTTGGTGGGGTTGGCAGTTCTGGGTCCTTCCATTCCCAGTAGGTGAAGGATGCGGACAGCCAGCTTGGTGAACTCGCAATCCTCGATGAACTCGCACAGATGCGAAAGAGCATCTTCCTTGCTTTCTGGGACAAACTTGATAAGGTCAAAGATGGCCTCGACAACACTGCTCTTAAACTCGTAGCTTCCCTCGTCGCGGATCGAAGTACTAAGGAAAGCAAGCATACCGGCCTGCTTGCTGGGGAACTTGAGGGCAAGTGTGCGAACGGCCTCAACAACAGTAATCTTGAACTCGTCGGTGATCTCAGCCATAAAGCCAGAGATCTGCTTCATCAGACGGTCGACGCTTGACTCGTTTCCGGTCTTGAGGAGAGTGGTGATGGCGAATGTGGCAACAGATCTGTTAGAGTTTGTGATGAGAGCCTCAATGTCCGGGTTGCATTGGCGGACGGCCTCGGGCTTGAACGAGGCAAAGTTGTGGAGGATGCGGATAGCAGCAAACTTGGTGACAGATCGGGGCGAGGTCAAGAAGAGTTGAAGGACGTGGACAGCTTGCATAACCTCGTTGTCGGTCAAATCGCCAACCTCGCAGATGGCCTTGGCGGCCTCAATGTTAACCAGCTCGCTCTTGTCGCGCAACCAGCCGTCGAGTAGCTTCATCATAGGGGCGCGAAGGCCAGGATCCTCCTCAATCAGCTTTGCGGCCAGACGGACCAGCATGAGACGGGCTGCAGGGCTCTTGACGACTCCAGGGGCACTGTACTGTTGGACCATCTTGACCAGAGCCATGCGGTCGTGGGATCGCATCTGGTAGAGCAGACCAATAGCATGGTATTGAGTCATGAAGTTTGTGTTTGAAGCAGCCAGACTGTGCGAGGCCGAAGTGCCAAAGCCAAGAGAGAAGCCGCCCGAGGACTTTGTGCTCGAAGCAGCCTCCTGGGTCTCACTCTGCCAGCGGCGGACGATGTCGCGGGCGATGGGTAGTAGGTGGTACGAGGATACAAGAGCGGCCGAGGAGACGGAGGGGGTCTTGTCGACGATGGCCGTCTTGATGTTGCGCTCAATGGCCTGCACGGTGGAAGCGTCGATGATGCGACAGAGGGCACGGATGGCGTTGGCGCGGTATACGACGTCGCTGCCGACAGCAGTGTCCTTCATGATGGAGCTGGTGACCATGATGACATCCTGGGCGGTGTTGGCAAGCTCCTTGATGACCAGGTAGACCATCTGGCGGAGTGAGGCATCTTTGTTTTGGAACAGCTTGGAAATGCCAAAGAAGAGAGAGGTGGCTTCGTTCTGGGGGAACTTTTCGCCGGTGAAGAGCAGCAGGGAGATCTTGGTGAGCAGAACACGGCATTTGCGAGGAGAGATGGGCGATACGTTGAAGACACGAGCNNTATAGAGAGCGAGTTAGCGGCATGTGATGATAGTTCGCAAAGAGACAGACTCACCCTCTTGGAAGACCGAGGTGCGGTCGACCTTGAGCAGGCCGGCCTCGTCCTCGTTCTTTTTGTCGTAGCTCATGGTTGCTCGTCAATTGCTGTGTTCGGGCTTGCCGTCGACTGTAAACGTAGCATCCACAACTCCCTAACCCCCGAGCGCGGCACCTTCCGTCACAGCAACCCCGTCATTGTCCGCCAAGGCCCCTCCATTGGACCCTTCGCGCTTTCCAATTCAGCAACTGACAGCTCTCCTCCCTAAAGAGCCTTCTACGAACAATCGCTGCAAATATGGAAGGAATGGGAGGAATGCCCGGCGGCATGCCAGACATGCCCGTCAATGTTCCTATCGATGACCCCAACGCCGACACCGAGTGGTGAGTTGCACTAACATGTCCCACACTACCATTCTTTCCCTCAGCTCTTACTCCATGTGTTGGGTTTCTTTGCGCCATGTCTAACCCAAGACCAGGNAACGACATCCTTCGCAAGCACAAAATCATCCCCGAAAAGCCCCCGTCGCCCACCCCCATGATCGAGGAAGCCTTGACCGAAGCACGTAGACTTGCCCACGAAAACCGCTTGGAGGGCAAGGAGCTCGATGAACTGGCTGAGCTGGAGGATGAAGAAGATGAAGACTTTCTCGAGTTCTACCGGTAAGTCCGTGCCGTCTTCATCGACGCCTCCCCTCTGACGATCCCCTCCAGACAGAAGCGAATGAACGAACTCGCTGCCATCCAATCCGCTTCCGTCTACAACCAGGTTTATCCCGTGCAAAAGCCCGATTGGTCGCGCGACGTGACCGAAGAGTCAAAGAAAGCCTACGTCTTTGTACTTCTCACCTCTTCATCAGGTACAAACGTCGAGTCCCGCCTGTTGATTGAAATCTGGCGCGAGTTGGCCACAAAGTTCGGCGACATCAAGTTTTGTCAGATCCAGGCAAACCTCTGTATCGAAGGTTACCCAGACAAGAACACTCCAACAGTCTTGGTATACAAGGATGGCGATATCAAGCGCCAATTAGTCACTCTGCGAGACTTGAAGGGCGATCGAACAACCATTCGCGACCTGGAAGATCTGCTTCGTTCTCTAGGCGCCGTTGACCCTAACGACTCCAGACTGCAACCCCGTCAACATGATGAATCAGCACAAACCTCTCTTCGTAGTACCGGCCAAGGCGCTGGTCTTGGTAACGATGATAGTGACAGCGATTGGGACTAGACCTGTCCACTCTCCCAACATGACTCGAGCTTTAGCCGGGGACGTCTCTTTCACCATCCAAGTCCGAGATACCTGACCTTAGCAAGCCTCTTGCTAGGCTCCGCGGCATTGAGGATCTACCTCCTGCAGCTGCGGATTTGTAACCGATGCTTGAGACTTGGAATCACCGATGGACAAGTATCATTCCATTGGGGAAACGGTATCCGATTTGTCTACGAATGCCAACATGGCCCTGCCAGTGTTACCTTCCGACATCATACTCGACCTGCTGCAAGAGCCAGTCTCGGCAGTCAATGGTTCATACGTGTTCCGACCTGCAAACGCCTGGCTCGCGATTCTGTAACGCCATCGAGAAAACAAAAATAAGAATAGAAGACATTAAACATTGGTCGCTTCTGGGCTGATTTCAGAAGTTGGTGATTCTCGGAAAGGAGGTCCCGGTGCTGATGAGCATCAAGACCATGGTGTTCTTGTTATTGCGCTGGTAGGTTCCGACCGATTCCGTCTGTTTTCGTTACTGTCATGCGTCGAGCAGGCTGCAATGCCTTACTCGGCGATAGAGGCTGATTGGCCCTTCGCAGCATTTCGTTCTCTTCCCGTGTCCGGAGTAGCTCATGCTTCAACCTCTCGTTGTCTGACTCCAGGGAATTGGTTCTTACTTCTAGAGTCGACAATTGAGCTTCTAGTTCTTGTACTCTCTGGCGCTTGCGATCACGGAACGCTCGTTGACTATGGCCACCGCGACGTGTTAGCAATGAAGTCCTCCANNCAAAGTTCGAAGATCTGGACACTCACGCGGCCCGGTTCTGTGCCTTTCGCCTTCGCTGTGCTGGTGTCAGTGGTTCCTTCTCCTCGGATGTGGCACTGCTGCGTCGTCTTTGATACTCCAAGAGTTCATCAACGTTGAACTCGATCGGAGAGGTAGGTTGCCCATAGTCGGCTTCGACACCATTACGATACATCAAAGGCTGTCCTTGTGGGACTGTTGTATACCCGCGGTGGCCGTCGACAGCTATTGGTTCAGCTGGTGTAGTGTGGTCTGGAGTCAAGATCGGAGCCTGAACGTAGGTGTTGCCTACTGGCGCAACCAGTGTGTGCTGCTCATAACCATAGGAATACTGNNAGACGCCATGAGTACATATGTTGTGCGACCTGTCATATGGCCTGCGTACCTGTGGCACAGCCGTCCACACAGGATGTGTATGCGTGTACCCTTGATTGTGATGTGCATATACAGGCTGGTGACAGGCGCCTGTCGTCACGCAAGCTTGTTGATAATCCATGCTTGATTGGATAGCAGTAGAGCCACTGGCAGAATGAGTTGACCAGGGGAAAGAAGACCCTGCCTGAGAAAGTGCTGTTTATAGGATGAGGTGAGGTGAATTATGGATACAGTCCCAATAAGACGTTTTGTCGCACAGTTGGGTTCTGGACTGAATTGACAGAAGTAAACACGATCTTGACTCTTGTCACAAATTGATGTGGCTTCCACGTTTGAGGCAGAGAGCCTTATTGAATTGCGAACAGTCAGCCGTCCGAGTCAAGCAATAGACGCAGGGGCTCTGGTGTGTCAATCAATCCACGGCACGCAAGGTCGTGGCTTGATCCCAGATGGGCACTCAGTACCAGTCTGGACTCTGGAGTCTCGACAGCAAGTATCAGACAGCTTTTCGATGGACCCGGCGCCGCTGATCCGATCTATCGCGGGTCGACCAAGCACGTTCGGCGGATCCACCTTCTGTGCAAGCGGAGTCCTACCTTGCCGGATGTGATTGGTTCGATGGCCGTTATGGACCATTGTACAACCCTACATTTGATTACTGATGTCCTAGTAGGAATCAGGGCTAGTGGTTTCTGGGATACTCACTCGTTCGGTAGAGTTTTTTGGGGGATATGGTTAGATAGCCTGTTATACTGTATTCTAGTGGTGGATGCCCGTAGCAATTACACACGCGTCGAACTCTCAATAACTTCCTAGCACCTATAGACTTCTGCGTTGCTTGAGTGTCTAACCTTGTTATTGGGAGCATGGCTTGTGATCCTCGCTAGAGACACGCCACAGGCTCCACATCCCGAAGGATCCCCCAACCAGTCGTTCTTTCGGGAGATGAACCGTACCCTTGACCAACCTCTCAACTTGGCCCTCGAGACAAATGGCCGGTCTCTCCAGAGCCTGGTGGGGTGCAACGTTTGAGATCTATGCTGTACATCTCCCGAGATCCTTCCTCCGCGCACCAACTCCAAGCTCTGATGCTTTTCAGCTCACACATCAAACACCACTTGCTCTGTTATCTCTGACCGAAGGAATCCGTACTTTACACAAGCCACGCGGATTCGGGCCCGGAGTTCATGCAAAGGTAAAGCTGAAGACAGCTAGAGTCAACGTTGGTTTATTTGAGTAACTTCACCGCGACAGCTATCTGCAGAACCAGTTCAACTGCTGGCGGCAGCAGGCTACAGAGACAAGATTCAACGTACCAGACCCTTTTGACGCGTGAATCCTTTTGTCCAAAACGATTGTTCCCTGCGTGCCCACTGGCAGGGTACCTGGATGTTGCCTTTAGTACCGTAACGGTGTATTCATAGGTGATTCGGGGTCAATTCCGAAAAATGTCTTTGGAGGTCTCACTCAAACAACTGTATGCAATGCACGCAGCCTGCAGAACTGTTGATCAAGTCTTGCGACTGTTGCTGGCGGCAGGGAGGTGCAATACGCGTGCGATGACTATCCCGCCTCCCGCAACCCTATCGAACAATAAGTGACACTTTGTGAAACACGCACCCTGCGTTGCTGCTGTGCATCTCTTTTCTTGAACCGAACCTGCCCATCAAACCCATGTCTGTTTAGCCGTTAGGCTTCTGTCACTGCCGGATCCCGGCTGAATGGTTCGGACCTTGCTGGCTCATCGGCCGAGAGCAAAACAACAAGACGTCAGCCATGCTTTTGCAGGTGGGTGACCTCCTTCTTCTGACTTGCAGCTCTCACGCATATGGCAGGGGGGGAGGCACGTCAGCCAGCAAAGAACACCATCGGGGTGGCTTTTGTTCCGATCAGCTCGCTCCTATCTCCAATCCCCTAACCCCGTGAGACCAGAGCGCATACCCAGGTTTCCGGTACCAAGAGGCTGAACAAGGGCTCTCTTTGTTTGCATGCGCACCCGTTGCAACAGTTATTTTGTTCCTTGCGACGCTGCTGCTGCTTCACTTGGCTTGGACCTCGCCTTTTCGTTTCCAGGGCTCATGTGCCGCAAACTTCCGTGCAGATGCATTTCTGCTCTAGTGCTCGATTGTCCATTTCCCTTTGATGCCAATTGGCCAGCACAAACGGCCATTACGGACCCATCTGGCATCGAGCAAGCTGTCTCGGCTCATGCATGCGGCACGCATTGACGGAATTATCCATCCAGCAAAGCAGACTATTGTCTCATGCTATCCTCATCCTCCTTGCCAAGCCACGCTGATAATGATTTGAATTTCCAAAAGGTGTGTCTGAGCTCCTTGTCACCATACAATCGCAAGCACGTCACCAAAGTTTCTTCTGTTGCTTGAATCGTACAGTGACATTCACCCATCTGACAGAGTACCAACGTGGGATTCATCTAATCTTTGCAAGCTCTCATCAGCATCCGAAATTCGACCTCAGCGCGGTAACGCTAGTCATAGTCGACTTCGCTGCAACTGCGAGCACGAACATGTGGAGATTCTACGGACACGCGGCCGCAATTCTCAATGCACACGGGTCGATCACATTTGTTCCATCGCTTCTTCATGAACTCTAAATCCACTCAAGTACAAGCAAAAGTACATATCTGAGTAACCCCGACTATTGCCTTGCACTGACACAAGCATATTCTACTTTAGGTAGGCCCATCTAAAGGGGCTACACGCTGGTCTGTCACCTCCAAACCCAGTTGATCTGGATATCAACGCTGGGGTTTTACAATCGCTCATCGTCTGAAGATGTTTCTGGACCTCCAAAAGTGGCCCCACGAACACGGCCCCATCCCAAGTCGTCCCCACACACACTCGCATCATCTCGAGTCAACCAAGAACACCGGATCAAGAATTTAGCGAGCGAGCCGTCCATCAAACCGTAGCATCCCTCGGACTTTGTTTTGATGCTTTCACCTTTTGTGGTCTGGAGTTGCAAGAATCGTAGCGGCTGCTCATGCCATCAGATCATGTTTGTTATTTTCTCACGAGCCAAGATCTACAGCGACATTAGGTATGCATGTAACAAGTCATGTACCATCTAACGGGGGTGCAGACTCGGTACGCTATGGGCAGAGGGCACATGAACGAAACAGGTTTGCTCAATCTCGCCCCGCAGGGTGAATTGCACGCAGTTCCAAATAGAGGTCGGCCAGAATTAACGGTGATCGAATCTTCGGCTCGTTCGGCGGTCGGCCACGTCGACCGGACGTGCAGACAGAAGTGCGATCTCAGAGTGCACTCCTCTTCAGTCTCCCCGTTCACACCGCTTCCTGTCGGTCCTGCACCACTGTACGCAGTCCCATCAACCCCAGCCAAACCGCTTCTTCTGTACGGATTGTCCTGCTTCCTTGCTGAGGAACGAGATTGACCCAATAATCGAACACGTCTTTGGCCTCTGTCACGCCCTTGGACGTTAGATTCTTGTCCGCTTTCAACGCGACTTCTAGACCTGCCACGCCGCCGAAAACAATAACCATATGCCTCCATTGGGTCGGGACTGGTGGCACTTCGGAGCTGTTGCCCGAAGCGTTGAGAAGAGACGCCAGTGTGATACCACGCTCAGATGTACCGAAGCTGATATCGTAGCCACCATCATAGGGACACTCCGTAAATACTGCCGACAGGGAGGATGCCATCCTTGTCGAGTAGCCCCAATAGTAGCCGGTCTCCTCTCTCGGTGTATCAGGGGAGACGGCCTCGGCGTCCAGCGGAGTATATCCATCCATCTGAGGCTCACCGGCAGACGCAAACTTGACTGTGACGCGAGATCCGGGAGGTACTTCGACTGGAATACGCGTCTTCACAGGCAGACCGCAATCAACTAGAGTTGAGACGGCGTGCCCTTTACTGCGCTTGCTGTGCGGCTCTGCGAGTGCTGCATCCGCCCCCATAGTCACACCCTCGCGGTACTGACACCATTCATTGGCGCGGAGGTGATGCGGCATATCCAAGCTCGGCATTGCTCCAGCGGTTCTAAGGTTGGGGTGCATAGGGAACAGCGTCTTCCTGAGATGTGGGGGTGTTTCCAGGTAGCTTAGGACATGGTAGAGGAAGTCGTCAGGGTCCGAGTATCCCGTGTAGCCGTCTCCTTCGAATCCTTTCCGAGGCCGAGCTCCGGCTTGCGATTGGCCGTCATTGAAGACGACAATCTCGTCGACCTGGAATACGGCACAGGCTCGCGCCACCTGGGCGGCCATCATTGTTTTGAGATCATGTGATTGAGCACNTGCGATAAGAGTTTTAGGGCAAGAAATCGTGTTGGAGGTTGAGGCGCCAACTCAGACAGAGTCAAAATGCAATAGCTGACGTGGTGGTATAGGGCAAGAAAAGTGATAAGAAAGAGGGGTACAACTCAGAAATCGCGACTCTGACACGAGAAGGATTTTTGAGACAAATGAAGCAACGCAGGAATGACATCAAGTACATGAAGCAAAACAGATTAGAGCGGTAGTCTTATTGCAGTGCCTCGTGTCAACGATGCACCGAAAGGATAGCATGGCTGAGGAGATGAAGAAAGAAAAATTATTTTCACTTACTTTGCAATCACGCTTCCAGGGAGCGCAATAGTCAGTGTGTGTTGGCGACCACCTGTAGGTGTAAACACAGCTGACGGTCTCGAAGTATCGACCTCATCGTCGGCACTCTGATGTTGCTGTTGAGGCTGCTGGAAGTCCTGCTTCCTCTTCTGTCACGCGCAACACAATCAGTATTCTGCAATCCATTTTCCGCGAAGGTGAGCAATTGCGCCGGTGGACATACCTTGTTCTGATATCCCGACATTGATCAACAAAATATCGAAGAAAATCTGGTGCTTGCACATGAAGTTTGGCCGATCTGATTCGAAAAAGGCTTGAACCACACGGGTCATTGGCCAAGGCCTTCGCGGTGTGCACGGACGCTCTTCTGATCGACGACCTCCTCCTTCCTTTGGGTTGTGACCATGACTTGTACATTGCGACCCTGACCCTTGGCAGCCAACGACATATCCCTTTCGTCTCCTCCACTTTCCCTCTTGGACAACTAGACTCTCAACCACTGTTCCCGGAACCGCACCTTTTCGCGAGCGCAACTATGTCGGCATCTCAGCAGCCAAGCAGGCCATACTTTCACAACGGTCAAGCCCTCTCAGCGTAAGTAGTTTACTCCTAGTCGCGGTAGGATGGACTTCAGCTCTAGCTGGTAGTTATCCGGACTTCGCTCCAGCTAGCCAATTCCGGACATCTCTCCACCTAATTCCCTAGATAGCTGAGAGATAGGTACTAATCCACTTTCTCTCGTTTAGCNCCCCCATTCACCGTGCGCGTCCGCAACTTCTTGGATAGCGCCTATGTCTTTGTCGGCCTCTACGTAACCACTTTCTTCTCGGTAAGTGACATCTATCTATCCGGCTGACTCGTCTCGCGGCAGCTTTCGCCTATTCGTCTTGATTCTACTAGTGCTGATATCCACCTTTTCTCTTCTAGNTTTGATCCTGCTGCTGCAGCTGCTGCATCGCCGTTTAATGCTAGCAACAAGACTCCCGGCAGGAGACCTGGCTGGGGCTTTGGAGGCAGCAGCGGTAATGGCGGTAGAGGTGGAGGTCCTCCTCCCGGTGGCCGCAAGGTTGGCAGAGTGGACGATGTGAGAGGGCCCGAGTGTAAATCCTGCAAGTGATGCTTTGAGGGAACCTCAGCATGCATGGATTCTGCTTCCTTTTGTTTCTGGATCCGAAGGTTTGTCGCTGGCGTTTTTGGGTTTTGCTTATTCGAAAATGAACACTGGATCAGTGTGCAGAGAGTTCTGTCTTCACACCATAGCGGTCCTCTGTCATTCTTGCCTTCACAGGGAAATGCTTGTACACCTTCTGTTGTCGCTGAGAATTAATTCACATTGTTTGGACTCATTCAGGTGAGACAGTTCAAGAACATGCCACGTCCACAGTGTTGCAAAGGTAGGTGTGGTCCATATGGCAAGAGCTAGATCATTCTTACTCTGGCTCCTCTGTTTGTCTTCATCATCATTCTTTCCTTGTCCACCGATCCCCCCGTTCAAAGCCTCGCAAACTTGCTGTCTGTTTTGGGTCACTTCAGCTAAAGTCATTCAATCCTTCTTACTCTGGACGATCAACAAAATTCAACATTTGAGTTTGATTGTGTCATCATTTCTGTCTTTTTATCCCATCAGATCGACTCTTAATTTAACCCTTGTTTCATTCGCTCTACTATGCATCTCTATCATTTCTTATTGTCATATTCTTGACTTGCAAAACAGGAAACACTTCTCGTATCACCGAGACATAATTGCTGTAGTCATCACCCTGTCAACTTTCTATCATGACTTTGTTCATGCCGTACTCGTTCCACAATGGAAGTTTACTGGGTTCCAGGCAGATCAAAAGATCTTTCAGGAGCCCGGACTATGTTGTAGACAATCAGCGCAAACACTCGACCAAACAAATCGACTTCGACATCTTGTTGATTTTGTCTACAGATTTCATCCTTACATCACGAAATTCATGACTTGGGAGTGTCCACTTTCCAGGTCAAAACTCGAGAAAGTCGTGGTCACAGCTGATCAATCTGTTGTGCCAGAAGCGTTATAGTAGTCTTGTCTGTGGAAACAAAAGCAGTCCTTCATGCAAATGCTTGCAAGTCTTTGTCTCCTTTACCTTCTTCATGCAGCCTCTTGCTTCTCATTCGCCTTGCCAAAGACCTTGGCACATGAAGTTCATTGATCAGATAAGGCAGCTTACATGCATGGAGTATCTGACACAGCCTCGACGCAATTTATGCTCAAGCACATGATCCGATCCTTCTTCGTTCTTACAAGAAGATCTCCTTTTTCTTCTCTCTTATCAAAACACCGTCCTCACACCAGCACCATTTCGTATTTTGTATCACGTACGCTCTGATCCTTGCAGCCCTCCTGAACAAACCCGGTCTACATCAACAATCTCGAGATGCGCTCTTTCACCGCTCTCGTTGTCTTCTCCTCAGCTGCTTTCAGTAGTGCTGCTGCCATCGACAAGCGTGTTCTCAGCAAGACCGGCTGCCTGCCTGGTTGAAACGACAAAACCAACAACGGCGCCGCCTGGATCGGTAACGATGGCGCCTACATCGCTGAGTTCACCAACAATCCTAAAGAAGACCTTGTCCTTGTCATGTGGGGGTCGGGACCTCAGAGTCCTTTTGTCACTGCCCGAGCGCCTCTGATCACTTACGAATTAGAGACTGGCGACAAATTTAACGTTTCCGTTGCATCGAATACTTATGATGGATGGGCTGCACTCTACGTAGACACCACACTGACGAATGGAATGATCAGCAATACCTGGGGTGAATATACCTTGAATGGCCAGTATTCGATATTCGGTGTATCCCGTACCATCAACATGAATGGTCGCGGTATGTCCATCGAAGGTACCCAGCGTGTCTCCAACATGGAGTAGTGCGTCTTTGTCTGCAGATCTGGCAATTCTTGCTCCTCTCAAGCTTCGGCTTCTACTCTCAAGGACTGCTCTTCTCAGCCTGGTGCTCAGTCTGCTTATGACGCCTCTACATCTTCTTATTCTGGTGGCTGTCTTGTTGGGGCTCGGAATTTTGTCAAGACTACCTTTTCGTAGGCTATCTCAACAGGATTTCACGTTCTTATGATACCACCGATGTGATATATATGGCTGCTCATGAATGGTAGCAGATGAGTAGCTTAAGTTTAGCTGGTGCCATACGTGCTTTGTGCTACACAACCTTCCAGTCGAGATCTGCAAGCCGGTCTATGAGCCCAGTATGCTGGCCGTGCTAGGAAAGCTCGCCAAAGACCACCGACTTGGGTTTGAGTTCGAACATGGGAGCAGGCGCCGATTCGTGCGGGAGCAGAGGCAGCTCAGACGCAGTCATCTGTTTGCACAACGTGCTGTCTCGGTCCTTTCTGTTGTTTGAAGCCGTTCATCCTCCTCGTGTAAACAGATCGCCACGGAGTAATCATAGAGATGCACAATCCTTTCTACGATGCAGTGGTAATCACGGAGAGAATTCCATGCTTAAGTACCTCCATGGTAGCACTTCCATCTAGAAAGAAATTGTGCAATTTAATGGCCTAGAAGTTGGCGAGGGAGAGGGGTCGGTCGTAGGCTGCGAGTGTCTTTTGCATACGGGGTGTTGTATGCGAGTCGATGTGAAGAGTGGTAGTTAGTATCTGCATGGCCGCTGGTGCAGCTACAGAACAACAGATTATTGTCCATGGATCTTGTTGTCAGATGTGTTTGTCTGGTGTGGAGTTTGAAGTCGAGTGAAGTTGCGGGTCATGACGAACTTCTCCATGTTGCATGTGGCTTGGCCAGGGGACATGGCGCTGGCGGAGAACGTCTCGACTCTCTCGGACGTCGACAGCTGGACATTTGATCAAGAACAATGAAGACGATCTGAACACGCCCAACACTACCCTGCAACACACTAACAACGACAACATCGCCCCCTCATCGCCTACTCGAACAAACATACACCCCAAGACGCAACTCCACGTCGCAGCCATGTCGGCAGCCACGTCGTCAATCCAGGACCGCACCCACGAGTTCCGCTCCATCCTCGCCCTCGCCCAAAAACGCCTCGCCCACACAAAGACTCCCCAATCCCGGCAACATCTGCTGCCCAACAATGGCGCTGCTCCCTCGGCACAACCCACGCGCAAGCAGCGCAGCGAGTTTGCGCGCAAGGCCGCCGAGATAGGCCGGGGCATTGCAGCCACCGTCGGCAAACTCGAGCGCCTGGGGCAACTGGCCCGCCGCAAAACCCTCTTCGACGACAAGCCTGTGGAAATCGCAGAACTGACCTATGTCATCAAGCAAGATCTTGCTGCGCTGAACCAGCAAATCGGTGCGCTGTCGACGATAAACAAGGTCGCCCACCCCAAAGGCGGCGTCGACCAAGAAGGCCAACACAACGAAAACGTCGTAGTCATGCTCCAAAGCAGACTAGCAAACGTAGGCGGAAACTTCAAGGAAGTCCTCGAAGTGCGGTCCAAGAACGTGCAGGCCAGTCGCTCGCGTCAGGACAACTTTGTCAACACGGTAGGCAGCAATGCCGGACACCTCGCACCCCAAGGCCGCAGCGACAGCCCCCTCTACGCACCGCCATCACGAGGTCGCTCACCCCAACCGCCAACAAACCAAGGCCAAGACCTTTTGACTCTAGAACCACCCTCGGCATCCTCCTCAGCCCTCACCCGCGGCGCACAATCAGAACAACAAATGCTGCTCCTCGAAGAAGGAAATCAGAACAACGAATACATCAACCAGCGCGGCGAAGCCATAGAAGGCATCGAGCGCACCATCGCCGAACTAGGAGGCATCTTTGGCCAACTGGCGCAAATGGTTAGCGAGCAGAGCGACATGATTCAACGCATAGACGCGAATACCGAAGACATTGTCGACAATGTGGAAGGTGCACAGCGCGAGCTCATGAAGTATTGGTCCAGGGTGCAAGGTAATAGGTGGCTGGTTGCCAAAATGTTTGGTGTTTTGATGATCTGTGAGTTACTTTCTTTCATATATCCATCTCCCACAAGCTTTGCAGTTACTGACTTGATTTCACAGTTNTTCTTGTTGTGGGTACTCATCGCCGGTTAATGCGCGAAATACTGGTTTCATCATTGGCAAGGCGTACAGGTTTGGTTCTCTGGGTATATTAGGAAAGAGGCAGACTGCACCATTTTTTCTTTTGCAGCAAACTACTGGGCAACTTTTACAATGGGGAGGAGCAATCACAGCAATGCAAACACACCGAAGCCCTGGACTCTTCCCCCCCCCCCCCCCCCCCCCCCCCCCCTTCTGCTCTGACGGGTCTTTGACAGCTCTAGAATCATCAACTTTGTAATAATACTTATCTCCTTCTTCTTTTCTTCTTTCTTTGTTGTTCCTTATCCTCGCCCTTCGAGGTGGCATGTCTCTTACAACAACTCGATTGCGCTGTAATACCTTTGTAGCTTCAGATCTAGTACCATTCATCGCCCCCTTGTGTTCCCAGATCTTCCTGTCCCTGGATTTCTGTGGGTTTTTTTACTGAATTTTTTTTTATATTTCCTTGTTGCTGACTGAATAATACAACTAACGATATGTTATACACTCCCCTTCCATGCAGAGAAGAAAAGAAGGTAGAAAAAAGACAAAAAGCAATACGCCCTTGCAAAAGAAAAAACAATGACAGACAAAAGTCCTTCCTACATAGGAATGATCGAGTCCCTTCCATGAACAACTATATCAATCTTTTTCCAGGTGAAAAGAGAAAACTGCCCCCTGTGCGGCACCACTCGATGTCTCGGGTCTTTCAACCTTTTGAGAGAGAGGCCACCACTATACCTTTTTCTGACACAACTCCACTTCTAGGATATTACAACAGATGTATTTCGAACCCCCGCAATCCAGAATCATATACATCATTTTTTGCCGTATCTGTCTTGTTGTTTACCAGACGTACTGCAGATAGTGTCAGTGGTTTGATCAACAGGAAATAATCAGGAAACTTACAGGGATGAAAAGATAAGGGCAACGTCTCTCGTACTCCTTCCAGGCCTCTCCGTACTTTTCTCTGCAACGCTGAATGTCACGCGAAGCGCGGTGCACAATCATGAGACCGAAGAAAACAGGGTAGAACCAAGGGAAAGGCGAGTTGAAGCCCGTGATCAGACCCCAACAGAGAGCAAAGTACATGTCGCAAGTGTAGTGGATCTTGCGGGCGTACTTGTACCAACCGTCGCAAAGAAGAGCATTGCCAGTATCGGTCTCGATCTTCTGAGGGTTCTTGACAGCCTTCCAGGGAAGTTGAGGGAAAGTCTTGCGATTCAACTCGGAGCCACGCTCTTGAGCGCGGAACATGTTCTTTTGCGAGTTGCCAGTGTCCCACACCCAATAGGCAAAGAGGTAGCTGGTGAAGAACCAGACAAGAACGGGCCAGGAGTGCGCGTAGACTTCGGGATCGTGGTTGGCAAGGAAGATGGTGCAGTGGCAGTAAGACAGAGGCACACCAGCCAAGTTCCAGAAGATGAGCATGAAGCCCCACTTCTCGTAGTACATGTCCCAGGTGATGGGGATCATCTCCTCACCCTTGCAGCAGGCGTTGGCATACAAGAAATGGGCCATGAGCAAGAAGGCCATCTCACCAGTGACATAGCCGTACTGCTCGTATTGGCGAGCGCAGCCTCCGAGAGTGACAAGGAACAAGATGAACCATGGAAGACGGACCTCGAAGAACATCTTGAAGTCGAGCCAGCCGAACATACGAGGGTTCAACTCAGCACCCATGAAGAAGTCGTAGATGTGGTGACCGGTCATTCTGTGCTGGGCGCCACGCATAAGAGCAGAGACGTAGGCGACGATCGAGACAATGAAGCCAGACAGGATTGCGACTGACATCAAAGGACCGAACTCGTCGATCAGAGTGTAGAGCTTGAAGAGGCCAGTGGCGTGGAGAGTCAAGGCGAGGACAATGGTCAGGTAGAAAGATGAGACACCGGAGCAATAGTAGAGGAGCTGCTTGTCGCCCATGTGAGGAAGAGCCTTGCCCTTGCTGTACACACCGGGCATGAACAGGTAGCAGATGCCCTCGAAGACGAAGAAGGACCAGTAGATGACCCACGCCTTTGCGTGAGGGAAGGCACCGTTGTAGGCCAGGCTGAAGAGCTGCTTGCCAAAGTCTGACCACGACTGCTCGGAAGACTGGCGCGTAGGAAAGCCACCGTCGTAGTAGGTAGCGCCGACCCACATGTACCACATGAGGACAGGGAAGCCGAGCATCATGGCCGTGACTCCAGCGCTGCCACCAAACTCGTAGTGAGGATCCGCGTCCACCTTAGGGTCGGAGCCCTCCAGCCAGCCGTCGATGATGCGCTTCTTGCCCTTCTTGGACGAGCCATTGGTCTTCTCGCTGGCAGGGGCGTCGACAAGGGGGGTTCTCGAACCGGTGATTGAGGGCGACGGCGAGGCAGTGCGACCAGAGTCAGCCGTCTTGCGCGTTGAACGCTTCCTCGATGGTGTTTCAACAAAGCCCTCGGGCAATTCTGGCTTTCTGTTGACAGGTGTAAGTGGACGCGAAAACATGCACACGAGACGCGCGATTTGCACTCACCTGGGCGTCTTGCCCGTCTGGCTCCTCGTGACGGTCATGGTGTATCAATGGCGACAGCAATTGATGTCCTAGGAAGGATGCCGGTGGCCGGTAGAAGGAAGTCGCGGAGGACTCGATATTCAATCTCCGTTGTTGTTTTCCCTGGCCCTCGGACCCACTTCTGAAACTTTGTGTTTACATCATCATCCATTTCCACCATCTGCCGCCTCAACATTAATTTTGAATTTTTTCTTCATTTATTTCGTATCTGTGTAGCTGTATGTATATGGACGTTCGCTACTCGTCCAAGGTATGATATCAATGCAATGCAGTAGAGTCCTTCGTAAAACGCCCGACATCTCGAAGCCACAAGTCCAGTCCAATCCAGTCCGGTCCCAAACATCAAGCACCTCGTCTAGCATTCGTGCTCATCAACGTAATCTTCTTACCCTTCTTCTTGCCTTTCGCTGCGCCCGTAGCTTTGCTAGAGGAAGAAGATCCTTCACCCAGACTTGCTGCCTGTACTTGGGCGATCAGATCATCGTCTTGCGTCAATTCTCTCTCCCAGCCGTCCAACCAGCCATCATCCATGTTTCCGTGCTGAAGTGCGGCGAGTTCAGGGCTACTCAGCCCAATTGCAGTGGTGCCCCATACTGTCCTTGACGTAGCTGGACTTGTACCGGGCGATGCAAGAGAAGCATAGGCAGAGCCTTGCGGACGATTACTGTTACTCCAGGGTGGTGATGAAGAGGATCCTTGGCCGTCAAAGGAGCCAGCTGCATCCGATCCATCCGCACCCAACGGGATAAAGTCATCTGGTCTGAACTTGTTCTCGGTCGGTATGCTGACCCGTCTTCGTCGAGCGGCTGCGAACTCTCGATCTTCAGCCTTCTCTGCGCGAACACGTTCCTTCTCTTCCCGTGCTTCCTTGTCCGTGTTTCGCTTGCGGCGTCTTTCGATCTCGCCTTGGAACTGCTCAAGGATCGCTGGCGGGACTGTGTCGGTCCAGTCACATTCCAGGAAGGTAACCTCACAACCGTAAGGTAGATGTCCAAGATACTTGACTCGCTTGCGCAAGTCATCGTCGACAATGTGACCAGTTGAGACGCGCTCAACTCGTGGGAGTATCGAGGAAGGGAAGTTGTCGTAGCTTCCAAACGCAGCCTTCAAGATACGAATGTCCAGTGAAGACAGGTAATAATGTAGAAGACCCTGGTAGAAGAAGTATGTATCAGGTTGGCGCTCAAAATTGGCATGTTGTCGAGCACGGAACTCGGCTAACGATGTTGAGAGAATACTGGTTGTAGGATCATCCTGCTTGGTAGTGGCCTCTTTCTCGCTAGGTGAATCCGCTTGTCCAGTCTGTCCGTTAGGCAAACTTTGACCTGACTTAATGGCCTGTTGAATGGCATACATTTCCGGCACGCCATCGTCAGTCTGGTTGAATTGGATGGCAGGTTTCTTGTGTTCGGATTCTTCGGGTTTCTTGGGTGCTGCTGGTGGATTGCCGATTCCCTTGATTCTCTCTTTCGCTTCGTTTAGAGCACGTACAGCTTTGCTAGTCCACTGAGTGTCGTCTCCGAACATGACTTCATCCTCCTGTTCCATGGCGCGGACATTCTGGATTTCCTCGTCCAATTCGGCAAGCATATAATCCTCACCACCTTTCATGACGCGAGCATAATCCATGACCTCAGCAGCGAAATACCAGGGGATTTCGTCCCCTTTTCCGAGGGCGTCGGGACTTTCTCTGGGCATGGCGAGTGTGGAACCAGCAGGACGCTGAATCAGACGCAGTACCACGTCATCACCCTCTCTCGGGGGTTCAAACTCAGCACCAGTGTACCAACGAACTGGCCTTGTCTCCGAGACATAGATGGAGTCGTAGCAAATTGGACACTTCTTCCAGCGTGCCTTCTTCTCGGTGCCGGAAGCGGTGCCATCATCCGAGTGCATGTATCGGATCAAACAAGGCAAACAGAAGATATGACCACACTTGGCCATTCTCGGAGCGGTGGGTGTACCCAGACAGATGGGGCATGCGGAAGACTGAGATTCGGTCGAGACGAGAATCTGCAGTACGTTGTTCCAGTCAATGTGAACATCGGCGTCGACGCGTTGAGGGCGATAATCGGCCCTAGGATCAACAATGAACCGATAGTTCGCATGCACGTATCNTACAGCAATCAGCAGGAGGTACGAGTTGGAGAGGCGAGAGAAGTCATACCTTGCCTTGTCCACGGCGTGATAACCCGAACCTAGTCCCCAAGTGGGGTTGCGTCGAGGCCTACCTGAGGCATATCTAGCGTTGTGCTGATGTGCTTGAGGACGTGGTGGCAGAGAAAAGTTCATCAAATGAGTGATAGAAGTCTGGCCCTTGCGGCTGCTAGTCGAATGCATGGCGGCNNCTGTGGCAAGGTGAGCAAGGCGGAAGCTCGCTGGCAGGTCGACAGTGTTACTTACGGATTCAGCAAGAGCATCCTCATCCGCGAGTCTAAACTTCTTCGATTGCTTGTGCTTTGCCTTTGCACTTTGGTTGCTGCGCGGGGTCGACGATGGCTTCGAGCTAGCGACGTTCGAGCTGCCTGAGCCGCCACTCCTACGTTGACCGAGGACTTCTCCAAAGTAGGCGTTGGTCTGAGAGAACGAGGGTGTCGATTGATTCGAGAGGCCGACGGATTTGGAGGGATTCGATGCTTTGGCCGAAAGAGCAGTTTGCGGGTTCGAAGACATGACGGGATGCAGAAGCGGAGATGATGTCGTTAAACGCGTCCAAGAAGGAGGGTTGCCGCCGTCGAACAAGCAAAACTAAAGTCGAGGAAAAATCTGTCCAACACGATGCGAGTGGCGTATCTGAGATTGGAGGTTGCGATCTGTCGACAGGCCCAGAGGGTGTCGACGAGATGGTCCAAGAGAAAGGGAAAGACGATAAAGAAGAGGGAGGCAATTGCTCATCGCTCCGAGACACCGAGATGGGCCCCTCGCACGTCACATGAACTGCTAGAGACTGCTTGACATTCTCTTATCCGACACATGCCAAGCATCTGCTCTAGTTCTCTTCTCCTCTGTGCAACGCATGGATTGGCTTGAGACTTCAAGAATACACAGTGATATCAGAGCAAAGGCAAATGGAAGCTGTACTTACCGGAGGATAGATTAGTCTAAGAAGATTGCCCGAAATTCTCATGGATTGATCCCAGACTTTCTTGTGATCAAAGGACAGACGTTCTATAGAAGGGCATTGATCGCTTTGTATCACCTTCCATCCATACAGGGTCCAAAGTGCTTTGTTTCCGCGTTGACTGCAGATACTGAACAATACACACCATTGTCAGTCGTCAAAATGTTGATTGAAGAATCTTACAAGGACGTGACCACCAAGGATGGCGGAAGTATGCGTATGTAGAAACAAGGAAGTCAACGCGTATCTCTTACGTACTGATGTCTCCAAGGCGTGTATACCTGGCACCCAACGGTCCCCAACTATCCCAAGGCCAAATTCCCTGGTGTAGTTGTCTTCAGCGAGATCTACCAGGGTATGTAGTCTGGCTTTCTGCTCGTCCTGGCGGAAGAATACATTCTTTCCCAAAACCAGAACTTGAGTTGACTTAAGACCATAGTGACTGGACCTGTTGCTCGATTCGCTAAGCAAATTGCTGGTCAGGGATACATCGTTGCTGCACCGAGTAGCTACCACGAGTTTACTGGACCCGAGCCTCTTGCTTACGATGGTCCCGGTACTGACAAGGGAAATGACTGGAAGGTCGCCAAAAAGCTTGCAGCTTACGATGAAGATGCTGAACTAAGTGTCTCTCTGCTCTTGTCCCTTGAGACCTGCAATGGCAGAATTGGTGCAACTGGAATGTGCCTCGGAGGTCACCTGGCTTACCGATGTGCTTTGGACAAGCGTGTCAGCGCTGCTGCCTGCTACTTTGCTACTGATATTCACTCCCAAACTCTTGGTGCTGGCAAGAACGACGACTCTCTAGCTAGAGCCAAGGATATCAAGGGTGAACTGGTTATGGTATGCCTTTGTCCTCTTCTAGACAAATGTGTTTATATGCTGATGTACAACCAGATCTTCGGCAAGAAGGATAACCATGTGCCTCCTGAAGGTCGTGATCTTATTCGCAAGACCCTGCACGAGGCAGGCATTTGCTTCAGCTTTTTCGAGGCTGCTTGGGCTCAGCGTGAGTACAATCCTCAACTACATACTGTTCTGCTGATTCTGACGACCACAGATGCTTTCATTCGTGACGAGATGAGCAAAGGACGTTACGATCCTGGACTTACCAAGATCTGCTTCGAGATGTTGTTGGAATTGTTCAACCGTACACTGAGATCTGATCTCGGTCCCAGAGTTGGAGGCGAGCAAGAGATCGAAGACGTCTGCTAGATCTTTGAATGATCAAATCATGCGAGCTGATCACAGTATCTATGTAGATATCAAAAGAAACTATTTCACATACACATGTAGTCCTGGAGGAGAGAAGAGGCTACAATAGAAAATGCTCAGATAGTCTGAAGAGGCAGGATGGGATTTAACAGGGGTACTTGTGAGCATGTCGTAGTCGTGGAAGTTGTATGCTCTTTCCGATTGTCTCACCAAATGCTATCTCGACAGCTTGATCCATCACTTGAATTCTTTCCGGAGATATTTTGTTTATGGGAGTAAACCATGTTGAGGCCGTCTGGGCTGGAGCGTTGATGAGCTGGCTCGATCGAGTTAGTGGGGAAATTGCCCCGGCTTGGCGCACAGTCCGACCACCGGCCGATATTCAAGCTGCGTTTTCGCGCTCTTTCCTTCTTTTTCGAACTGCGAGCCCTTTCAACGTAAGCGCGACGACTGCCCACGTTCATTTTCAATCACTAACCAGTAGCAAAGCCGACCAACGTTAATTCAAAGTCGTCAACATGGCCAGAGGACCCGGGTAAGCATTCACCACGACCGGACGATGTCGAATTCTCGCATTGGACNCGCGATACACGACTTGCGCAANNAACTTCTTACACGCTCTGCAGAAAGCACCAGCACCGCCTGTCGGCACCTTCGCACTGGCTGCTCGACAAACTGTCGGGCGCCTACGCCCCCAAGGCCTCGCCCGGTCCCCACAAGCTCAGAGACTGCATGCCTCTGATCGTCTTCATCCGTAACCGCCTGAAGTACGCCCTCAACGGCCGCGAGACCAAGGCCATTGTTATGCAGCGCCTCATCAAGGTCGATGGCAAGGTCCGCACCGACGCCACCTACCCCGCCGGCTTCATGGACGTTATCTCGATCGAGAAGACTGGCGAGAACTTCCGCCTCGTCTACGACACCAAGGGCCGCTTCACCGTCCACCGCATCACCGCTGAGGAGGCTGAGTACAAGCTCGGCAAGGTCAAGCGCGTCCAGCTTGGCAAGGGCGGCATCCCATACTTGGTTACGCATGATGCACGCACGTAAGTCTGCATCTATCAGCCGTTGGATCAAGATTTGGCGATACGGAAAAAAGTATACATGGACAAGAGCTGAATTTTGGTGATTAGTATCCGCTACCCCGACCCCGCCATCAAGGTCAACGACACCGTCAAGATCGACCTTACCACTGGCAAGATCTCCGACTTCATCCGCTTCGACACTGGTGTTATCGCCATGGCCACCGGTGGTCGTAACATGGGTCGTGTTGGTGTCATCACTCACCGTGAGCGCCACGACGGTGGTTTCAACATCGTCCACATCAAGGATGCCATTGACAACGAGTTCGCTACCCGTGAGAGCAACGTCTTCGTCATTGGCCGCGAGAAGCCTTGGATCTCGCTCCCCAAGGGCAAGGGTGTCAAGGTTCGTAGACGCAGACTCGAAAAGACACATGAAACAAATACTGACTCGGACTGCAGNCTCTCCATCGCTGAGGAGCGTGACCGCCGCCGCGCCCACGCCATCGCCGGCAACTAAACTGGCTGACCAGCTTCTAGGTTCATGGGGTTCGTTGGTTGATGTTGAGGGTTTCATGCATCAGGCAGCAAAAAAGGCGTCTGGGGAGCATGTTGTTCAGAAGTTTTTACGCGATGTGCCATGCAGCACTTTCGTAGCTCTACGACAAAAGAAAGATATCCAAGCTCACAGCCTCGCGCCCAAAATGATTGATGACTTTTCTGCATTCAACTCTTGTGATCTGTGACTGTGCACCAAGCATCACCTAGGAATGTGTGAGGTTCAATGTGTATGCTCGGCCTCGTAAGCTATGGCCCTTGTGACAAGTGGAGAGCCAGTAGCATGGCATTGTAGAAGTCGTGATTGTCTTGGGCTCTCAGAAAAAGGCAAAAGTTATGTGAGTGCCTGGCGTGAATCTTGGGGCAGTCGCGTTCAGTGACGTTGCGCGGCGTTGGACGGGCGTTGTCCCGGCGGTGCTCGGCAACTTGCAAGTCGACGTCGATACGGAAGCTCCAACTTCTGGATATTGCTGCTCTTTATTAACCACTCTCCTTGGTCCTTGCTTGTTCTCCCCCTCATTTCCGCTCGAGCAGGGTGACTTCTTTCGTTCTGGTTCCCTACTGCCCAGTGAAGCCCGATACCACGCTCCGAGCATACCGCTACTTGCACCGCCATCATGTCGATGCACTCGACGCGCAATGTCGACATGGGCAAGTACGTGTTAGCCTGTCGCAAATCCCGCATACATGTTAACCAAGTCTTAGGNCAGGAGTCCGAGTTGGCCATCAACATTCGCAAGGCCACGAGTATCGGTACGATTCGAGCCCAATGCGTACTCATAACCCCATACTGACACCCTGCACANGAGGAGACCGCTCCCAAGCGTACGCTATCCATGTGCCCAACCTCTCAACTCGACTGAACACAACTCCAGGANAAACACGTCCGAGCATGCATTGTCTACACATACGACCACCGCAGTTCACAATCCTTCTGGGCTGGCATGAAGGTGTAAGCAGTCACCACCGCCCGAAACTGTTACAACCATACTGAGCAACTGTTCCAGNNTCAACCCATCATGGCCGACGAAGTCCAGACCTTCAAGGCTCTCATCACCATCCACAAGGTCCTGCAAGAAGGCCACCCCATCGTTCTGAAAGAGGCTCAGGCACACATTGGCTGGCTCGAGAGTTTGTCGCGTGGCATGTCAGGTGGTGATGGCATGAAGGGTACGTCTTGGTTGGTCTGCGCATGCGGTAGACAAGACTGACAATGCTTAGGATACGGTTCTCTCATCTCCGAATACGTCTACTACCTGATCGCAAAGCTCAACTTTCACAGAAACCACCCCGAGTTCAATGGTGAGTACTCTACTACGTAGCGCACGGAATGGGACTGACATGGGCACNNAGGAACCTTCGAGTACGAGGAGTACATCAGTTTGAAGTCCATCAACGACCCAAACGAAGGGTAAGCAACGCTCTGCGCCGGGTCAGTACAGCGACATACTGACTTTGTGCTAGANTACGAGACCATCTCCGACCTTATGAACCTTCAGGATCAGATTGAGACATTCCAAAAGCTCGTTTTTGCTAACTTTAGAGGCGGGCTCAACAACGAGTGCAAAATCTCTTGCCTGGTGCCCTTGGTCCAGGAGAGCTACGGAATCTACAAGTTCATTACCAGCATGCTGCGCGCTATGCATACTGCTCTTGGAGACGACGAAGTCCTCGCTCCTCTTCGCGGACGTTACGACGCCCAGCACTACCGTCTGGTCAAGTTCTACTACGAGTGTTCCAACTTGCGCTACTTGACCAGTTTGATTACCATCCCCAAGCTGCCACAGGATCCACCAAATCTACTAGGCGACGATGAGGAGAGACCTTCTCTTCCCGCCAGACCGAAGAACGAACCCGTCACCAAACCCGCCGATACCCCTCCCCGCCAGCCTTCCGTGGATCCCGAACCGATCAACGAATTCTGGAAGAACGAGCAAGCACGCCAGCAAGAAGAGTATGAGGCAGAGCAGAGAAGATTGCAAGCACAGTGGGATGAGGCGCAAAGGCAACAGCAACAGGCTTCTCTGCAGGCTCAAAGAGATTTCGAGGAACAACAGAGACTACAAGCCGAGCAGCAGAGACTGGCTCAGGAGCAGTTGATGCGTGATCAGTATTCGCAACAGACCCAGGGCAGGATGGCCGAGCTGGAGCGCGAGAACCTCAATGCACGCGCGCAATATGAGCGCGACCAGCTTATGCTTGAACAGTATGACAGACGTATGAAGGCTCTCGAGGGAGAATTACAGCAGCTCCAAGTCAACTTTGGTCAACAGAACGCTTCCAAAGATGAGCAGATCCGTGCTTTGCAGGAGCAAATCAACACCTGGAGGACCAAATATGAGGCTTTGGCTAAGCTATACTCTCAGCTCCGTCATGAGCATCTCGAACTCCTTCAAAAGTTCAAGGGTGTTCAACTCAAGGCAGCCTCGGCACAAGAAGCCATTGACCGAAGGGAAAAGCTGGAGAGAGAACTCAAGACCAAGAACTTGGAGCTTGCCGACATGATCCGCGAGAGAGATCGTGCTCTTCACGACAAGGACCGCTCATCTGGCGGACACAAGGACGAACTTGAAAAACTCAGGCGCGAGCTGCGCTTTGCTCTCGATAAGGCAGAAAACGCAGAGAGATCAAAGGGATCTGAACTTTCTTCCCTTCTTTCTAGGCACAACAGAGAGATTGCGGATCTTGAGGAGGCTCTGCGCAACAAGACGAGAGCTCTGGATAATGCTCAGAACAAGTACGGCGAACAAGACTCTGACCTTGAGAGACTTCTCCGCGAGAAGGAGGACGAGCTTGAAATCTTCAAGGCCGGTATGGACCAGACACTTTTGGAGCTGAACGAACTCCGCAACGGACAGGGTGAGACGGACCAAGCTCTCGACGAGCAGATTGACACTCTTCTTTTGGACAGTGTTCGCAAGATCACCGACATCATCGACTCTGTCCTCCAGAGTGGTGTCCAGCGTGTTGACGATGCTCTCTACGAGCTGGACTCTACCATGCAAGCAGGAAACCAAAGTGCTTCCGGTGCCTATGTTTTGTCGACAATCGAAAAGGCTGCATCAAGTGCAATGGAGTTTTCGACTGCCTTCAACAACTTTATCGCTGATGGTCCCAACAGCACTCATGCTGAAGTCATTCGCACTGTTCACACTTTCTCCAACTCTGTTGCAGACGTCCTTTCCAACACCAAGGGTTTGACTAGATTCGCTTCTGACGAGAAGAAGTCTGACCAGCTGATGAATGCTGCACGCCAATCTGCCCTGAGCACTGTCAGCTTCTTCCGCTCCATCCAGAGTTACCGTCTTGATGGTCTGGATGATCTGCAGAAGACCGACGTTGTAATCAACAAGAACAACGAGGTTCAGATTAACCTCAACAGCTTGTCCAAGATTGCTGATGCATTCGCGCCTAAGCACAAGATTACCTCCGGCTCCGGTGATCTTGGTGATCTTGTTGACCGTGAGATGGGCAACGCTGCCAAGGCAATCGAAGCGGCTACCGACCGTCTTACTGCGCTCATGAACAAGTCTAGAGATGGTTATTCGACCTACGAGCTCAAGATTCACGATGCTATCCTCAACGCTGCTATTGCAGTCACTACCGCTATCGCGAACTTGATCAAGGCAGCCACTGCATCTCAGCAAGAAATTGTCCAGCAAGGCCGTGGCTCTTCATTGTCAAGATCCCAGTTCTATCGCAAGAATAACAGATGGACTGAAGGTCTCATCTCGGCTGCAAAGGCTGTCGCCAACAGCACGAACCTGCTCATCGAGACTGCAGATGGTGTCATTGGAGGTCGCAACTCGCCCGAGCAGCTAATTGTGGCATCCAACGATGTGGCTGCTTCTACTGCTCAGCTGGTCGCTGCCAGCAGAGTCAAGGCCAGCTTCATGAGCAAGACTCAGGAGAGACTGGAAGACGCCAGCAAGGCTGTTACCGGTGCCTGCCGCAGTCTCGTCAAGCAAGTCCAGGCCATCATTGACGCTCGTGCCAACGGCGAAGAAGTCGTTGATTACTCCAAGCTGTCAAAGCACGAGTTCAACAGATCGTACGTATCTCCGATTCCCTCTCATACTGAATATATGCTAACATTCTATAACCAGNNACACATGGAGAAGCAAGTCGAGATCTTGCAGCTCGAGAACGCACTTGGCAGAGCACGAAAAGACCTGGGCGAGATGCGCAAGCTCGCTTATCAGGAAGACGAGGAATGAGCGGTTTTCCACACAGGCCTCTTCTTTTTGTCTCGTTTGTGATACCAAGTTGCGTGTTTTGTTGTATTGTAATTAAATCTATCTTTCTTGTCCTCAAACTTCGAACCTCGTTGCACATGCGTGATGGTGATTGAGCTATAGAGGACTGTCTCTCAGAGTGCTTACGTGTATAGGTTTAGTTGTAAACCCTCACTGTACTTTCGTGAATTGTAGGGAGCGATCCAGAGAGGCATGCGATTCGACACTCTCTCAGACTCGCGGTGTTTCTCGCATCAATTCTCGCCAAGTTCTTCGCATTGTCTTCTGCACTTCTCTCAAGCGCTCGTCACCCGCCCAGCCACGAACGGCAACCTCAACAATTCACTACATATTGAGGAATCTCAGACCCGAGGAACATCTATGCCGATGGTTGCCAGTCATGCCATGCGATATAGTTCGCGTTTTAATGGTGATCAGACACCATGAGGAGCGAATGATGTCGATCTCAGATCCCGGACCGAGAAGGGGATCGTCTACTAGCCTGACCTCGCGACATTGGGTAACCTTCGATGAAATGCCGAGCAGTGGAACTCTGCATACTACGTAACGATACGCAGCATTTTCCGAGTTCTGGAGATATAAAGACGATGGCTCTCGCAATCCCATCTTGGAAAAGTCACCAAGTCCAAATATGCATTCTACTCTAGCCTTCACTGGAGCTTGCTTGTCTGCGGCTCTGGTGGTTGCATCACCTCTAGAATATTCTTCCAACAATTCCTCGAACGGAACTGCAATTCCCAATTTCAGCCTCCCTCCTCAGAACCTCACGTCCTACGGCAACAACTCGCTGTTTACCCAGTGGAGAACCAAAGCCAGATTCAGACCATCCTCAAACCATATCGGGGATCCAACAGCCTTCTGGCAAGATGACGAAGGAGTCTTCCATGTCTCCGGGCTATACTCTTACCTGCGTGGTCCCAACATATCTATCACATCAAGCATTGGCGGTGCTCTGACGTCGGACTTCCTCAGCTTTGTTGATGTTCACAACTACACCAATGCTTCTCTGTTCACAAACGGCATCGAGATTGGGCCTGGAAACAAGAACGACCCTCTAGCTGTCTTCGACGGGTCGGTTATTCCGAAGGGATACAAAGGCTACCCGACTTTGATCTATACTGGGGTTAGCTACCTTCCAATCAGTTGGAGCAAACCATACATCAAGGGCAGCGAGGCTCAGGTGCTCGCATACACTTCGGATAACGGTGCTACATGGATCAAGCCAGGCATCGATCCTGTCATCCCTGGTCCACCAAAGGGATTCAATGTCACCGGATTCCGCGATCCTTGGGTCTTCCAGGCACCACAGTTCGCGCAATTGCTCAATGATACTCCCGAGACCTGGTATTTGTCAGTAAGCAGTGGTATCAGACAAGTTGGACCCCGACTGCTCTTGTACAGACAGAACAGTTCGGATTTCACGAGCTGGGAGTTCCTTGGCCCTTCGGTCTCTACGCCTGTAAATACTACCTTCAGCACTGGAAACTTCTCTGGTAACGATGGCTCCAATTACGAGACTTCAAACACCCTTTTCCTCGACGAGGATGGAGAGAATCTAGAGAACGGTGTTAACTTTGTTACTATGGGGGCCGAATCAGGCAGAGAGACCCACAGCTTCCATTACTCCCTCTGGAAAATGGGCAAATTTGTGCGCAGCTCTGTCAACGAGAGCGTAATTCTAGAGGACCACGCAACTGGCGTTCTCGATTGGGGCCTCGGATACGCTTGTACTACCATGCCTGACCACAAGACCAAACGCCGTCTTGCCTTCTGTTGGAGCAACGATGACTTCAACTCGACCATCTCTGAGCAAGTGGGCTACAGAGTTGGTTCTGGTGGTGTATACTCCATCCCTCGCGAGCTATACTACAAGGAGATCCAAGGCGTCGTGGCCGATGATCTTGCAGCTGAGAATGGCTACTGGTCTGTCGCAACTGGCCATTTGGACACGACTTTGGCAAAGGACGGAATTGAGATGGCCAGGGTTAGTGGCAATGACACTGTCACCCTCGCAACTCTGGGATGCAAACCAGCTCGCGAGATCCTTGCTTTCAGAAAGCATGCCAACCATACCTGGGCTGAGTCTGATTTCAAGGTCGATGTCAAGTCGATCATGTCAAACTGCAGCGGTGTAGAGATTACCGAGAAGGAAGGTGTAACCCATGCCTTCATCCCCTTCAAACAGAGCCCTCAGAGCCGTCGCTGGGAACTCCAAGCCACCGTCGACATCCCTAAATCGTCTCTCCGCAACGAAGAATACGAAGGTTTTGCTGCTGGCTTTACCATCTTGCACTCCAGCGCCTCAGCACCAGCCAACTACTCTGTTGATGATGCAGCAATGCTCTACCGCCCCTCTAACGAAACCTTTATGGTAACCCGCGACGTCGCTCTCGGCGCTGACAATGTAAACACCGACCCCGAGATGGGCAAACTACGCCTTTGGAATGTCTCCTCTACAGACGCTTCAGGCAAGCAAACCTACTCCATCCAACCTCTCTCCATCCGCGCCTTCATGGATGGCAGTTTCTTCGAAGTCTACGTCAACGACGTCCTTACCATCTCGACTCACATCTATTACTGGTACAAAGACTCCACTCGTATGGGCTTTTACCTGCAGTTCCCAGACACATTGCAAAACTCGACTTTGGATACCGGAGTCAAGTTCTCGAACGTTAGTGTTTGGGAGGGTGTGCCCAATGTTTTCCCTAAGCGTCCTACCAACCCGGCAGAGTTGATTGATAATGGTGTGGGGTTTGTGCAGCCGCCTAACAACCCTAACGTACCGCTTACTTATGATGGTGTTGGTGCTCCACCTTTGCCTCCAGCTGAGAATCTGCCTTATGGTATTGATCTGAGTACGGTAGAGTAAGCTAATAGACTACTTGATTTAAGATAGATAGACATATGTAGACTGTCTTACTTGCCTATTTTGACACTGAGAACTCAATTCAAACTTAGTGCGAGCCCGAAGTAAGCAAGAATCCAAGTAAAAGTAGAGTAAGAGTGAATATTCACTTTAAAACGTCTGTATACTTCCTATACACGAGTCCCGAGGCTCTCAATGGCAATTGAACCATTCCAATCCCCTTGTCCTGTGTCAATTATAGAATGTTGTTGAGGAAGTAATCAATTGCTAATGTGTACAGTCTGGTTTAGATAATAAGAAGTCGCGAGTTTCCATCACTTTTAGGTAAGTGGTATGACCCTGGTCGTGAAGATGTAATAGTTTATATGTTGACAATGAGCTTCTCTAGATGCACAATTGTATCGCAGAGGATAGGATGGGTATCAAGGTGATCAGTAGTGTATCCTATTTGATGGTGGACATGAGCAAAAAGCTTACAAAACGAGGCTCACATCAAAACTCTCTCGTTCATCTTGAGTTCTGAGCGAGTGACACAAGAACAAACCACGTCCACAGGTCATACTATGTGATTCCAACAGTCCGTAACTACAATCTATCTGCAAACCCGCATCCTCCACCATCTGCCATCGACTCTTACGATATAGCTTTAAGAACGTACGATCATTCTTGACAAGAGGCGTGGTCCAGAGAGAGCCAAAGAAGTCACAGCTCTTAGTGGAAGCTAGTCCTTTCCCTACAACATTATGCACTTCTACAGCTTACATTGTCAATATGCGTCGCCGTGAGATATCAAGTGTCAATGCCATGAGTAAGACTCGAACAATCTTCTTGAACATAAGTGCATGTCGTGAAGAGGTCGTTATCACAGGCCAGCCGTCCGACCGAATGATGCAGTTGAAGATCGTTTGGAAGGACCGATTGCACGTTGGCTGACCACTTGGCAAGCAAGCTGTAAAGCAGCGCTTGGAACCAAGTACAGTAGTGACTTTGCAGACATACGACGCTGCATCATATGCTTAGCTACAAGGGCAGACAAGGCTGAACAGAATGTCTCCTGGACGGCAGCTGGAAAACAAAAGATATGTTTGAAATGACGATGGTCGATAAGACTGATAAGGTGGTCGGATGTGCACCAATAAGAGACGGCTGGGCGTTTTTTCGCTGCATGACTCCACGGCGCCGACAATCGGGGGCACTGGAAGCTCGGGCTTTGTGCTTTTTACCAACCTCCAACGTGTGCTCTCTCCTCCCCCATCGACACCTCCTCCAACCCCCATCAATCCACCCGGACTGCCTGTTAGCGGGCTGATATCGTCCTTATGCGTACTGCGCCCACCACCTACACCAGCCAAGGCAAGTCGAGAGAAACACCCCTCAACGCGTTTCAGCAGTCACTAACAGCCTGCCAGACTACATTAGCGACCATCTCTGGAAGGCCAACGTGAATTAAGAACTCGCCACATACAAGATCAATCTACCGAATACACACCAATCCATTTACAACCATTCATACGACACTCAACATGCTTCCCACCCTCCTCAAATCCGCCGCCATGAGACCCACCTCGGCCAGAGTTGCCAGACTCGGCATGCAGGTTAGAGGCAACGCCTCGGTCGTCTCTGCAAGCCAGCGTGCATTGCCTCTCCAGAACAGAAGATCTACTGCGCCTTCATTCGAGCGTGCTACCTTCACTATCAGAGTACGCCTATCTGGCTTATCAGACATGCACGAGTCAATGGCTGACAAGACGTAACAGGATGGTCCTATTTTCCACGGCAAGAGTTTCGGCGCCAAGACCAACATCAGTGGTGAGGCCGTCTTCACCACCTCCCTGGTCGGCTACCCCGAGTCCATGACCGATCCTTCGTACCGTGGTCAGATTCTGGTCTTCACCCAGCCCCTGATCGGCAACTACGGTGTTCCTTCGTCCGTCAGAGACGAGTACGGCCTGCTCAAGTACTTCGAGTCGCCCAACATCCAAGCCGCTGGTATCGTTGTCGCTGATGCCGCTCTTCAGTACAGCCACTGGACCGCTGTCGAGAGTCTGAGCGATTGGTGCGCTAGAGAAGGTGTTCCCGCCATCTCGGGCGTTGACACTCGTGCCATTGTCACCCATCTGCGTGAGCAAGGTTCTTCGCTCGGCAAGGTTGTCGTTGGTGAGGAGTATGATGCCGACGAGGATGAGGCTTTCGAGGACCCTGGCAACGTCAACTTGGTTGCCAAGGTCAGCACAAAGGCTCCCTGGCACGTTGCTTCGCCCGTTGGTGACATGCACGTCGCTCTTATCGACTGTGGTGTCAAGGAGAACATTCTCCGCAGTCTGGTCGCTCGTGGCGTTTCCGTCACTTGCCTGCCTTACGACTACCCCGTCCACAAGATTGCCAGCCACTTCGACGGTGTCTTTATCTCCAACGGACCTGGTGACCCGACCCACTGCCGCACCACCAGCGACAACCTCCGCAAGCTGATGGACTCTTCTCAGATCCCCGTCATGGGTATCTGTCTTGGTCACCAGCTTTTGGCCATGGCCATTGGTGCCCAAACCATCAAGATGAAGTACGGAAACCGTGCTCACAACATTCCTGCTCTCGACTTAATGACCGGAAAGTGCCACATCACCTCGCAGAACCACGGTTACGCTGTGGATGCTACCACCATCCCCAACGAGTTCAAGGAGTACTTCATCAACCTCAACGACTCTTCCAACGAGGGCATGATTCACAAGCACCGTCCCATCTTCAGCACACAGTTCCATCCTGAGGCTAAGGGTGGCCCGCTCGACTCGAGCTACCTGTTCGACGCCTACGTCAACAGTGTCTCGCAGTACAAGAAGACTCAGTCTTCTCTTCACCCCAACATGGCCAACCGCCCCAGCCCTCTGCTTGTGGATTTGCTTGCAAAGGAGCGCGTCGGCGTTGCTCCCGGTGTGCCTCTCTACCAGCACCCCGAGCCCGTCATTGCTCACTGATTTCAAAGTGTTTGAATATTGTCTGGGTGCGGGACGGCGTTGGGTCTTGGATGGGGATATTGATAGCTTTTTCCAAATGGAACATTTTCAACTGAATCAAAGTGTCGGATTGTGTATGTGAGATGTGAAGTAAGATGCTGAGCAGGCGTGAGTCGAGTAATGAAGCCATTAGGGCTGTTAGATAGTGAGAGTATGATTACTGCGTGTCGCAAAAGGGCTGATACAGGGCTCACACAGGGTGGATATGTATGAAACGACTTGGCAGGGGAATGAGCCCCTTCTTGACGCGCGCGAGGGGGCACAAGTTGCAACGCTTCGGTAACCACGTCAGCGCGGTGGGTGCTCCTGCCTCCTGCTGCACAGCCCGCTGCTCCTTGTGTAGAAACAATTCGTACTCGTACCCGTGTCGTAAGAGCATCTAGCTCTGACTGTCAGACAAAGGATCGTGCACAGCGTGACAAAGAGTCGTAGCCTCTTGACCTTGTACACCAAGCATCCAGCAATCTTGCAAGCGCATGCCGCGCCGTCACCTTGATCTCTCGACCGAAGCGGGCTGCAGAACGACTGTACACAATTTCACATCAACACCGAGAACTGCGTTATGGTGACTTGTAATACGACAGCCGAAGAGACGACAAGTACGCTCGCCATGCGCTCGTTGTTCTTCCCAACTTGCTGACCATATGCGCANGTTGTCGAGGATCCTCTGTTCGCCAGCGTCACCTTCCACCATGTCGGCCTGGTCATATCCGCCGTCTTTGCCCTCATCTCGGTCATTGTCGCCTTCTTTCTCATTTTCAAGCACGCGACCCATTACTCGAAGCCATGGGAACAGAAACAGTATCTACCCCTCCATTGCGACAAGCCCGCAATGATCAACCGTGCTGACGAACATCAAGCNATCATTCGCATTCTCCTCATGATCCCCATCTACTCGACCGTCTCCTTCCTCTCGTACCTCTACTACAAACACTCCATCTACTTTGAAGTCCTCCGCGACTGCTACGAAGCCTTCGCCATTGCCTCCTTCTTTACACTTCTCTGCAACTACATTGCCCCGAATCTCCACGAGCANAAGGATTACTTCCGCCAAGTCACCCCTATAAACTGGTTCTGGAGCGTCTTTGGCCTGCAGAAATGTACCGGTGGAAAAGACAAGGGCATCCTGCGCATACCCAGAAGCGGCTTGACTTGGTTCAACGTACGACCCCTATACCTTTTGCGAAATATGTCATGCTCATCTCAGCTCAAAGTACTGATTTTGAATCGCAGNGTCGTTTGGCTCTCAATCTTCCAGTATGCCTTTGTCCGCGTGCTGTTCACTATAGTCAGTGTCGTCACTCAGGCCATGGATCGCTACTGCGAGGCTTCGCTACATCCGGCATTTGCGCACATCTGGGTTATGGTATTTGAGAGTGCCTCGGTCACCGTCGCCATGTTTATGCTCGTCCAATTCTACCTACAGCTCAAAGCCGATCTTGCCGAACACCGACCTTTCTTGAAGGTCTTGTGCATCAAGCTGGTTATTTTCTTCAGTTTCTGGCAATCGGTAAGCTTCTACAAACCTTGATCTCTCTGAAAACGTCACTAATAGAAATAGCTTCTTATCTCGTTCCTCTCATCTTCGAGCGGACCTTTGCAACCTACAAAGAAGATTTCTTATCCAGACATCAAGGTCGGCATTCCATCAATGCTTCTGTGTGTTGAGATGGCTATATTCGCTGTCATGCATCTCTTCGCTTTCCCATGGCGCGAGTACGACCTCTCAAAGACTCCCTACGCCGACCCTGTCACGGCCCCTGGTTCTGGGTTTTCCGGCAATGCACCAAAATACCATGGTGGATGGCTGGGTGTTAAAGCGTTTGGAGACACCTTCAACCCGTGGGATCTTATCAAGGCCACCGCTAGAGGCTTCAGATGGCTGTTTGTGCGCCGCAAGCACAGACATCACGATGTCTCGTACCAAGCACCAAAGATTGGTGTCAATCTCGACGAGCCGGCAACCTCGATACCTGGACCGAATGTCACCTCTCATACTTTGCCGTCAGCGACGGAACTTGAGCACCAGAGACGCGCCAGAGCGGATACAGTCGATGATGCAGATACAGCCGGTCTGTTGTCTAACGCCCAGCAGAGTGGACTGGCAGTTCGTCCTTACCCATACTCTCCTTCGCATTCGCCAATAAGAAATGCCTCGTTCGACGACAGATCGGACCACGGAGAGTCCGAGGCACCAACTGCTGATGTGAGTCTTATGGGGGCTTCTAGAGCGCAGGTGCTACAGCCAAGTGCATATGGAGGTATTGACGCACCACGGCCTGGCATCAACAGATGGGATAGCGATATCGAGTACCACAGTACGACAGGGCCGACGATGGGTCCATACGCTGGAGTCGATGGCCATGCCGAGTCTTCAGCAAACCAATGGGATCACTGGGCTGGCGCGAGCAGACACCAATAATGATGGTATCACGATAAAGAAAAAGAATGGTGCATTCTCACATCACGACTAGACGGCGGGATATGATCTACGGGTTAAGGTCGCACTTTGGGACTGGAGGCTTTCTAGGGGGTTTGTTACTATGATACCACTTGCGAACACGGCGTTCTTGTTTTTATTGAAAAGGGCTACTTGCAGCTTTCATAGTATTGGTCAAAGCTTTCAATTATGTGTACAAATATTTCGTCAAGTAAATTTATTGTTTAGCGAGTAACAAGCCGGGCATGTAGGTTATTGCTTGGAATCGACTGTGGAAATGCACCTTCCTCGCCGCCAAAGCTGGAAAGGCCGACCCTGCCCCTCGATGAGCAGGTGTCTTGGCATTGAACCCTCCGACTCTCGGAGGAGAAAGTTTCTCCAGCAATGAGCAACACCTAGCAGATCCATCTTCATTATTTATCGTTGTTGAATTCTACAGATCTATCTGCTAGGTGAGTCTAATTGTCATGTTAAATGCATGTCTCGAGCATGTGTTGTGATTTCTTTCCATCTCATGCACACTTGGTTTTCTTTACTATGTTCAAGATTCCAATGACCACCCATCTCAAGAATCTATACAGAACTGCTTGCATGACAGTCCAAAGCATGACTGACGGGCTACTGATATTGTTTCTGGTGATTGTTGTTTGTTTTTAATTCTGGTCACACTTGTTCATGCGCTGTTCCACACCACATTCACATCAAGCTCGACCATCCGATTGAGATTCAGCACACTAACAGATCACTCAGAGGAGAATATCTTCGAAATCATGTCCACTCCTCCTACTGTTACTCAGATTGACTCGCAGGGTACGAGTATCTCGACCTTCTCAATCTGGACCATAATCTGACCATTCGTTACAGTCGAGCGACATGGCCTGAAAAAGATTGCCAGCGGCAAAGTTCGCGAAATCTACGAGATTGATCCTCAAAGCCTCCTCTTCGTCGCTACGGACCGCATCTCCGCCTACGATGTCATCATGAAGAACGGAGTGCCCCAAAAGGGTGCCCTTCTCACCCTGATGACTGCCCACTGGTTCAACCTTCTCAAGGAAAAAATCCCAGATCTCAAGACTCACCTGTTGAGTGCTTCTGTGCCTGCCGAGGTGGCCTCGTCGCTTCCTGCTGAGGTTAGTGAGCAGTTGCGTTTGCGCACCATGCATGTTCGCCGTTTGAAGGTTTTGCCTTTGGAGAGCATTGTTCGTGGATACATTACTGGGTCTGCGTGGTCAGAGTACAAGAAGACTGGCACCGTGCACGGTATCGCCATGCCTCAAGGTCTGCAAGAAAGTCAGAAGTTGGAAAAGCCACTCTGGACTCCCAGCACCAAGGCCGAGGTCGGTGACAAGGATGAAAACATTAGTCCTGAGCAAGCCACCAAGATTGTTGGCGAAAAGTACGCAAGCAAGATTGAGGAGTTGAGTCTCAAGGTCTACCAGATTGTGAGTGTTTCTGTAGGAAGTTACAATGATAGCAAGCTAATTAGTTTTTTTTTTTTGCAAAAANNGGCTAGGGATTATGCTGCCGAGCGCGGTATCATTATTGCTGATACCAAGTTCGAGTTTGGTCTTGATGTCGATACCGATGAGGTTATCCTTGTGGATGAGGTCCTCACCCCTGACAGCTCGCGCTTCTGGCCTGCAGACAAGTATGAGTTGGGCAAGTCACAGGACAGCTTTGACAAGGTACGATTTTGGGAGACAATGCACGGAAAGAGCAAGTTCACTGATTATATGAATAGNCAATACCTGCGTGACTGGCTGACCAAGGAGGGCTTGAAGGGCAAGGACGGTGTCGAAATGACCGATGCCGTGGTCAAGGAGACGGCCAAGAAGTACCGCGAGGCCTTTGAGATGTTGACTGGCCAGAAATGGGATGAGGTTGTCAAGAGCAGTGCTTAGGTATGTGTTCTAGTTAGTCTTCTCATAGACATGTTCACCACTGTACAAAGAATCAATGAGACATGACATTTTCTCTGCACTGCACAGCACACTCGGGAAACAACAGGTGAACGTGGCGTAGCTTAGAACGGGGAGTGGTATTCGTAAAAGAGCCCTCGATTCAACATGGCTCGAGGCAGGTACTTTTCCTTCTTCAGTATTCTGACGCCTCATTTTGCAAATCAGGATCACGACCATTGCGTTGTGCCATTGCTCCTGCCGGGGGATGGTTTGTATGGAAGTGTTCAGAAGACTCGATGCCATTTTTGTTGGTAAAAATCCATAAAGAAAAACTCCCCACCCACAGCTAGCAAAAAAAAGAGGCCCCAGGGTGCTCGTCATGCAAGTTGCAAACCGCTTAGATGGCAGTGTCGTAGGCGATGGGAGCAAGAGTCTCGGGCTTGGCCTCCTTGTAGGAGATGGTGCGGGCCTCGCGGGGCATGGCGGGTTGGCGCTTGAGGAAGGCGTGGGAGCCGTCGGTCTTGGCCTGGCGCTTCTTCTCGGCGTTGGTCTTGACGCGGGTCAAGAACTCGTCGCGCGAACGAGAGTGGCGGACGTGCTCGATGCGGACGTTGATGCGCTTCTCAATGTAACGGTTGCCGACCTGGCGGTAGAGGATGACACCGACGGCGGACTTGGTCACGTTGTAGACGACACCGGTCTTGCCGTGGTAGACCTTGTAGGGCATACTGTTGTAGGTGTTAGAGGAGCGGCTTCTTCTTGCGACGAGCGGATGTGGGCGAGGCTGGCGACTGACCCNCTTCTGGACGGCACCGTTGGCGACGACATCGACAATGTCTCCGACCTTGTACTGCTTGAGGTAGGTCGAGAGGGCAATGTAACCCTNTGGGAGGTGTTAGTTGTCGTGCTCTGCGTGGCTCGGAGGATCGGTCGGTGTGCTTGCCTTCTTCTTGAAGTCGCGCGAGAAGGCGTATCTGGTACCAGCTCTGTTTTTCACTGCGTCAGCGTCCGAGTCGTTCGGGTGGGCGTATGCGGCTCGTTGGAGCGCATGGCGAGGGTCGAGTTGTACCTGAGACCTGCGGCGTGACCCATTTTGACTGTTGGTTATCGGAGACTGGGGATTGTCGAGTGTATAGTGTCGTCGCGCTCGAAAAGTTCAGAGGGAGTCGCTTGGCTGCGAGTGAGTCCAAAATTCGAAGGCCGGCGTGGGCCGCCAAGATCGCGCTTCGCAGCACGGACCCCCACAGTCGCTCCTGCCCTTTTCACTTGGGAGCACTTCTCCTCTTGATCTTCCTTTCTGCTTGCGAGAGAGACTTCACCCAGCGACAACCATGGCCCCCGTTCCTACTCCAAGACCTACAAGGTCCCCGTAGACCTTTCGAGTCCGCTCGTCTGTTAGTATCTTCCAATGGCCACTGAGCTAGAGCTTGCTCTGTTCACGTCAATGGATCCTGTGGTTAACACCCTTGGAATAGGGACTCTGAGTTGAAGAGTGTCGGCGAGTACGGTCTCCGTAACAAGCGTGAGATCTGGCGCGTCCAGCTCACTCTGTCCAAGATCCGTCGTGCTGCCCGGTACGTTGGCGCTTTCTCTTTTCTGTTTTTGCTGATTTCGCACGCGACACGAGAATTCTTCACTCTTCTGCAACTTTGCGCATTCTCACCTGTCTACACCTTGCGCCCACTCATTCCTCTGCGTCTACTGCGCTCACCATCCTTCTACACTCACTGCGCAAACTCCACCATCACACCACAGCCACTAACACCCAAATGCAGTCAGCTCCTCACCATGGACGAGAAGGACCCCAAGCGTCTCTTCGAAGGAAACGCCCTCATTCGCCGTCTGGTCCGTGTCGGTGTCCTTGACGAGTCCCGCATGAAGCTCGATTACGTCTTGGCCCTGAAGGTCGAGGACTTCTTGGAGCGCCGTCTCCAGACCTGCGTCTACAAGCTCGGTCTCGCCAAGTCCATCCACCACGCCCGTGTCCTCATCCGCCAGCGTCACATCCGCGTCGGCAAGCAGATCGTCAACGTCCCCTCGTTCGTTGTCCGTCTCGACGCCCAGAAGCACATCGACTTTGCCCTGACCTCGCCCTTCGGTGGCGGTCGTCCCGGCCGTGTTCGCAGAAAGAAGGCCAAGGCCGCCGAGTCCAAGGAGGCTGGTGGTGACGAGGAGGAGGAGGAGGAGTAAATCAATCGCTCCACCTCGGCGTTCTGAAAGGTTTCCAGGCACAGGTCACGGGTACATTCGGGAATCATGCCAGGCCATGATAGTGCGCCCTTCAAAAGCTCAATCTCAATTTGACGAGTCTCTTCTGCAAAAATACCCCCATTCAAATGCGCACAGTATTACGACCTTTTATGTTATTTATGTGAAGCGTCCATTCGTGAATGTTTGCAACTTTTACTCTCTCATATGTCTATCTCATTATGTTGCATCTGTTTTTTCTTTCGATTGTCAACCACAAAAGTTTGGTTTCCCTAATCAGGAACCTCACTGGCATAGACAACACCAATTCAGGCAGGGCTTGGCTTTTTGCCTGTTCATATTCCTCCTTGGCCCTGATCTACGACCACATGTCATCTCCACGACTATTCTTCGTCCATGGTATATTCAAAATCATTCTGTCAGTTGGAGTGGAAACACACAGACAGTTACATTCTCGAGTATTGGATCCACCGTCTCATCATGAAGTAAAGAGCGATCTGTGAGCTATAACAACCCACAATCGTCTCCAGATCCAAAGCTCTGTCCAGAGAGAGAGTCGAAAAAACGATTACTCTCAGTGGATATAGTTCTTTTTCCTGCAAAGTCTTGTGCGGCTTTACTGCTATATCTGTAACGAGACCTAGCACATGGGGAGTGGGACAACAATCCTTCCGACAAGGCTGTGCTAGCCTTTTCATTTGAACATGCATATCATGCGCCTCCATCGGTAAGCAATGCAGTGCCTCGATCGTCATGTTCTCTCTGAATATTCGCATCTGGCTGTAACTTCACTTCTTTTTCTTTCTCCCTGTTTGCACTGAGTGCTAGCGACTATGTCCAAGGCAACAGGATCATCCATCGAGACACTACATACCGGACTGATATCGGAAGATTCATCTGTTCAGAACCTGGATGCCACGAAACAGCTCGGTAGCTGGAGGTTTACTGTGCGAGCGGGAGTCGCTGTCGCAAGTCTTGTCGCGCTGGCCAACTTGGGTTGTTTCATATGGGCACTGACCCTAGACCGTGAAGATGGATCTGCGACTGTCTTTGAAGGTAGAACCTCGAGTCCTTCGTTGTTGACCCAAAAGCTAATTGTGTTGGAAGGCTCTTGTGATGAGGTCAAGAGAATAACCTTCTGGGTCGATCTGGCGATCAACACCCTCTCTACCCTATTGCTCGGGGCTAGTAACAACTGCACCCAGTTGCTTGTTGCCCCTACCAGGAAGGATATAGATGATGCTCACGCTGCTGGTCGGTATCTCGACGTGAGTGTGTCTTCCATGCGGAATCTTCTGGCTGTGAGTCGTTGGCGCAAGTGGCTTTGTGCTTGCCTGTTTCTGAGCTCGATCCCTTTGCATCTTCTGTAAGCGTGCTGCAAATTCGACCTCTCTTACCTCTGCTGATGTTCGATAGCNTATAACTCGGTCGTATTTTCCACCTTGTCGGCAAACAACTACATGGCCGCGTTAGTCACGGATGACTGTCTTCGAGGAGCAGCCTGGAACAACAGCAGACTCGACCGTTTGTCAGAGACCGAGGCCACAGGACAAAGACAACTCATGCGTTTGCAAAATAAAGTTGACCACATGACGAGATTGGAGACCCCTGAATGCGTCCGAGCATATGGCATAAATCTCGTTCAAACCGACTGGAAGAACGTTTTGGTTGTATCGGAGGCCAATGTCACAGGTCCTTTGATCACATCATACTACCACCGTACCGATTCCCTGGACAACGACCTGGGCTGGGTTTGTGGTAGGCAGGAAGCAGGAGCAAGAGAACCATGTGATATTAGAACGATACTTTCGCGTTCCACAAACTGGATCATTACCGACCGCGAGACCAATCAAAATCTCAGCGTGTATACAGTGAGGGGGCCACAGGAGTCTTTGTCTGGAAGGCAAGCCGAGGGACCTTGGTTTGGAGCATCGATCCAGTATTGTCTTGCCGAGTCGGTTCCAGAACGCTGCACTATCGAGATAAGTACACCATTACTTGGTACGGTGTTGCTTTGTAATCTGATGAAGGTGGTATGTCTGGTATGCGCGCTTCTCGTCCGGAAGTTCAACCCTATGGCCACAGTCGGCGATCTGATCAATTCACGTTTGAACGGTCCTGATTCTTATACCATAGGGAGAGGTCCCATCACCGCCAAAGGTGTACACAGAAAAGGTTGGTTACGGCTGAAGAAGCTGGTGTCCAGGCTTCTTGATGATTACCAAGAGATCTACGTTGAGCACTCGCAGTCCTTCTTCAGCCATGCTCACAGCAGGAGTTTGCCTGCTAGAAGCTCTCACACAATAGTTGATACAGTAGAAAAGCCAAATGTAACACCATTTCGGTGGAAGGAGAAGGAATCCCGATGGTACCAGACCTCGTCCGTGTCGAGCTGTGCTGTCTGTGTAGTCTTGTGCGCACTTGCTTGGTGCACAGGGATATACCTCCTGGACAGGACCATTGATATTCGCGAGAATATCGATCCGCAGACGTACACACTCGCACGAATGTGGCAAGATGTTGTTGGTACAGTCTCGACCGACTTCCTTGTTGGCACTGGTGACCACGAGAGGTCACTGATGGAAAACGTCCTCTTGGCCAACACGCCTCAACTTGCCATCTCAGTCATCTATGTCTCTTACAACAACTGTTTGACCATGATGATGCTCGGACAAGAGTATTCGGGCTACGCCAGGCACCGCAAGCCCTTGCGAGTGAGCAGACCAGAAGGGGATCAGCGAAGCACGTACAGACTGCAACTGCCATATCGGTATAGCGTACCGCTCATGGCTTCGATGGCTACACTGCACTGGCTGATCGCACGAAGCATCTTTCTCGTAGAGATCAACGTCTTCGACTACAACGGAAATGCATTGGCAAAGAGAGTCTCTGGTTGTGGCTACTCGCCCATGGCTATTGTGCTGTCGCTTTTCATCTCTGGTGTCATCATCCTAGCATTGTTGGCGAGTGGTGCGAGAAAGCTGGAGCCTGGTATACCATTAGCTTCGAGCTGCAGTCTGGCTATCGCTGCCGCTTGTCACACGAGTCCCGGGGATGAAGACGCCAGAATGTTGCCATTAAAGTACGGGGTTATGATTGCAGAAGAGCCGGATAGCGTGAGCGAATATGAGCATGCGTGCTTCAGCAGCAAAGAAGTAACGCCATTGGTTGACGGGCATCTGTATAGTTAAATGGTGTTTCAGCCTTCCAGTACGTTAAAGACCGTCCTAGTATAGCGGTAGCAATGCACAATACTTTCCATCACAGAGCGATATCCAGGTAGAGAGCATAATGTTTGACCATCTCTATAGCCACATACCTGGCCAGAAAGCGACTGTGCATTTTTACAGCTACTAACGAGAATGCGTGTCGTTATGGGAGAGGTGTGGATCTTGATGTGCTTTGGCATACTGGAAGACTATATCTTAGGTCAGCTTGCAATCACATTTCAAGGGACAGACACGCCGATCCACAACTTCACATCGATAATCCACCACCAACCAACATCACTAGAACGAAAGTCATAAGATTTTGATCGCCCAACCAGCTTCTTCACGCAACCCGAATCGACAGCGCAAAAGCAGACTTGAATTAGCATGAAAGCTTCAGCAGAAGGATGCTTGGACGGTAGATTCGGGTCTGACAGTCCCCAGCTGGGTGGAAAGTTGTGTAGCAAGAAGGAACAGATGGGTTCGGAGTATGTGTCGAGGGAAAGCACGATGCCTGCTTGGAAGTGGTGCTTTAGGAAGCAGCAACTACGCACTTTGCCTTGTCGTCCCCGCCTTGTTCAACAGCGAGTGATTGAATCAGTGTTAGCCTAACACAGCAATACACTGTTAGACAGACGGGATTGAGAATGGTTTGTGGATAATTTGTATTCTTGTAGGTCTGTTGAACCTAAAACATTAAAAGGCCGCTACTGCCTTTGACAGAAGAAAAAGGTCGTTAAACTATAGTACAGGTGAAGGTAGTATTTTTCGTGAGTGGTGTCCGTTTACTTGGCATCCTTCTTGGCCTTGTCGACGATATCTTGAGCCTTGTTGGACTGCTTCTCAAGGACCTTCTTGAGCTCATCCATGGTCTCTTTCAACAGCTTCTCACCCTCGTCTCTGTGCTTCTCAGCAACCTCCTTGAGTTGTTGGAGCTTGGGCAAGATCTCGCCACCGTTGGGGATCATCTTGAGGTACTGGTCCATGCCACCGAAGCCCCACTGAGAGCTCATCTGAGAGCCCTTCGACTTGGCCTTCTCGACGGCGGAGTTGACGTAACCTTCAAGGTCGCCAGTGCTGCCGGAGTCGATGCTGCTCTTGACCTTCTCGAACAGCTCCTTGGCATTACCTTGCTTGAGAGCGTCGGCGTTGTTCTCGACGAGCTCCTTGACCTTGGGGTTCTTGTCGAGGTAAGGCTTGGCCTGCTCGAGACCCTTCTGCCAGGCCTGGTCACCAAGCTTCTTGACCTGCTCAACCTTCTCCTCGACGATCTTGCGGGCCTTGTTGACGTTGGTAGCGCTGATGCCACCAGCCATGATCTCCTTGACCTGGTCCCAGGTTCTGTCGACCTCTTGCTTGACCTCAGGGCCGTACTGGTCGCCCATGGACTTGAGCTGCTCGATTCTAGGGCCGACCGACTCCTTGAGTTGAGGGTGGTTGTCCATGAGATCTTGGGCGGCATCAGCTGCCAAAGCACCGATCTTCTGGGAAAGTCTTCCGAGAGCCTCCATGGCCTTGTTCAAGCTCTCGCGGCTCAAACCAGTCTTGGAGACTTCTTGGAATTCGCCGTAGGTCTCCTTGATGATCTGGTCAACATCATCCTTGTGGTTCTGGCGAAGAGTGTCGAGGTCCTTGAAAGCGGTGTCGATGTACTTGCGACCACCGGGGATCCAGGCAACGTAGGAGTAAGCAAACTCCTTGACGTAGTTGATGGCCTCGTCGGCATCGGGGGTGTTTGCTTGGATCTTGTTGCTCATGTCATTGTAGTAGAGAGCGGCATCCTTGGCGGCGCTGTTGACCTTTCTGGACATGCGACCAGCAGGGCTCAAGGCGTAGATGGTGTAACCAACAACGGCGACAGCAGTACCGCTGGCGAGACCAGTAACGACATGGGAGTTACCGCCAGTCGATGAACCAGTGGAGGAGGACTGGAAACGGGCCTGTGTGTTGCGGGGGACCCTCGCCGAGCGAAGAGTTCTGGGAAGGGAGGAGCGGGCAATTGGTCTAGCGGCGTACATGATGGAAATTGAGTTTGTGATTGTGATGATGGGAAAAAGGATTGTCAGGAACGCGAGAGGCCAGCAGTTTTATAGCAGCATGACATGTCTTTGCAACTGTGATCGAAGAGGACTGGGTACTGAGAGCTTGGACCCCATGACGCATGTATACGCTAATAGCTGCGGCTGCCATGACGATTTTGTGTGGACTGGTTCCCAATTGTGGGTAATAGCTTTGAGCCACAACGGGTCTGCCATCTTCGTCGCATCGGATCACAGTGGAAGCTGGTGGAAAGATGTATGCTTCTTGCTCTCACATGAACGTGAACGAGAAATAATAGGACATGGAAGTGACGCACGAAAAAGTATTGCTGTAGCTCCCGGCGTCCCGCCGTCGAGACAAGCGCCTTCTCCACAATGAACCCCGCGCATCCGTCTGTCGATCATCGGGGAAAGCCTCAGCTCGAGCATCTTGCGACCTTCTGTCCCACTTCGTTTCCTTCCTGTTATTGTCTCGTAAACCACACCCCTGTCTAGCTCGCAACACCGTCAGTCTTCGCTCATACAAGCTTGATCCGGCTTTCCATCCTCATTTCAATCCCTTCACACCCTGCGTCAGCCATGTTTTCGCGACGCCTCACATCGCGCCTGTCGTCCCTGGGCACCTCGAATCTGAGCCGCCCTCTGTCGACAAGCGCAATCACCGCTTCATCAAAGAGAGCACCCTCGCTCTCCGACGTCGAGCCCAACAAGGGTCATCTGTTCGATCAGAACTCACAAAAGTTCCGCAACGACCTGGCCGCTGCCCAGAAGAAGCGTGAGCAGGAAGAGAGTCAGTCAACTTACACATCCCCGAGTGTATTCACTCTAATTACGAATGGTGTTGACAGANNATCCAAAGCACGCGATCAATCAGAAGATGGCAAGAAGGGCGGTCGTCTCTCCAACTTGCTCTACGGCACTCAGGAGGGCCGCGAGATGGACAAGGAGATTGAGCGCAGCTTCAGTCAGGTCCTTGCCCGAGGCAAGTACGTCCACAGCATTGTCTTGCACGATGTGAAGCCCGACAAGGTCGACGAGTATGTTGAGCTTGTTGGTACCTGGTACCCTCGTATGGCCAACATGCCTGAGAATAAGGTTCATCTGGTGGGAAGTTGGCGAACAGAGGTTGGCGACTGCGATACCTTCGGTTTGTCTTGTCCAAGTCCCCATCTTGTGTTGGAATCTTTGCTGACTGGAATCTCACANGTTCACATCTGGGAGTACCAACGTTACGAAGGATACCACGCTTCGCTGCACGCCATCCAGCACCACCCTGAATTCCCCGAGTTTGACCGCAAGCTCAAGTCGTTGATCAACTCGAAGAAGACATCTTTGATGCAAGAGTTCTCGTTCTGGCCCACAACAGCTCCTCGCAAGCTTGGTGGTGTCTTTGAGCTTCGCTCGTACACCTTGCACCCTGGCAACCTTCTGGAGTGGGAAACACACTGGCGCACTGGTCTGCGTGCTAGAAAAGAGGTCATGGAAGGTGTGGGTGCATGGTTCGTGCAGATTGGAGACCTCAACACTGTCCACCACCTGTGGCAATTTGCCGACCTCGAGGAAAGACGTTCGCGCAGAGAGCAGAGCTGGAGTGTGTCTGGCTGGGGTGAAACCGTGCACAAGACTGTCCCGTTGATTCAGACGATGAAGAGCAGAATCTTGGTGCCCATGCCGTGGAGCCCTGTTGCATAAAGAGCTAGCCTCGATGGAAGAGGGGCCCCTTACAAGGCACCCAGACGAACCACTGAACATGATCATTGAATCGTTCAGTAAAGCATTCATCGGTCGGGAATCAACAGCATTCACATAGCATTTATTTGTCTTGCAGCGAAGGTAGCGGCGGAGTCAGTCACCGTGAGCGCTGTACAAACAACTTTTCAGGCTCGATTTTTAAGTAGCCAGCACAATCCTCAGTCAGTCTCGTTTCTATCAACGGTCGTGTCTCGAAAACTCTCAAGTACGCAGCAGCAAACTTTCCATCTTGCACGTGTTTGACCGATGACGAGGCGGTCTGACCTGGAAAGCAGGATCGTGCACGTCCTTGATGTGCTTGGCGCGTTTTTCATGGACTCGAGACCTCGCTGGCCATCCTTCATTGTTAGATTTCCTTTCTCTTTGAGATTGTACGATAGATTCGTTGAAAGGTTTATCCATCATGGTGTACATTCGACAAGACCGGCTTCCCAAGCTCAAGGAGTACAAGTACTCTGGCGTCGACCACAGCTTGCTGTCGCGTTATGTGTTAAAGCCGTTCTACACGCACGTCGTCATCAATTGTTTTCCAATGTCCATGGCNGTGAGTAAATCGATAACTATTTTTGAAGCTCTGAAAAGATGAATGTATTCTGATGTGTGTTTCTTTGTAGGCCCAATCTCGTAAGCTCTTATCTTTGCACTCGAGCTCGTTGGAAACTTTGATATATCTGCAACGGAATGCTGAGACTTGTGATTACAGATTACCTTGAGCGGGTTCAGCTTTGTCATTGCAAACTTGTTGACGATGTTTTACTATACTCCTGGCATGGATCAGGATTGCCCTTCTTGGGTATACTATTCTTGGGCCATTGGTCTCTTCACATACCAGACTTTTGATGCCGTGGATGGCAGTCAGGCGTAAGTTCTGAGCTCTTCTGAACAGTCCTGAGGCCCGCAATGCTGATATACTTCCTTGCAGNNACGAAGAACCAGACAAAGCGGTCCCCTCGGCGAACTCTTCGACCATGGAGTCGACGCTCTGAACACTTCGCTGGAGGTCCTCATCTTCTCGGCAGCCATGAGCTTTGGTCAAGGCTGGAGAACCGTGTTGATTCTCTTTGCCTCTCTCTTGACCTTTTACGTGCAGACCTGGGATGAATACCACACTCACACTTTGACTCTGGGTATCGTTTCCGGCCCTGTCGAAGGTATCATTACCCTCTGCATTGTATACGCATTCACTGGCTATGTTGGAGGCGGCAGCTTCTGGCATCAATCCATGTTTGCTACTCTGGGAATGCCTCGTCTCGAATTCATCCCCGCCATTGTCTACGATCTACCCTGGACGGACTGGTACATGGTCTACGGCAGCGTGGTGCTCATCTTCAACACCGTGCTCAGCGCCATGAACGTCATGGCGGCCCGCCGTCTGCGCAAGGAAAACCCCATCTTTGCTCTCTATGGCTTGGCTCCTTTCTTCCTCACCTGGACCGTCATCCCCATCTACCTCTTCCTCCAACCCGTCATTTTGCGCCAACACCTCGTACCGTTTGTGCTCTACGTCGGTCTCGTCAACGCCTACTCCGTCGGCCAAATGATCACCGCACACCTGACCAAATCGCCTTTCCCCATGACCAATGTGTTGGTCTTGCCTCTGGTATTCGGCGTAATCGACAGTCTGGGTCCTTTCCTGCACGATCTGATCGGCTTTGGTTGGCCCAGCGCGTTGGGAGACGGGCAATATCAGATTGCGTTCATGTTTTCGTGTCTGGGGCTTGCTATTGGTGTGTACGGCAGCTTTGTCGTCGATGTCATTGTTACCATTTGCGATTACTTGGACATTTGGTGTTTGACTATCAAGCACCCCTATGTTGCTGAGAACGAGGAGAAGAAGGTGCGTTGATGGAGGGATGAACACTGTGAGAGTCATTCGTGACACATGCGAGTTGGGATGAGGTAGTGTGTCAGAGTACCGATATAGATACAAGCGGGAAGTGGAGGATTGTACGAGGTACCTTTATGCCAAACGATTATCAAATAGACAAACAGCACGAGAGAGCAAGAAAGAAAGAAAATACGATGCATGGTAATGGTATATGCTTTTACGATAGAACAACCAACCTTTCCTTTCTTTGATGTCTCGAGACGCCAATGAACGCCGCCGCATATGATGTTGATGGACAAGGGTATCGACAAATATTGTCCGTGTTACTCCGACTCTTCTTCGCTCTCGACGTACTCGCCCGTCGAGGCCAATCTTCCCCACGCTCTTTCGCTCTTTTCATCCTCGCGCATCTCATCGTCCATGTTCTCGTCGAGATGCTGCCTGATCTTGGCCAGCAGTTCGACCTTCTCTTTCCGTAACGCCTCCATCTGTACCAGACTAGCTCTTTGAACACGCTTCAACGCGGCAAGTTCAGCCCTGAGCGCCTCGTTTTGTTGCTCAACAGATGGTCCCGAGGTGGATGCCGGAGCGTCAAGAGACATGAAATCAGCCGAATCCGAAGTCTGCTGCTCAGCGACTGGGGCGTCAACGGCAACAGGAGCCGTAGCAGTGGCGGGGACAGGAGCCAGAGGTTGAGGCTTTGCCGATTCATTCCAGCTGGCGAGCTCGGCAAGAGAGTCGGCGAGTAATGACTCGGGGAATACTGGATGTGTGAGAGCAGTAAGGAAATCGGATTCGATGACAGCGGGCTGTTTCTTCGAAGCAGAGATGTGAGGCATGGGCAGTTGGCGTGAGAAGTGCAAGCTCAGGTTGTAGTTTCCTGGAACGGCGCCGTCAAGGTCGGCCTTGTCGAAAGCGGCGTGTTTAGGCTTGACGATGGTGACTTGGCTGACACGAGCAGGGCGAGCATCGGNGAAGCCTTGGACAGGCAAGGAAACAAGATTCGTGACTGGACCCATCATGGGTGCCGATGTGAAGGTGGAAGAGTAGCGGCCAAGGGGAACGTCCCACATGAGAATGTTTCCGTTGGCATGGCCAGTCATGAGCATGCTACCGTCATAGCTGAGCATAACACTCAAGGCAGCTCCTTGGTCGGCTGAAGGTGGAGTCCAGCGAGTTTGCGGAGGAGGCTGAACGGGCATGGCAGCTTGGGCGGGATCGTATAGCGGGTGCTGGACCGAGTCGGGGTTTGCAGCGGAGAAAGCGTCGCTGTAGAAGTCAACCATCTGGACGCTGCCATCGTCGTAGGTGGTGTAGAATGCGCGGTCGGCGGGATCAAGAGCCAAGGATCGAGGGACTTCGGGTAATAGGACGGTGCGCAGAAGCTGGTTCTCGTGGTAGTCCCAGACTATACATGATCGATCGGCGCTCGCTGAGACGGCAATGTTGCAGAAGCCGGCACTGTGGCCGACGACCAGAGATGTAATGGCGGCACGGTGGCCTGAGAGGGTGTGTAGCGGAGAGTGCTGGCCTTGTAGGGCGGCATTGGAGAAGGAGAGCAAGGCAGGAAGCGACCAGACGTGGATCGAAGCATCGGCCGAGGCAGACAAGACAAAGTTGGATGTCGGGTCGACGACAAGGGAAGTGACTTGCTGCAGGTGTGCCTGTGATGTGATGACGACGCGACCAGTGTGTGTCTCCCAGATAAAGATGCGACCCGTCTGCGAACCCAGGATCAGGATGGTATTCTCACAGGCCAGGGCCAGACACGTTATCCTCTCTTGAAAGGGCACGGTTGCCTCTTGGTTTCCCTTTTCGCGGTTGTAGACGTTCACGACGGCCTTGTCGGCTTGGGCGGCGAAGATGTGCGAAGGACTGACGGCCAGACAATTGGCTGCGGTATTGCTCTTCTTGAAGCTCGCTCTTTGGCCCGAATGCGGTTGGCTCTCGAAGACGGAAATGCCTACATCCTTGACACTGTTGGATGCGGCTTTTGGCGCGACTGCCGCCGCCGACACGGATGCTGCGAAATGCTCACTGAGCATTGTACAGGCAACGAAAGAGGAAAGAAAAGACCAGCAAAGATTGTTTCCGTCTGCGCTCCGAAATCTTTACCAGAGAAGTCGCACAAATTTCAGGGTCCAGCCCGACCCTGTCGCTTGAGCCTGTTGTCTGACATCAACTCTTCTTGTCAATCAACTATCTAGCACATCCACTACATTTCTCAACTTCTCAACAACCTAGAAGACCTCTGAGAACCAATACTTGTACCACAAGCGTGATAAATGCACATCGTGTAGTTGAGCTTTGCGCGCCCAGCCGGCAGGCATTGCTGGCAGCCTATGTTACCGCTTTGCGAGCATCATCGTTGATCAAGACCACTGTCCGTCAACCTAGTTGCTGGCCAAGGGTACATCTCTGCTGTCGGAGCAGTTAGACTGAGTCTTTTAGCAAAGAACAGACATCGGACCCATAGTGTTGACCAAAGTGCCTGTTCAGTTGTGTCTGAATCCTTTCTACGCCGACGTCACCACTTTTCGTTCTTCCACCTTCTCACATGAATCCAGGTGTTCGTCTTCTACTTGACACAATACGGTCAAACATGTCGCTGCACTCGGAATCAATCCCGAGTACCCCTTCAATGGTCGCTCCCAACCTCCCTGCTTTAATCAGCCAGCCCGGACCACCGATAATACTGCCTACCGTGCTCCAAACAAGCCAATTCCTCACCTCTTTCTTCCCAAAACGGGCTCGAGATGTCCCATGGCTCTATCATGAACCTAGAAATACTCGCTACTCTCCAACTGTTGCTCCGGTGTCTCGGATAGTATGCAGCATCACGCCCACAGCCGGAGTCTATACTGCAATGTATGCAGCACGCACACCACCACCACTCATCTTCATCCATCGACCTTTCACATTAGATCGGAAACGCGTTCCTCGAGGCGCAAATGTCTTGAGCTCCCATGTCGGCTTTGACGAAGTCTTGACAACTGGCTGGAACGAGGCTTTAGCTGAGCGACTGGGCTTATACACAGGCGAGGACGCCGTATGCATACAGGGCTACAAAGGCGACCCAGACCGCCGTATAGGTCTCGTAGCTGCATTCCGTACGCCTGCAAATCTTGGTCAAGTCTCTGATCGCATCAAGCGCGAATTTGGACAGTGGGACGCTGTCTACGGCGCCGATGTCGAAAGCGAGGCTGAATTGGCACAACCAGTCACAGTCGTTGCCATCATGAATGCCTTCCACCCCGAAGAAGTGCAACGAGTTTCAGAGGCCGCACTTTCCAAAGGCTGGATCTCGGATCTCGGTCAAGGAGACAGCATAGTCTATCTCACCGGCCAAGCAAGAGAGCCAGGACTTCTCGCCGCACAAGAANNAAAAAAGATGAAGGTTTTCTGCGTTGGTCATCGCAGCTGTGAGGAGTGGGGTATAAGGTACATTGCCTCTGAGCTCAGAAGGGAGTTTCCCATGGTCGATGTTTGCGAGGTGTATGAGGATGAAGAACCAAGAGAGCCGAGGGAACCCAAGCCCGACCTGAAGAGAAGTGTTCCTCCCTCGTCGGCAAAGTTGCCAGAGCAGAAACGTAGACAGGAAGGCCAAATTACCACTACATAGAGCTTGGCTTAGAACAATTTCGAAGTTCACTTCACTTACTCATGGAATCCTCATTATGTATTTTATTTTTCTTCCTTTTTAGCCATGCTGTGGGTACGACCCTGGCACTGTCTTTGGAAACATAATCGTGACCTCGATATCGATGCTAGACAGTGTATACATAGCCAAAAGGTCTTATCGAAGTACATCACATCCTTATAGCTCAGTCTGGAGTTGATAGCATGCTGTTCACGTTACATCTGATGACATTTTTGTGCTAGATATCTTTTTGCAGATCCTCTAACGATATCACATCAGACTCTCGCCATAAGCCAGACTTGTTTCGACGACTGATGCAAAGAGCAAGTTGCACAACAGTGATCTTGTGTATCATTTACTCTATCAGTGTATATGTTTATTACATTACTAAGTCCTCGCAATGCAAAAAAACCAATCGCTAACATGCAGACATCGAAACAAAATCTCAAGTCTCTTCCTCCTCACCTTGATCCTCATCCTGTCCAGGCATCATCATCCGCTTCGTCAACACCGCCCTAGCATGTGCAAACAAATTAAATAGCCAAATAACAAACACAAGCACACTCATCACACTGCCCACCCATTGAATCCCCTGACTCTCCAACGTCTGCCCAATATTAATCGTCGAAATCGTGAATCCAACATTGGGAAACACCAACGCCCAATTCACCAGCGAAAAAGACATCTTCTTGATGCCGTAGAGTACACTGACGATGGCAATGCAAAACCACCAAAAGCCAATCATCCAGATGAAGATGCTGACGAAGAGGGCCATGGCTTGGAGAGCGGGCAGTGCAGTGGGGTTGGTGGCAAAGTAGCCGTAGCCTTGAGGTAAAGCTTCGGACATGCCTATCAGAGCCAAGATGGTGAAGCCAGGAGGGCCCACGCAGATGAACATGCCGGGACGTGCGTTTGGGGGTGGGAGTCCGTATTCCATTAGTCTGACTAGCATGACGGCGTAGAGCATCACTGCCACTGTCCAGCCTAATCCTTGACTTGCCACGCCGGCGACAATGATGGGTAGTCTTTGCTCTGGAGGTTGGTTGCTAGCGATGATGTTTGCCAGTGTTCCAGACAGCATGACGGGGAAAATGGGGAGAATCCATGAGGGTGCCATGTATTTGACGAGTAATTGCTTTGCCATGAAGAGATACCAATACTGGAAGATGGCGACAAGAAGCGTGCACGAGAAGTAGAGCCAGAAGAGGACTCGTAATACCACGATTAGCCATTCGCCAACATTGCCCACACCATAGTTGTTCATGCCTCCGATGATAGTGGGCAAGGAGAGCCAGAATGTCGGGAAGAAGAGGGCTTCTGACGGATGCTTGAGAGATTTGTGGAAAGATCCAGGGTACATGATAAAGCGAGTTGTGATGGTCGCGCATAGAATGACAAACAGTACGAGGTCGAAGATGTAGACTATGGTTCCAATAGTCATGAGTCCTGTGAATTTGTGTGGTTGGACAGAGAGCAAGGTCGCAAAGCCACCCGTACTCATCGTCAATGTGAACCAGGCCCATGTAAANNACTTGAGTTCGGTCAGCAAGGACCTGAACAGCCAGAACGTTTCTCTGAGCACTCACTGCCTCAGCCTCTGTTTGAGTGTAATTTCTTTGTCTGTGCCTTCCAGCTCCACGTCTGAGATGCGCCTATGGTGATGTGGCTTCCGGTGTGCAATCTGCTTCTCCAGATCCTTCATTCTGCCCTCCAGATCCCCACTAGAGCCATTCGTAGCCGTTGATCCATGGCTCAATTCGCTGGCTGCATTACTTCCTGCTTGGTTCTCTCGTCTTCGAAACTCCATCTAGACCAGGAATATGGTGCTGTCTCTCCCTGGGTGTTTGGTGCATGGATTCACGAGCCCTATAGAGTACTGAGACTATAGTGAATGCTGCTGCACGATGACTATCGGTATGCGAGTACAAAGTCAAAAAGTTCGGAACCTAAAAGAGAAGAGGAAGGAATGGTTTACTTAAACCTCAAAAACCCCCTTCGGCGATACCTACAACAAAAACATGTCTATTTGGCCGTAGCAGAACCATTATGATGTCGCCGTCCCCGCGGGTTTCATTGCACGAAAACAGCCATCAGGTGGTGAGGTAACAAGCTGTTCTGCTAATGTTGAAAGTCGGTGGTTAGGTGGGTCAAATTATTTGCCGGGTATGACGTTCTTGTAGTTGGACATTTGTCGGAGGACAGCTCGGACCTCGAGTTTCTTCTGGAAAGTCGTCCTTTTGTTCATTTTTAATTGGGTCTGGTAACTGGTTCGTCGCCTTACTGTACTTGGAAAGAATTGAGAGCACGCTGTGACGCAGCTGGTTGTGCAAGAATCAACCTGAACGCAGTCAAGCAGGATTGCTCGTTGACGAGTCAGTAAGCATTTTCTGAAGCGACTTGGCATTGCGACTCTTTTTCGTTGTCGGAACGGCCGGGTCGAGGATTCAGGAAAGTGAGCGCATCGAGGCGAGTAGAAAACTACCTTAGACCTGGAATGCTACACCCTTCTTCTTGACCATGTTGTTGCCTCCTCCAGCAAATCCGGTACCTTCTGAGCTGATCTCTACTACGCCTGGTCTGACCTTCTCTTTCTCCTCCTTGCCCTCTTTCTTTTCGCGCTTCTTGTCGGTGACATTGGTCTGGCAGACGTAACATCTTACTACGCCGACTTCTGCTGATGCATCGTGAGCGTCCTCTTCCGAAGGTTTCATAAATTTGGTAGCACAAGGTTTGCATAATACATGACCGCAGGGCTTGGCCAGCATTGCTTTGGTCGAGTTGGTTAATGCCTTTTTGCATGAAGGGCACGAGCGGACAGGCTCGTTGGAGCCCTCGGTCTTCTCTTCTGTGAACTGGACAGAGACCAGCAATTTCAAAGAGAAGTCATGAGGCTTGTCAGGGGTCGAGGCCGGACATTGTGGAGTCGACTTTGTAGGCTTTGTCGCAGCAGTAGAACTTGAGGGTGTCAAGGAAGGAATCCAGAAAGATGTAGCAGCCTTCTGGTCAATTGGATTCCGATCGTCCTTCTTCAGCTTGGTGTTCTGAGCACCGAGACGTTTGAGTTCTTCTTCGTCAATCTCCAGCTTGCGCTTGGTGCCTTGCTTGCCAGGGTTCTGTTCCTCGACAATAACCTTGCCGGCTTCTCGTCCGATGATGTGTCTAGCAGCAGCATTGCCGGGGCCGAGTTTGCTGTTTAGCCCTTGTTGAACGAGCTCGAAGTCTTGAACGGCACGCTCCTGCTCTTGTTCTCTCTTGATGTCCTCAGCTTCAGCCTCCTCTTGCTTCTTTTGGATGTACTCCTTGTCCAGACGCTTGATCTCCTTCTTCTGGGCGAGTAGATTGGACAGGGCACATTCTCGACAGAACAGATGGCCGTGAGAGGGGCAAGATACTGGGTCGCGAGCGGGTAGTAGACAGAGACGACATGAACCGAAGGGTAGAAAACTGTCGCGCGATAGCCTGGTGCTCCGCGAACCCCATACCGACTTCAGCTCCTCACGCTCGTGGGCTGTGAAGAAGGCGAGCGACGTATTATGCTTACCTTGTCAAATCAGCTGGGTACTACAGAGGATAAGAAGTCGACGTACTGTGCGACATGATGGTAGAGTGTGAGGAGGAGGAAGTTGGATAGAGTGCGAGCGCGAAAAGAATGCGGTCATAGGGTGTGTGTGGAGCAAGACGGCTCCACGTGGGTCAAAGGTTGGTCTAAGTTTGGAATGCTAAATAATGTTTCTTCCCTTGCCAATTGCTCCCTTGCCCTCGCACTGTCATGCTCTGAGTGTCGTCGACTAGAAATGGCTGCTCCAGACGCTCCCGATCAACCGTCGCTCCTCTGGCGCACGGGATCTTCGTTCATCACAGGCGCGACCGGTTTCCTCTGTCGTACCTTTCTCGTTGGCTTGAATAGGCTCGAGGTGAAGGGCTATGACAAGTTTTTGCGCCTGCTCGATGAGCGCGCAGACGTTAATGGCAGGACCAAGGGCCTGATCACCGGTATGCACTCTTCCATTCGTTTTGCGACGGGCTCGAAGCTGACTGCTGCCNNAGTTTCCAACCATACTAGCGTGTACGTACGTACAGACATACTTAGGACTAGACACAGCTCGAGTGCTGACTCTAGCTCACAGNNTATGGATGATCCTATCTTATGGGGCGTCCTGCCATACAGCTACCATTGGAACTCCAACAATGTTCGTTGGAGTCTTGCCAGCCACGACCTGGCCTTCCAGAACAAGTACGTCCATGTATCGCATTGCCTAGATAGGCAGCGTCTGACAGTCTCACTCAGGTTCACCTCCTTGTTCTTCAGTCTCGGCAACACCCTTCCATGCCACCGCTTGTTACACTCTCCTCACGGCGGTCTATTCCAGCCCACCATGACCCAAGCCGTTCGTCTCCTCTCCAATGGCCCATTCAACGCTCCTAGCGCTACGCCCGCATCCAAGTCGCCGAAGAGCCCCGATATTACCGATCCCTTCTCTGGCGCACACCTGACGTACAGCACTGATGGCCACGACACTTTCCCTGCCCCTTCAGCATACGCTTCGAGGAGACATGCTTGGGTCCACATCTTCCCCGAAGGCAGGGTTCACCAGAAAGAAGACAAGACTATGCGCTACTTCAAGTGGGGCGTTTCACGCCTGATCCTGGAAGCAGAGCCTGCACCAGATCTCGTGCCATTGTTTATCGAAGGATTCGATTCTATCATGCACGAGAGTCGCGGTTTCCCTCGACCCATCCCACGAGGAGGAAAAGACGTCTGTGTTACATTCGGTGACAAGATCGATACAGGAGACGCGTTCCGCGACCTGAGGGACAGATGGGCAGCCTTGAAACAACAAGCAGTACAACGAGGAGCACAGAGCGATGAGCTTGGGATTATTCGCGATGAACAGTTGATGCATGGAGCCGAAGCTGTGCGTTTGCGAGAAGAGTGTACGATGCGCGTTAGAGATGCAGTGCTTGCTGTGCGAAGAAGCAGAGGCTGGCCTGACGAGGACCCCAAATGCGGATTGATCGAAACGTGGGCCATGGAGGGCACTGGCGAAGGCAAGATGGCTGACGGATCTTACACGAGGGACACGTAAAAGATGTGATATACAGCAAAGTCAGACGCGACACTGGCATGCCACAATTGTATTGCATATTGGATTATCTTCCGGCCACGAATCAGACTTGCGTTGGACGAACACAATCACGATAACATACAGAAGACACGTTCGCTTTGATGGCTGCGGTCAAATATAAAAAAGCAAGATAGACGCGTCGAGCGAACGCGTGTGAGACTCCGCATGCCAAAGTCTGTCACATTCTTACGTTTCTCTCACAGTGACACACCAAATTATCAAGCCATCGCAATGCACAATATTGTTGCAAGCAGAAGTGTATCCATGGAGACCCGCTGAGACAATCTTTTTCTCTATGAATATTCCTCCGTTGTGCCAAAAACATTGTGCATTTTTATAGACAAAATGTGACAGACCTCAATAGGTAGGAGGAAGGGCGCTATGACGGCGCGCAAACTCACTCACCTAGCACCGGGAGGAGGCTTGGGCGTAGCGCTTAAGTACAAGGTCGTCGCACCTGCTCGCGAATTTTCCTTTCTGCTGGCCGGCCTCAGATATCCACACTCAAACCAACATCTCATACCAACATCCTTCACCCCGCCGCCAAGACGATCTGCCCGCCTATCGATTGCTATCCGCACCTCTTTGTACCCAATCAAGCAAGCAGCGCATTGGAGCTGTGAACAAATTCTGGTCGTCACTTCCTGTTTGCCAAACCAATTGCTGTCGCTCGTGAGCCCTTGTGGCCAGAGCACTGTATCACACCGAACTGCTGCTTGTCGCCTAATTCACAACCCCGAAGCCTTCACATGGACCAGTCATACGCTCCCCGGTCTCCCGAAGTGTCCGGATACGCGCCTCGTTCTCCAGACTTGACCGCCTACCGACCAGTCTCTCCCCAGGCCCAGGACCTGTACGCTCCTCAATCGCCCGATCTTTCTGGTTTGCAGCCGCCTCAGCACCCTTACGCGCAGCAAACGTCTGTTCCTTCCGGCTTTGGCTTGGATCAGCACCAACAACAACCGCTACAGCAGCACATTCCTCAAGAATATTCTCCTCAACAGTCAGGTTACACGCTCGCCCACCACTCTCTGCAACACCCCTCGCAGTCATTCTCTTCTGACCCCTACCAACAACACCAACTGGGCTTCGGTCAACAATCCGCCTACCAACAGCAATACCCTTCCTACCCCGAGATGCCTGTCCAGACCCGTAACAGGGGTGTGCGCACGCCCGCCGAGGTCGGAAGCTACAACTACGACAATGGCAATGGCAATAGCAACGTCAAAGAGGAGGAGCCTGCTTGGGAACAGCACCCACAACCCATCGCACAGACACCCGCTCGCCGTGGTAGAAAGCCGAAAAGCGAGACTGGCAACGGTGCTGCTCCCCTTACCCCAATGAAGAAGATGGATACCGGCGGTGTGGAGGTCAAGACAAAGTTCCCGACCGCAAGGATAAAGCGCATCATGCAAGCCGACGAGGACGTGGGTAAAGTGGCTCAAGTAACCCCAGTCGTTATGGGTATGTCTTCCTATTCCCTCTTTCTACCTTTTCCACTCGCTAACACACAAAACNNAGCTAAAGCCCTCGAACTCTTCATGATCCGCCTCATCTCTGCCAGCTCCGGCGTCGCCAAACAGCGCGGCTCCAAGCGCGTCCTCTCGCAACACATGAAGTCCGCCGTCATGCAAGACGAACAATTCGACAACCTGCGCGACATTGTCGGCAGAGTGCCGGACGCCCCAGCCAGGGGTGCCAATGGCGATGACTCTGAAGACGAGGAAAGCGCTCCCAAAAAGGGCGCAGGCAGAGGAAGAAAGGCTGGCGCAGGAGCCGGCGGCGGCAGAGGAAAGAAGCGAAGAGACAGTGACGACTTGTGATGAAACCTCCTATCTGTTACAAGCAAATGAAGTTTAGAGTAGGCATAATACCTTGAAAGAAGGCCTGACAAAATACACGATACCCTGATCACCTTCTCCATTGACGTCTTGCCCCTGAACCAAAATGAATCTTGTTTGTGTCGATGATGCTATTAGGTCTTTCGTGCGTCGTGATTCTTGGATTGTCAACCCTGAAACACGATCAAGTGCTTTTCGAACTGAGATGACTTGGCCAAGACAAGACACACAAACAAGCAATATGGCAAAAACATGTCATACCTCCCACACGAGAGAATAAGCAATAGCAAAAACGATAGTAGTTGTTATACGGATAATTTCGGTCTCGGTCATCCAAGTTCCAGAACCCCAACTCCTTCGGAAGATAGGTTTCTTACAACAGAGAAAGAGCAATATACGTAGCAAGCGAAAACTGTCGATACTTTACATCAGAAGCAACAGTAGCCACGAAATGTGGTCTATGAATTGAAACAAGGAGAGAGAGAGAGGGAGTAATATATCTAGAGAAGCGAAATTGTAGATTTAGAGATAGGCAGAAACAAGAAAAGGGGGGAGGAATAAAAGCTATGGTATCTCTTGAGTAGCAAAACAGGATATATCGACAAAGAAGAACTGCGCAAACCACCAAGCTCAGACTAGACCGAGTATGCGCTGCTTGAAGAATAAATGACAAAAGAAAATGGCGTTTTTCTCGTAAGATGTGTGGTATATTGTTCCACCACGAGCACAAATGGAATATAAGTCTGGGGGATCTGTGTGAGGATGGCGGCGTTCTGGGTTTCCTTGATGGACCTTTTTGCCGGTTCCGATATTGCTGGGTGTGTTGCTGGTTTGAACCAAGACTCGATGAGAGTGCTGTCGCTTGGTATCGTTGATGCTCGGGTTCAGTCCTCCAACTCCAGGATGCGCTTGACAACGTCAACCTCAGCGTGGCCGCGCATGTTCTTCATACGATGACACCAGACGACCTGGCCATCTTGGAACAAGAATTCACCACCAATTTGGAGCAAGTTGCCACCCTTGAAGCGCGAGTTGCCTTTGGGCGGCTTTGCCATTGTTGTCCATTGCTCGAGCTGCCATTTATGGAAGGGGATGTCCTTCATGTACTTCGGTCTCTTGGGCCCGGCAAGGTTCAGAGTGAGTGTCATGCCCAAGGCCTTGTAGAGCTTGCGCGAAGGGTCGGCAAAGATGGGGAAGGGGCAGCCAGTGGCCTGCTTGTAGAATGGGATCATTGATGGTGAGCCGCAGCCAATGACGATGATGTTTGTGGGAACGGCCATGGTGTAGTAAGCCTGCATGGTGATGGCCTCAGCAATGGCTTTCATATAAGCTTGACAGGNCCTGCAGGAACAGAAGGTTAGCACATGATTTCCATCCGCAGCTTTTGTGGAAATACAACTTACGCCGCAGTAAAAGTGTCGCACAAAGATGATGAACTGTCTGTCGCCAATGGCATCCAGACCTGTGAAGAAGGTGCTGAAAAGTCGCGAGTTTCCGTTGGCATCGTATACAGGGACTTGTCCAGCGACAGCGAGTTGTCCGCGATCAGGACATTCATCAGAAATGTCTAGATCTTCACGGAAGCGGCCAAACCAGTCGTCTGCGTCGGTAAAAGAATGGTCGTACGAGTTGGTTGTTGCCGTATCTGAAGTCGCAGCTCCATGGCCAGAGCTCGACAGTTGGGTTGGAGAAAAGACAGGCGAAGAAATGGGGGAAATATCCAGAGATGAAACAGCACTGTGCCGGCTGTTGACGCGCGAAAGAGATGGCGACGAGACGGGAGAAATGTCGTGGTCGTTGTCTGGTATCTCGATGGTTGGCATTGCAGGCATATTCGAGGCTCGGCGATCCAAGACCGCTATAAATTGTGAGGCGCGGGCTGAAGGATTCAGATCTAAAGAGATCGGTCGCGGGGAAGGCTTCAATTAGTCGCTAGAACAGAGAAGTGGCGGCGGTGCAATTGGCCTTATGAACGAGTCGTTGTAGTCGAGGACGCAAAGAGTGTGAATGAGCAGGAGGTGGAAAGGACCAGGTTGGACAGGAGCACAAGGCCGATAATAAGTTACAGACATAAACGTGCGTCACCAGAGTTGCGGACCGGCGGACTTGGTCCAAACTATATATCGCAGCGACGTAGCGTGCTGTGCGTCTAGATCGACTACAGTTTGGTGCCACAGAGCAAGCCAGCTTCTCACTCGAGACGGCGTATAGCGGCCCGCTCTTAGCAGACACTCGCGCACCAAGGCATTGCCGCAAAAAATCCCCTCCCGATAGGGGCATCAACTGCCCTGCATTGCCTTGTACCAATCTCTCGGTCGAGACATCTCTACCAAGCAACGTGCCGTAACACTGAGCTGCTCAGGTTCAACCTAACCGATACTCGAGTCCTGTCACGCTGCAGCGAGGATCCTTGACATGGCAGCGTCTCAGCTTGGTGGAGTTTAAACACATCACATCCTCAGCAGATGCAAAGTTCCGTCCGTGTCTGCAGGTCCGGAACAGGCAAAAGCCGCGGCCCAGCTGGGCTTTCGCGACTCGCGAGCAAAAAATCGATAAAACGAAATGGATGGCACCAACCTTGAGTCCTTGAGGCTTGCCCCGCAGGCCATGAGACGTGGACAAAATGTTTGGGCAAACGGCTGGTCACCTTCTATCCTTCCACGCGACCAGCGAAGAAGGAAACATTGCCGCACATCAACTGCACGCGGCTGGCAACGATCGTCAGTAGATAGCAATTTTGTGGCCAGGAGACATCCAAGACAGCACGTTGCGTTCGACCGAGCTCCTGGGATCATCTCCATTTCCCCAAGATCTATCTCAGAGCTTCGGTCATGGCACCATGGGCTGAACATCGCAATTCAACATCGCGCCAGTCTCACATGGCGGCGTGGGCGTCAACGCTTGTGATGGTCTGCGCTGGCAGCTTCGCGGCATGAGCTTCTGCAGAGCTGCGAGTCTCCTATCGTTTAGGAGAAACAAGCTCCAGACGGCACTTATGCGACAAGCCCTTGTCGGTCTACTCGAGAGCTCGCTCCGCTCGGCGCTCGAGTCTTCAGGGTGATTTATTCCACGCGGCATGCGGCACGCGTAAATAACTGTCATGCAGGAAGCCCAGTCCAACAGATGGCTGATTCTCACGCCAATCGAGTGTGACAGAGCACATGTACAACTGCTACCTGACAAGTCCTCGGAAAAGGCTTCTCGATAGAGCTCCGGCTATGCATAACATTATTGTTAGAACTTAGAAGAGGAAGTCGTTCGTCTCTTGTTCTTCTATCGCCCGCGATGTCGTTCAACCTTGTCTCTCGCTACCAAAGCGACTGACGCCAAACTGGTCTCTGTTCGCGTCCTCGACAACGAATCAAACCTTGAACATCTACCTCTCGAGTCCGGTCCAAACTTGACTGGGATCTCACCAATTATATATATAGCAGATGCCGTATGATATGAGCTGCTTGAACAGTGGACAACCACCTCAGATAGACCGGATGTTGGGAGTGTGATTCTAGATCTTCCAATCCCTATTCACAGGGTTCTTGTACTTGTACAAGGGTACGTACACTGCACAGGCATCTCCTATTCGTTCAGGCTAACCTAAATGACTTGAACGTTCATCCCTGAATTGACTGCACCATACACCATCAGTAGGGTGCAACAATATTGAATTATTAATCTCATTCAGTCAACTATCTGATCAACTCCAAAGCTGTCCATGATCCAAAGATGGGTTCCAAGTTCGAGCGACAGTACAGCAAATCATCACTCTGTCCAACATAAGCACTCCAAAGCTAAGAACCACCCTCCTTCTGCTGAGCACCTGGGATAGCATCACACCACTGAGGACGGTTCTTGGTGTAAATCTCGACACCAGGCTTTCCCAAGTTGTCGTAAACATCCTCATCGTCAAGGGTGCCCATCTTTACAATGTTGACACCATCCAAGGCCTCGGCTGTCACAAAGAGGACAGTAGGACAGTTCTGGCAGTAGTTGTATGTGACATTCTTGCCACTGTCACCCTTCCTTGTGAATGTTCTCAGAGAACCCGAAAGAATTTTGTACTTGTCGCTTGGGATCATCAGGTTGTAAGAGTTGGTTGTACCTAGAGTGCAGTACAATTAGCATGGCAAGACTACCTAGGTAGATGGCGAAGATACCACGACTCTGCTTGACACATGATCAACGTATGAGACAGTGTTTGGTTCGAAACACTACGTCCCTACAAGGTCGACTTGTACAGGACAAGACATAACGCGAGCACTAGTCGTGGTATTTGTACCTGAGAGGTGCTTCGATTTCACTCACCAGATGACTTTCGGCAGGGAAGGCAGTGACAGGCGGCCTGTCGATGGTCAGTCAATCGAAATCATTTACAGAGTATTTCTGCGACACTCGAAGCACCTTACCTTGGCTGCTGGTTCGCCCTGGTACTCGAACTTGACATCACCACAGAGACAGCTTCCTTTAGCCATCGTTGCAATTGTTTTGGTCGAAAGTGAAGCAGATCTGAGAAATAACAATGGTTGGAATCAATGGCAAGAATCGAGGTGATACACGTTACTTGAAAACAACAGATACGTGGCTATTGAGTAAAGTAGTTGGAACAGTTAATATACTTGTTCCCTCGGCTGTAAGCTGGGTTTCTCCACTTGCTCACGCGTGACGACATATGTGTTTATAGTTTGCCAGAGTGAAAGAGTGACCCTGTCCGATTGGCATCAACAATCGAACTTACCTCATCATGCTGACTTTTGAGGTTCTTGACAAACTTCAAAATCAGACTTCGCTATCAATCTCTCCATGTTTCATGGCCTATAGTTCCTAATTCCTCCTTTTGCGGTGATGTAAAATGACATAGTATGTCAGAACGTATAGTCAAGTTCGAAAAAGTCTTATGGAAGCTGGCTCACTTTCCAGGAAGATCGAAGAATTGTACGGCGATGCTGCAGAAACTCCAAAGCATGAAGAGGCATTGTATGCAATTGGAACTCTTGACGGAGATACAAATGTTCCTAATTTCGCCAGAAACAGTAAACACGTATGTGGCACCAGTAGACAGCCGTTTGACCGTTGACATGGAATTCCAGTAAGTTGGGTCCAGAAGACAACATCTCCAAAACGAAACCAGACGTCGTCCTCATCTTGAGTCGACCAGTCATGTGTTCTGGGCCACAATGCACGAGCTGAAGGAAACGCTCAATATAGCAGCGTGTTGCCGAATCTCGGGTTCGGATTCTGGTATCATGAGGAATACATTCTTTCTTCCGTGGAGAAGAATCATGCTTGGGAGAATTAAACAGTAAATTGGTAAGGGTCTTAGTATCGATCTCATAAGTTCGAATAGAGAGAGTCGCATGAAACCAGCGTCCTGCCCTCGGCGATGATATCTATCGAAGGACATCGTACTTATAATGATTTGATTATGCCACATCGCTAAAACGCTAGAACGCTAGAATACTTCTTGCGACACGCCTATTGCACTACTTTTACGTTAGGACGTCCGCCTTCCAAATCTGGTTCGATTGTTACCCGAGCGGCCCTCGGATGGCCGACCTTCCAATATTATACTACACAACTGGAATCAGCAAGCATGCCTACCTAGGACTTTATTTTTCTTGTTGCTGATTTCGCCTCTTTTCGTATTGCTTCTTCTTGGTGGCGCATTTGAATAGAGGGAGGTTCTTGTCGTTTCTGTCATCACCTGCAAAGTTTACATGGACGATTTGGATCCAATGCACCTTTGAGATGAGCGCAACACGACATCAACGCGACCAGGAGGCTCTAGAAGATGATATCAAAATATCCTCAGACCCGGATGCGGCTCCAATACAACCTCTCGGATCCGATGAAAAGGACAACCAGAATACTGTCTCGACGATCGAACAACCTTCTGTTGATGATGGCGTTTACTCTGTCTTCACACCTACTCAGAAAAAGTTGATTGTATTCACGGCATCACTAGCTGGCTTCTTCTCTCCACTCAGCGGCTCTATATACTACCCAGCCCTAAACACTATAGCAGAAGACTTGGGCATCACAGCAACAAAGGTCAATCTCACAGTCACGACGTACATGATTGTACAAGGCCTAGCTCCCATGTTGACAGCAGGCTTCAGCGATGGAGCCGGTAGACGACCAGCCTATATCGCTTGCTTCGTCATCTATTTAGCTGCAAACCTTGGTCTGGCGCTACAAAACAACTACGCCGCATTACTAGTGCTTCGGTGTCTACAAAGCGGTGGTAGCAGTGGCACTATCGCTTTAGCAAACGGTGTCGTCGGCGACATAGTCACATCAGCCGAGCGAGGCAGCTACGTTGCTTTTGCCTCTGTAAGCTCAATTCTAGGACCAACTCTATCCCCCATCCTCGGTGGCTTACTCAGTCAATACTGGAACTGGCACGGTATATTTTGGTTCCTCCTAGCTTTCGGCGGAGTCTTTTTTATCCCTCTATTCCTATTTTTCCCAGAGACTTGCAGGGATGTGGTTGGCGATGGCTCCATCCCAGCACCAAAACTCAATTGGAATCTCACCGACAAGATCAGACATGAGAATCGAGAGAAAGCAGGCCTTGACGTTGACGAACAAAAACAAGAGGAGTTGCGCAGAAAATACCGTCTTGTGTTCCCGAATCCGCTGTCTACGCTTGTCGTGCTTATGGATTTGGAATCTGCTCTCATCTTGATCGCGTCCGGATTGACTTTATCTTGTTTCTACGCCGTCAGCACTGGCGCCTCCACAGCCTTCCGCAGTGTCTACGGCTTTGACGACATGCAAGTCGCTCTAATGTTCATCCCCTTTGGCGTCGGCGGTATAATCTCAGCCTTCACAACCGGCAAAGCCGTAGATTGGAATTACCGCCGTCATGCCAAACTCAATGGCTTCCCTTTCATCAAGAACAAACAACAAGACATGACAGAGTTTCCTCTGGAAAAAGCCAGACTGGAAATCGCAATGCCGCTTTTCTATCTAGGTGCACTGACGATACTCGGTTATGGCTGGGTGATGGACAAACATGTTTCGTTGGCTGGCCCAATTGTTCTGCTGTTTTTCATGGGATATGCACTCACTGCCGCCTTTCAAGTCTACAATATTTTGATCGTGGATATTTATCCGGGAAAGCCGGCCACAGCGTCAGCGGCAAACAATATCGTGCGCTGTGAGATGGGGGCAGCAACTTCGGCTGCCATTGTACCCATGGCAAAAGCAATGGGCAATGGGTGGGCATATACATTACTCGCTTTCCTACTGATAGCATATTCGCCAGCATTGTTGTGGACAATGAAGTCAGGGGTGCAGTGGCGACGAGCAAAGAAGCAAAAACATGAAGAGCAACCGGCAAAGATGGCAAAAAGTAAAGTCATTGAGTCTGAGAAACCGTAGTCTAGTGAGGTTATCCTAATCTGCAAAACCCCTGCAAGAAAACAAACGCCAATTTCCAACCTATGTAGCTGCTTTTGAACTGCCTCCTGACTGCCTTGTGGTTCCCTTATAGTTTCATTATAGCTGCCTTGTGTAATGTCTTGAATCTCAGGCAATCGTGATAGGGTCCGAGCCACTCAATCCAGAAAGTTGCATAATCTTGCCAACCTGCTGCGACTGAGCATCCTTTGCTTCCCTTCTCAACTTGAAAATCTCAAACACCTTGGCTTTCCAGACGGGATCCATATTGAGGGCCCTGACGGTCTTCTCATCGAAAAATCTGCCGTGGAATTCCGGACACGCGGTTCTTAGTTTAAGTCCCTGGGACTGGGGACTGATCTCGTACGACATGGTGACCGACCATCCGTGTATCAATCCACCATCATTCTTGACAACGTCGACTGCCGAATCATGGCGTTTGTGTCCGGTGCAAAGAGTTACCTCTTCAGGCAAGAGATCCGAGATGAGGTTGAGAGCTTTGAAAAGGTGCCACTCTATTTTGGAGTCAGCCGAGGAGTTGGACATTTCGCTTGCGTGCCAGAAACTTTGGGGAGGTGCCCAAAATGGAGTTTGCAGGGCTCGGGGGCTGCCAAGAAGAACACAATCCTTGTGGAAGAGCAGCGTTTGCATGAAGAGCATGTCATACACTCTTGCCACTTTGGGCTTGAAACATGCATTGTAGTCCATAGTGAGATAGTCGATAAACTCGTGCGGACGAAGCTTTGCCAAAGAGCGTTCTTGTATTTTTCCAAGCAGTGTCTTGTAGCTAGGGTGATTGGCCTCTTCATCAGATTGTGCTCGGAGTGAAAGGTCGTCGTATGTGACGATTTGCAGTTCAGGACGCCACACGCGAGGAGGAGCAACAGGCTCGGGTGGTGGCAGAGGGGGAGGCAATTTACGCCCTTCAGGCGGCCATATTCTTCCCCATGATTGCAACGAACCCTGGCCNNTTGAGGAAGTGACGATGGCGGACCGCCGGCCTGCTGGCCTTGTGATACGCGACGAACCTGATGGGCCTGTGCNTGATCTCGGATCGTAGTTTATGCCACCAAGGGAAGGCGTCTGCGAGGGGAGCTGATGCTGAGTTTGCGGTATGTTACGAGATGCCTGAGATGCCTGAGATGCCTGAGATGCCTGAGATGCCTGAGATGCCTGAGATGCCTGAGACTGCTTGAACTCTAGAAGAAAAGGTAAGAACCTTGGGTCGAGGGTGATTTGGGCCTGCGATACAGTGGGACCAAGATGTTGTGCTGGGGTATCAGAACGATTGGGCAAAGAAGTCAGATCAACAAGAGACGGAGCCTGCGAGGTGTTTTGTGTATTGTCGTGTGATGGACCATGAGAAGGACGGTACTGTGGTGCCCCATAAGGATGATGGCGAGGCTGGAAATGACCACGACCAGATTGGCCAAGAGGCGAATTCTGGAGCAATCTAGACGGCTGATACGTGCGTTGGTTGGTATTGTTGTTGAGAGGGTATGAAGGGCTTGGGCTTGAGCCAGGCTGTTGTGGCACATGCTGATATACACGCTGCAGTGTCGGGCTTTCCAGTTGCGATGTTGGGGTTACGGTGTAAGGAATAGCACCACTCGGAAGGAAGACCGCAGATGTCTGAGGCGTAAACTGAACGGGTGCAGATGTCGGCATTTGTGATGGGACGTTTGATACTGGATAAAATGTGCGCGTGTTCGATGGATGTTGGTCAGGATAGAACATGCGATGTTCTGGTCGCCTCTGAGTTTGTGATGCTACTGCTCCAGGCTGTACGTGGTTGTGCATGCTTGAGGTGTACTGGTTCAAAGGGAAGCTGCGATTTTCGTGTTGTCCTGCCGATTGTGCTGGTCCCGCTCCTGGCTGGCCACGATTACGAGTGTCCTGCGACATGGGTCTGTTATTGTAGAGCGCTTGTGTAAACGCACGCATGGTTTCTTCGTCCATGGTCTTGTAAGCGCTCTGATCGGGAACGGAAGGACTGGAAAGTAGACGTGTGAGATTGTGTTGGAAGTTTGTCTCAGGGTTGGCCAGGCACAATAAGAGTCAGACAATAGCGCTCTATACAAGGCGCGTGACAATAGCACGGAGGCCGCCTGCAGTGAAGTTGGTTGAGGGCAAAAATTTCATGTGGTTTCAAGCGCGCAGTGGGAAAGTTTGGTGACACGAACTTGATGGATACGGGGTTGGATTTCTTCATTGAATCATGCGGAAGCACATGCAGTGCTCAAAATGTTTGCCTAGAGTCCTCGTCAAGACCCAGTACTTTGAGCAAAGAACTTTTTAGTATGAGAGTGAAAGTACCATGATATGTCTCACGTGCCTTGGCATGCGGCTCAATCAAACTCACTCCTACTAACACCATAGCATTGAGGAGCCATGGGAGCGAATAGTTTTGTTGGCCACGTGCGCGATGGATTTATGGAACAGTCTCATTGGTGTCCATATTTCTGATGCAGTTGGCGAATCTGNNTGTACTGGTCAGTCTAATTTCTACCAAGCTCCCAAGGGAGGAGTGTACTCACTTGCTCCTGTACATCCGTAGACTGGCTTCCTGGAGCGCCAGGGGCACCAGATTGGGAGGGATTGACACCATCGTAGCTGCTGAGCTCGATTCTCTTGCGTCTCTGAGCTTCCTCGTCGCTGACAGCCTGACCAGTAACCGGGTCAAAGACATCACTTCGCTGCGAAGCCAGACGCTTGAGGTTGTTGGCAACGTCTGCAGTGGACAAGTTGGTGGTACTCGAGCGTTGGGCGGCAATGCGAGACTGTTCACGCCATCTAGGATCAAGCATTTCAACNNTATAGATTGTCAGTACGACGACACGAACAGGCAAAGGGTGAAACATACTCTTCATGTGCTGCTCCAACTCGTTGAATGGAATTTGTTGCTTGCAGTTAGGGCAAAGAGCAGTGGCAGCGTTCTGTCTACGAGCTTGAGCACGAGGGACATAGTCGTTTCGGATACGCATGGGACCTTGGCCTCTTGCAGCGGCTTGAGCTTGCTCGGCACGTTGGCGTTCGGCGGCTCTTTCGGCGATACGAGCATCTTCTTCTTGTTCCTGTGCTGTGCGCGGAGGTGGTGCGTAGCCAGTTTGCTGAGCGGGTGAGAATGCAGGAGGAGCGGGCGAGTATGAGCTGGGGGAGGCATCTGAGANTGGTGGTGGTTGGTAGTAGGCTTCTTGGCCTGGCATGGCTTCTTCGATCCGCATGCCTGAAGGCGCCAGGCTCATTTGTGCCTTTTGCTCGAGCGATGCAGACTGGATGTCGTTCAATGATGTGGGTGGAGGAAGTTCTGTTTGGTCGTCTGCTTCGGTGAACAGGATGGTCTCGACGACAACAAAATCGTGCCAGTCGATCTGGGCATATGCGAGCTTCTCTGCTTCTTGCTCCTCCTCTTTCTTGACCTTTTGTGCTTCCTGGAATTTGACCCATTCGGCGCGCTTCTTTGCACTTTCCAGGACGCGGTGCTTGTTGTCGATGTTCTTCTCGAGCTCGGCCACGACTTCTTGTTGCTGTTGCCCTTGGGTGTTGAGGATCTCGGTGTACTGATCTACCAGACGCGAGAAGAATTGATGAAAACTATGTTGAGGACGGAGGAAATCGAACTGGGGGTTTCTGGCTTCGCGTTGTGATAGAGTAGTCATCCAGGAGCGACCGTTCTTGGCGACGAACATGGCAGTCAACTTGATGACCTCGAGGTCGACAGAGCTGATGTTGGGCATGCGCGCCGAGAAGTGGAAGTCTGGAGGAGGTGCAGGGCCTTGCTTCTTCTTTGGGGCAGCGACATCTCCTTCCCGGCCAGCAGCGACGTCTGTTCCCCTGCCGTCCTTGATCTCTTCCAGACGCCATAGGTAGAAGGGGTGGTATGGGTTGTCGGGAAGGACGAATTGAAGCTTTGGGTTGCCTTCTGCGCTGTCACGAATACGTGCTTCGAAAGCAGGACCGTTGCGAACAATGTAGCCAGCCGTCTTTTCTAGTAGTGTTCTGAACTCCTTGGGCGGTAGAATGACACCTGGCGGAGGTTTGAAATCGGTGTTGTCGGGAGTGTCATTGCGCTCTAGTAGAGGCGCGGGCGCCATTGTGAGAGGGGGATTCGACGAGGCCTCGCGTGCTGACGGGGCTAAACTGGATTGGAGGTGGGTACTAGGGCCGGTAGATTCCTTGTGTGCACAGAGGTGGCAGTAATAAGGGACGAGTCGAGTTGTTCGGTCGAGTGATAATCTTCACAAGGCACTCACTGCTGGCGCATGAAACGCGCATTGGAGCAGTATCAGAACGCTATGACATTTTGAGAGCGGCCTTGGCAGAGGATCTTCCCGTATCTTATCGGCCAGATCAAGTCGACAGCTCCTATTCTGGTCGGCCAAGGCGCGCTTCCGAGCTGTACGTGGCATCTGGCGACAACCGTCAGCTACTGCTTTCTGCTCCCCCTTGAATCGAATCCTCAGCTGCATCCGCAGAACCCACCCCTTTCCTTCGTCTGCCTCCTCCTTCTTCTTCTTTCTTTGCCTTCTTCCCTTCTATCTGCTCCTCTTTTCACCCTTCAATCGCGCCTTTTCAGCGCTTGCATGGAGCTTGAAGTCTAACCACCGACTTCCCCGCGACGCCATAAGGAAGCCCAGGAGACCTTCCACAATTACCCACTTCTAATCCCATCTTGGACTTTCAACCACGCACCATGGCCAACCGAGCCGCCAAATCTCCTGCTCGCCAGGCCAACACCAAAGCTACCACCAAGCCTACAGGCTTTGCTTCAGAGGGTGTCGAGAACAACGATGTCACGACACTCAAGTCCAACGATTGGCTGATTTGCAGTACCCTGACTGTTGTCGCCCTCTTCGTGCGCCTGTTCCGCATCTCCCAGCCCACCAGTGTCGTCTTTGACGAAGTCCAGTATGTTAACTATTGCTATCTCTCCGTCTACAACAACGAGCTGACCACATTCTTCTAGNNCTTCGGTGGTTTCGCTTCCAAGTACATCAAGGGCAAGTTCTTCATGGACGTCCACCCTCCGTTGGCCAAGCTTCTCATCACTCTCGCTGGCTGGCTGGCTGGCTTCGATGGCGAGTTTGATTTCAAAGATATCGGCAAGGACTACATCGAGCCCGCCGTCCCATACGTTTCCATGCGCCTTCTTCCTGCCCTCATGGGTGTCGCTACGATCCCCATCATGTTCTTGACCCTCAAGGCTTCGGGATGCAAGACTGTTACTGCTGCCATGGGCGCCGGCTTGATCCTCTTCGAGAACGGCCTTGTCACCCAGTCCAGACTCATTCTGCTCGACTCTCCTTTGGTCATCTTTACCGCTCTGACCATCTTCGCCTGGACCTCTTTCACCAACCAGCACGAGCAGGGCCCCTCAAAGGCTTTCACTCCTAGCTGGTGGTTCTGGTTGGCCTTCAGCGGTGTCGCTCTCGGTGCCACCGTCAGTGTCAAGTGGGTTGGACTCTTCACCATCGCTTGGATCGGCAGTCTTACCCTTCTCCAACTCTGGGTCCTTCTGGGCGACACCAAGACGGTCACTCCTCGTCTTTGGTTCAAACATTTCTTTGCCCGTTTCTTCTGCCTGGTCGTCATCCCTGTTTCCTTCTACATGAGCATGTTTGCCATCCATTTCCTCTGCCTGGTCAACCCCGGCGACGGTGATGGCTTCATGTCTTCCGAGTTCCAGTCTACTCTCAACAGCAAGGGTATGCAGGATGTGCCTGCTGATGTCGCTTTTGGCAGCCGTGTCTCGATCCGTCACCACAACACTCAAGGAGGCTACCTGCACTCGCACACCCACATGTACCCCACTGGCAGCAAGCAGCAGCAGATCACCCTGTACCCCCACAAGGACGAGAACAATGTCTGGCTCCTCGAGAACCAGACCCAGCCCGTCGACCTCGATGGTACCGAAATCAAGACCCCCTTCGCATGGGACAACATCGAGCCTACTTTGATCGAGGACGGCGCCGTTCTCAAGCTCTACCACGTCATCACCGACCGCCGCGTCCACTCTCACGATCACCGTCCTCCCGTCACTGACGCTGACTGGCAGAACGAAGTTTCCGCATACGGCTACGAGGGTTTCGAGGGTGATGCAAACGATCTCTTCAAGGTCGAGATTGTCAAGCACTTGTCAGACGGTGAAGTCGCCAAGAACCGTGTCCGTACCATCGAGACCAAGTTCAAGCTCGTCCACATCATGACCGGCTGTGTTTTGTTCTCGCACAAGGTCAAGCTTCCTGACTGGGGCTTCGAGCAACAAGAGGTGACTTGCGCCAAGGGTGGCACTTTGCCCAACAGTATCTGGTATATTGAGAGCAACGATCACCCTCAACTCAAGGAAGACTCGGAGAAGGTCAACTACCGCAACCCTGGTTTCTTCGGCAAGTTCTGGGAGCTCCAGAAGGTCATGTGGACCACTAACGCTGGACTCGTCGAGTCTCACGCCTGGGACTCTCGTCCTCAGTCATGGCCAATCCTTCGCCGTGGTATCAACTTCTGGGGCAAGGACCACCGTCAAATCTACCTCATCGGCAACCCCCTTATCTGGTGGTCTTCGACTGTCTCTGTTCTTGTGTACCTGGCTTTCAAGGCACTAGCTGTCTTGAGATGGCAGCGTGGATACAAGGACTACAACAACGTCCCTTTCAAGAGATTCGACTACGAGGTTGGCACCAGCGTTCTCGGCTGGGCTCTTCACTGGCTTCCCTTCTTCCTCATGCAGAGACAACTCTTCTTGCACCACTACTTCCCTGCCCTCTACTTCGCCATCATCGCCCTCTCTCAGACATACGACTTCATCACTGCTCGCGTTCCTGCTCTTGGTCTGCGTCAGCGTCCTGTTATTGGAACCGCTGGTGCAGCCATCTTCTTGCTCCTCAGCATCAGCATCTTCTACATGTACTCTCCTGTCGCATACGGAAATGCCTGGACCAAAACAGACTGCGCAAAGGCCAAGCTGTTCGAGACTTGGGATTGGGACTGCAACACCTTTTACGACAGCGTAAGTTTATTTAATGCCTGAAGCAGAAGACAGAGAGCTGACACATGCCCAACANNGTACTCCGAATACAAGACGTACGACAGAACGCTCGCCGCTGCCAAGCCCACATCAGCAGCAGCAGTCGCATCCCCTGCCGTCCAGTTCTCGCACGAGGAGGTTCCCGAGGCTCAGGTGACCAACCGCGTGTTGGCTGGTGAAGAGAAGATCGAATACCGTGACGAAGCTGGTAACATTCTTAATGAGGAGCAGGTCAAGGAGCTTGAAGGCAAGGTTTCGTTCTCGACACGCTACGAGACTCGTACCAGACTGGTGGATGCCAACGGTAACGAAGTTTCGGATGGCAGAGTGGAAGAGGAAGTGGAGAGCTTTGCAGGAACAATCGCCGAAGGCGCCAACCAAGAAACTGGTGGAGTGGCTCAGGAATCGGCCAACGAGCAGCCTGCCAGCGTCAATGTCAACGACGATGTTGAGAAGGAGAAGAGCATCGAGGCAAGCACCGCATCCGCAGAACCAGAATCGGATGCTGGTACAGCCACTGGCAGAGACGAGCTCTAAAAATGGCAAGGGTAATCAGGAGTTGTCGGAAAAATATGAAGATATCAGGCAACGAAGTTATGCTAGACATTTTCGTAGGAGCAGCTCTAGGAATATTTAGTGATATCCTTTTTCTTTTGTGAAAACAAGATTCCATTCTCGAGCTGTCTTTGACCCTTCTCGTGGATGTCTTTCATGTGCTTAGGCTGTAGATCGAGGTTTCCATCTGGGTGAACTTGCATGTGATGATGACGACTGGGTGAGTGTGGAGAAATTGGCCCAAGAAATATCTGGAGTCTTTGACATCTCCCAAACATCATCAACAATGGGCAAGAACAAGAAGAAGAGAAAGGATAACGCGCCTCATGCAAGAAGGCCAGCGCCAAACGAGAGACGACAGGTCATCTCCTACGATGACATCGAAGGAGAGGCAGCGCCGCCCATTCCACGCCAAAAAGTCTCGTACGGCAGCGACTCGAACGACGATGATGATCAGGTGCCCGACCAGCGACATGCGGTTGTCTCTAAAGAGGCTCTGAAAGAACGCGAGCGACCGCAGACAGACGTCACCTATGGTCAAATAGGCGCCTTCCCAGGACTGGACCCACGCGACAAGGACCCCTTCTATGGTTCTGCAAATGACGGTCTTGATTATCTACGTATGGTCAGGTAAGTGATTTCTATTCCTTTGCTACTTCTGCATCTGCTAATCTAAACCAGATCTGAAGCACGCGGGATCCCGCACATCGTTCGCGCTCCGCCNCCCAATCCACTCCAGCCTGTCGACTACGAGGACGACGACTACGAAGAACATGTTGACGATTATGACGGCTACTATGAGGAGGACGAAGAGGAAGACGATGATCAAGATGGCTGGTACGAAGACGGTGCTTATGTGGCTCCTTCGATCGCCGCCCCAGTCATAGGTCCTGTCCAGCCAGGCATGAAGCCACAAGACGCCTTTTACGACTCCCTCAAGACTCGCTTCGAAATACTGCGTCACAATCTGAGAGCATCGCCGTCTGTCCAAGCCGTCCAGACTCTCGACGATCAGCACCCAATCTCTCTTCCTTTTGGCAATAAGATGGCCGACAAGGATTGGAAGTACCACCTTCTAAACACGACTCCGCTTCCTGCTCAACTCGCGTCTCTCGATTCTCCATCTATCCTTCGCTTGCTGAAGCTTGTTGAAGGTCAACTAGAGAACTGCCGCAAAACAAACATTCCGCACAACCTCGGCTTATGGGCCTGGTCGCTGTTGGCCAAACTGGACGATGTTGGCTTGTTGCAGACTAGAGAGGTCAGCGTAGTTCGAGATTTGGCAAAAATGGCCATCTGGGTACGTATGATGCATCACAAAGTCAAGCACGGTAGGTCGAACGATCCTGACTACAAACACCTCGACGACTATCCACACGAGAAAGCCACACAGCATGAAGAAGGCGTGATTGTCGATGCAGATGAGGCAGATGCTACCGAAGCTGGTGCGTCACCCACTGGACAAGTGGAGGCTGCAGTAGAAGCACAGATCAAAGAGGAGATCACATTAGCACAGGATGACCAAGGAGATGCTCCTAAGGACATGGGTTCCGAAGACCAACTTCTGGATGCCATTGCTGCTAAAAAGCGTGAGCTACAGACCGAAGCCAAAGTCAAAGAAGAGGAACAAAAGCAAGAGGAGTTCCCTGACACTAACACGTGTGTTACCATTGACATGCTTGTCACTGTGGCCAGCGAGTTCTATGGTCAGAAGGATCTTCTTGTCGGCCGCTTGCCGTGGGAGCATCCCACCGATTGAGACTACACTAATACCACAAGCTCATCATTTCTTCAACAGCCATGTTAGTGCTGCAACAGCATATGCATCGACAGCCACTTGCAGCGTCGGCATGATTACTGGTGCGAAGTAGGCACTGTGGTTGATCGGCACGTCTCCAGGACGCCCTTCTGCTGCCACTTGATCCCATATCTTAGGGTCTGTACCGCCATAAGTCCAGAAGGATGAAGGTTTTCCGATCGCCGTTGCTGTATTATAACGTTAGCTCATGCAACAGGATATCCATTATTAAAAAAAAACCTACCCAANGATGCCAAAATCCTCGCTACCACCCAGCTTTGTTGCAGAACTCGTGTATGAATGTTCACTGGTTCCAAAGTGCTTGCTAAAGCTGTCTTCCAGACGCTCTGTGACTTCTTCGTCGTTGATAGTAAGCGGGAAGTTTCTCGTCGTCTCGAAGGTAGGGTCCTTGACGGCGCCGCTGGCCATCGACTCGGCTGTGACAATTCTCTTCACACTGCTCAGGACCTTGCTTCTGGTCTCGTCATTGACGGCTCTTAGATCCAGTTTCAGTATAGCATCGTCTGCAACCACGTTCTCCGCATCTCCAGCGATAATGCAAGCACAGGTGACCACGGCACTGTCAGCAGGATCAACCTCTCTGCTGACGATGGTCTGCAACCTCATCACCGTGCTTGCAGCCATGACTACCGGATCGACCAATCTATGCGGTTGACTGGCATGTCCGCCTTTTCCGTGCAGAGTGACCTTGAGCGAGTCTGCAGAAGACGCCATGAGTCCGCGCTTCGTGCCCAGCGTGCCTGCTCGCATGGGCATCACATGCCCACNCAGCACGACATCAGGAACAGGCACTTTGTCATACAATCCATCATCCACCATAGCCTGTGCACCCTGCCCCTTTTCCTCTGCAGGCTGGAAACAGAATACCAGTGTCCCTGACCAAGCATCTCTAGCCGCATAAAGCAGCTCNNCTGCAGCAGCCAGCAAAGAAGTGATGTGTATATCATGCCCACAAGCATGCATAGTCGGCTTCTCCGCTCCTTCAAGATCAACCATGCGTTTCTTGCTCGCCCACTCCAAGCCTGATTTCTCCAGTACTGGTAAGCCATCAATGTCTGCGCGCAGAAGGATTGTGGGGCCAGAGTTGTTGGCCAGGATGCCTGCTAGACCGTGGCCTCCGATATTGGTGTGCAAGACTACATCTGAACATTTTTGTTTTAGGTGTGCAGCTATCCTTTCTGCGGTTTCTTTTTCTTGGTGCGAGAGTTCTGGGTTTGCGTGGAAGTGTTTGTAGAGGGGGACGTATTCTTTTTCTAGATCTGGACGGTGTGAGGACACGATGTCGCTGATTGGGTTATCAGTCTTTGCCATGATTTATATCAAGATTGAGTTGTAAGGAGACAGAACGCTTGTGGGTTGAAGAATGGATGGCTATCTACTGTCTAGGTGGATATCCTGCTTTATATGATAACCCCGCTTTCGATACCTTTGGCCGCGAGTTGGCCGTCCCTGTCGATCTGCCGATGTGCTTGATGAGGAAGGAGGCTGGTGAATGAGTCTACAGATGGATTTGTGACTCGACTGGATCCTTCCTGTCCACAGCGACGTCACTGTCAACATCTGTAGACTTGCATAACACATGGTATACTTTTGTTCAAACTCGTCGCATAATGTTTCCTACATCGGCCCTCCGCAAAGCTCTCCACGTTCTCTCTGGCGGTTGTCGGCGAGATCGGCAAGGCCATGGCGGGCAGTTCGGGCCCCACCGCGCAGAGATACGGCGGGGTGTTACTCGATAGGAAGTCAATCCATCGAGTAACAATTATACCAGTGTCTGCCCAACAATCTGTTTCTTTTCCCACTGACTTGGATCTCCTTTTCTTCTTTTCTCCTGTTTTCCTCTCCATCTATCAATCCTCTGCTTTTCTCTCTCTCTTTACACAAACAGATCTACAGCAACAATGGAAATCCACACCGAATCCATCGACACAATCAACAATGGCCAAGTCAAGGTCATCCCTGTAGAGGACATTCAATCCACCTTTGGCTCTTCCAGCATCGACCTCATCAGCAAACCCCTCGGCTCGCGCATCCTCTCCTTCTCCGACGAATGGTTCGCCGCCGCCGATAACCTCACCACCCCCACCGCACCAATCCGCAAGCCTGGCGTCTTCGTCTTCTCAGGCGCCTGGTATGATGGCTGGGAGACTCGCCGCCATAATTCCGAGCCCTTTGACTACGTGGTCTTCAGACTCGGTGTTGCGAGCGGAAGAGTCAAGGGTGTAGAGATCGATACTGCATTTTTCAATGGCAATCACGCGCCAGAAGTGCAGGTACAAGGCGTCTTTGCCGACGACAGCAGAGAAGAAGAAATAAAGAGCAAGGACTTTGCAGAATGGGAAACCATCTTGCCAATCACCGAATGCGGTCCCTCGCAACGACACGCTTGGCTTCTTCCCACAACCACAAAACCTTACACCCATATCCGCTTGCAAATGTTCCCTGATGGCGGTATTGCTCGTTTCCGCCTTTATGGAGATGTACAAGCCGTATTGCCTACAGATGCTTCCGAAGTCTTTGATCTGGCAGCTACTGTCAACGGCGGTGTTGCCATTGCTTGCTCAGATCAACACTTTGGCACAAAAGATAATCTTCTCCTCCCCGGCCGCGGCAAAGACATGGGCGATGGCTGGGAAACCAAGCGCACGCGTGGCGAACACATAGACTGGTGTATCATCCGTCTAGGCACTTCTGGCTACATTTCCAAACTGCTGATCGACACTGCACACTTCCGCGGCAACTTTCCGCAAAAGGTGCAGGTGTTTGCTGCCGAGGGTTCTGAAGCTCCTGCACACGATAGTGGCAAGTGGGTGGAGATTTTGAGTCCGCAGAAGACGGGGCCGGACTTTGAGCATGTATACGAGGGAGATGTGTTGAAGGAGGTCAAGGACAAGGCGTATGAATTCGTCAAGTTGGTCATGATTCCCGATGGCGGTATCTCGAGGATCAAGGTGTTTGGTAGCAAGGCTGTGTAGAGAACGTTTTATCTCTATATAGAATGGACAAAAGTCATTTTCAATCGTCTCTCGAGCTTCGAAGCGTCTTGTCTGCTTGGTGCTGGGGCCAACTTGTCTTGTGATTACATGCTGACGCTCAGCTCGTCAGAAAAAGTAGACCTTAAATCTTCGGTATAGAGCAGCGATATCCCTCGACGACCATGTCACTTCGTATTTTGCTCATTGCACACGCACGATCAAGCAAAAGGACATAGGACAAACACAAAACATACAGCAGCAGGGATTCCCACGTGGTCACCCACCGTAGTACTAATCTGCCGTTCAACTGCTTATGTATGGCAGAGCAGACGGGATGCCCAGTTTTCAGCTGACTGTGGCCGTATGTGCTTGGTCCACAATTTTATGGAAATATAATATTCCATTATTGTCTAGAGCTAAGTGATCCACAGCTAAAGCACGTTAGACCTCAGAGTGACTTGACTTTTACGATTCAGGCCCCGTTCGGTTTCGCGGCTTCGACTCTGGATTACCCTCGTATTCAAGAGCAGGACACTCGCCGCCAGTATGTATCGAACTACCTGCTGTTTCTGCTCATCCATGGCACGTGATATTCGCAGGAAGTGTGCAAGAGTGTGCTCGATCGAGAACACACTTGAATTCGAAGCCTGCCTCTGCAAAAAACTTTGCCTTTCGCGCTAAAAAATCTGCTCCGAAGTCGATTGCCCGCAAATCGACCCCATTCCCTACCAAAAAACGACAGTATTTTTGGGCAAAACCCGAACAATCACGCACACTTCCATTTCGACTGTAGAAAAACTACATATTCTACCGCCGAGGAGTCGAATCCGAGCCTTGAATCCGCGAAACCGAACAGGGCCTCAGAATTCTCGAGACACCATCGCTCTAAGCCCCATAACGGTCATGATATGCCTCGAATAACTGCACTTGACACACAGAGACGAACCCAAATCCTGCGCATAATCTGATCAATGTCCAAAACCACGAAATGTGTACTGAGGGAATGAACAACGAGGCTGGTGACGGAACTTGGAAAAAAAGGCCGGCATACAACAAATACTCCAAAGCACACATCTTGAGATAGTGAGCCATGGCTGAAACTGATGTGCAGAAGCGTGCAGTAGGTCGCGGCTACCCAGCACACACAGCAGGATTCTCATGTGATATGGGCTGCAAGAAGACCTGCAGCAATACGAGTGCTGTGCCTCATTGAAATCCGAACGCGCTTCGCGGGAAAGGCCATCACTACGCGTACGAATGAACTTGCCAACAGCCGCCTGGGGACGCGGAGTAGCTATGGATATTGCCCTTGAGTCTTCCAATGATGCCTGATTCGTCACAGATACATGCATGCAGCAATTCAGGCCTCCAAGCAGAATTCTGGGAGCTTTATCTTTGCTGCCACAATATTTGCGACAGGTCTTGATTGATGAATGCTGGCCGCAGATACAGCATTGTGCATACTCAGACAATCAACCTCAATCCCGAATCCTCCCTTGACCTTGTGAGCGGCAGCTGTTGGAGATGATGTAGGATGCGCTACATGTATCTCACGCGCATCCCATCTATCACTGCTGCAGATATCAGTGACGTTGGTGTTGACAACCATTCTAGCGAGCTTGTGTTTGATTGACGCTGCGCTACAAGCGAAGTCAATGGACAAGATCAGACCATCCACTCTCGACTGGTCATTACGAACATATAGAAGATTATTTCGTCCCTGCCTTAACAGATACCAGCACTGTCTCAACCTTTATCAATTTGTTGACTCCTCAAAGATAGACTTTCTCAGACTTTGCCTTGTCCCTCAAGATGTCTACCACCCCTGCAATGAGAGCTTGTCCCTCGAAACCTTGTACTCCAAGCCGTGGTACACCCCGCCACGACTCTGGCACAGATCAAAGAAGTCTCCGATCGGAAGAGTCTGGAGGCTACGAGGTGCTCGAGGATGAGAAGGCAGATGACGAGGTTGTGATAGGGAAGGATGGCGTTTCAAAGAGCAAAATCCAGTTCTACGAAATCTACTCGAAAGGCGATCGTGCTCTTATGGATCTCACATGTCATGGTCTAGAGGCAGCCCCTCTACTCCTGACAAAAACCCGATGCCCTGTCGAAAGCTATCGGCGGTACGACGATCGCTCTTGGAAGCCGTCAGCAACAAAAACTGGATGAGATGCGAGGCGGACGCGTCCCCATAATCTCCGAGACTCTCCATGCAGACAAGAGTTACGATGCCGAAGTAGCGGACAATGCAGAGGCCGTGCGAAAGCTCCTCGTCGAGCCTCGCATTTTCAATCCCGACAAGCACTCCGAAAAGCCAGCGTTCATCTATGCTTTCCGTGACAAAGACCTGAACCTCGTCAAGATTGGTTTTGCACTCGACATCGAGAGGAGAAGAAAGCAGCTGGTGCAGAGCTGCAAGATCACTGGCGGCTTGACTCTTATCGCCCACAGTGGAAAAGTGCTGGCGTACAAACGACTTGAGAAGCTTATACAACAGGATCTTGCTCCGCACCGATGGTTGTTTGGATGCGGTTGTCGCACCAACTCATTGAAAGGATACACCAAGCATCAAGAATACTTTGACATCAGCGACGAAGTAGCCAAGCATACCATCGAATTCTGGGCCGACTTTGTCAAGCAAAATCTTTGCGAGAGACATCCAGACAAGGCTCCGAGACTTGGATCGATCCTTGAGGCAGAGATTAGATCGTACTGGCTCATCTCGTTGATGTCTCCCGATTCGTGTCGTCCTTCCGAATTCGAGAAACATGGAGATCATGATCTGAGAATCAAGCGGTGGCGCAAGATCTTGAGACTCGAAGTTGCCGAGACACCAGATCCGCAAAGAAGTATTTCTGATACCAAACCAACATCTTTCGATCAAAGCAAAAAACCAGTCATCTTCAACCAAGAAACCAAACCAGGACTTTTCAACCAGGTTACCAAGTCAGGCTCCTCCAACGAAGGCACCAAACAAGGTCTTTTCAGCAAAAGTACTTCCCAACCGTCATTCACGTTTGGGGCCTCATCACCTTTGTTTGCACCCATAAAAAGCGTGAGCAAAGAATACTCTGGTGCTGCCCAACCTTCGTCAGAAGATCTGTTCGGCCCGGGCTCTGTAGCTATACCTCTACCATCGCCCTGTACCACAACGAAGAAGAGCAATATGGGACCAAACGATGATGCTCCACATCCCGAAGTCTATGCTGGCGCGAAATCTACTGGTTCACCAGAATCCCGGCATGAATCTGGCGAGCGAGAGTCACATAGGACACCAACTGAGGTCCCTAGAGACCTGACCAAGATCAAGACCCCTCAAAAGAAGCTGGAGGTGAAAACAGAACAGTCGGCTGTAAACTCGGGTCACAAGGACATTGAAAACATCGAGCATGGTCTCATCAACAAATACATATCCGTCTTCCTGACGAACATGCTGGCCATGGAAGCTCGGCCATTGCCAGCTCGAACGATCTCCAAAGACCTCTTTCAACTGCGCTGGCCGCTTGCGTGTTTGGTTGTGTTTGCGCTATACTCGCCTCATGTCCCTCCAGCGCTGTCCTTTGTGATGTGGTGTGTATTTGCGCCATTCTTCGTAGCGGAGCTCAGAGGTTGGGAACTGGCAGAGATCATGACGGGTCGCCGCTCTGGTAAGCTTACGTAGTGTATGAGCGAGAACTCCAGTTCGAGTTATGATAGATCCTGAACAAACTAATGCAACATCTGGATGCTGTGAATTCTGTCCCTTTACCAAGTTTATACCACTCTTCTCTTGTTCGCAGGTGCAGTCAAGCTTCGAAGTGGGTACTTGTACAGGGAGAGATGGAAGAACAATCGAATACGACTTTGCTTTTGGATCTACCATCCAGAACCCCACATCCATAAGACATAAAGTGGGATAGATTGCTGTGGGGACTGGCATTGAGGACAGAGATACTCTGTGAATGACAACATACCCTTGTATTCGTTGGATAGCCAGTAACTTAACATTGTGGAAGAACATGCTGTTCCACATAGTCCTGAAAGTCACAGCGCCTACTCCATTCGAGAATGCCGAGCGCAAGTGAAAGCAACTTAACGGCTGGCTCAAGAAGAAAGACAGCAGCTGGATGAAAGTTTCAACAATATCCATTGGCTCAGCCCAATAGTCTTCAAAGACCAATCCAACATGATAGAGGCATTACCGGACTCCACAAGGCCAAGAGTTCCGGACTGCACACTCTTGGAGGGCTCGGTGATGAGAGTGATAGGCCGCCTTGGCTCCGACAATACCTCATTGGCGCGAACGACATACGTGGAAGATTGGCTGGGTAGTGGCCATCATGAGGATGGAATGTGTCGCCACATGAAGTGAGTACAAGCAGAATCTGGAAGCACAGGTCCCTCCAATACTTCGCCTTCAGACTCGGAGAGAAGATAGGTGCATTGTGGATACAGGCGAAGTGGATGCCACGGCGGAGATCGGTGGTGGAAGTGGATCCCAACCACGAACTCTGGTTGATCGCGAATCCTCCACATTCGGAAGCCGATCAACAGGTTTTTGGTAACGGTGGTAAGGTCAAGTTGGTCAGTGATGACCATCTGTTCTTGACCTCGAAGCGATACGGCCAAAAGATGGTGGTCGCAGAAGAGTGAATGTGCTGTCGATGGCTTCGTGTCATCACCTCGTGTCTCAAGGTCGCACGAGTCTCCAGAACTCAACTGAAGCTCAACGGGCAGGCGCAGAGCCGCAACGGCAGGGATATCAACAAGGTAGTTAAGTCAGACTCGCTTGACGGGAGCTGTGACATGACACATATTTCAATAGCGCGATGTACGATCCTTTGATAGCAGCGAGAGCGACAGGGCCGGAATCACCTCTGCAGTCAACAAAAGCAGCGTGCAGCCGCATGGCTCAGGTGTCAACTTCCACTTAACTGCAGATCAGAATAAGCAGACAAGAAAAAAAATTCCGAAGTGCTATTCTTGGCCGACATGCCCATCTGCAGGCAAGCTCTTGCTTCTAGCGAATACTTGCATGATAGACTTGCGATGGAAGCTGTGTTGATTGGTCGCGGAGAATATCATCTGCGAAAGCGATGAGATGTGGGGCTGCGACCGCTTGCGCGAACTTTCTTTATCTCGACACCATCATGGGTGTTGACTGTTTTTGGTGCCGACAGCGATAGTCCAAACAACTTGATCATGTGTGGACAGATGCGACAGCAATGACTGATGCATCGAGCGAAGGAGACGACCCGTGAGTTGCCTCTGCATCATCCCGCAAGTAATGCAGCGCTGTAAAGAAACGAGGTTCTTCAATATGCACAACAAGGCTTAAAGGTATTGTAGTTTCATATCAATCTCTTGGACAGGAAAGAAAGATTGAGACGAGTGACCGACAGACGCACGTCAAGCAATTGGCGCTGACGAAAACTCCATCGCGACCGCAGCTTGGTGTCTTGATGCGCGTTACGTGCTGGTGCTTCCTTCCCTGCTATCAACGAGGAAAATTCGATCAATCAGACTTTCAGGCACCTTCTACGGAGACCGTTCTTCCGTAACTCTACCATGGCACCTTCTGAGCCTCCGAATCTTGTACCTGAAAGACGAGTTTGTCAAGAATAAGCGCACCACGCGAGGAAACAAAGATGCACGTTGTGCCGAGTCACGCCATGCATCTCCAAAACGGTCACGCTATACCGCAAATAGACAGCATCGTATCAAGCTCAAACTAGCACTTCACGCCAGTTTCCACTTCATCTTGGATTTTTCTTGGACACGCTGGGGCAGCTTGGAGCCTCCAAGAAATTATTCCTGCAACTTCCCGGGCGGAGAGCCGTACTTCTTGCCTCCGTGTTGCCACTGCTTGTGTGTGAGAATTCGAAGCTCTTACAGTGAACCCAGCAAGACAATGCTATTATGATGGTAGAGGCAAGGGAAGTTCTCTGCACTCCAAAATGTTGAGTTGAGATTAAGTTTGTATCCCATTGTACCTGCTTTATCCTCCTGCGTTGATCATTGGTTCAAAAAGTCCGACACAGTCGTACAAAGGTCAACATGCAGGTGCTCTACGCCTGAGCCGTCGTCCGGACACTCTGTAGCTTCTCGGACTTCGAGTGCACTTCCGCACGCCATCTGCCTATGCCTCACCTACGCCGAGTGCTTGGTTCCGGCTTCCTGCAACATTCTGCTTGCGACCATGCTCTTTCTTGGTACACCATGGTGGATGCCATGTTTCCCACGACCCAATCTGTCCAGCATGCTTGGGACGCGGCCTGAAGTGCTAGGGCTATGCATCCCAAATAGAGCTCAGTCATGGATCCACTCGGAGAATATCCTCAAGCAAGAAGGTCATATAAGTACTCTGTCAATCTCCTCCACTGTACTGTCATTCAGCATCTTCAGCATACCTCCAGCAGGCAACAGGATCAAGGCTCCATTCGTTTGGCCTCATCACGCCTAGCTACCTCTCGTTTTTGGTATACTCGTTGTTCTATCTATACTTTCGTTTTTCTGCTCAACTCCTCCATCGATGCGTTTTTCCACAATCTCCGCATTGTTTTGTGCAGTCGGAGTGCTCGCTGCTCCCAGCTCGTCTCAAGAAGTCAATGGACTCGCGGTCAGTGAAGATGGAAAGTGTGGTGGTTCTACAGGACAGACATGCTTGAACTCATATCTAGGCGACTGTTGTTCCAAGGCCGGCACTTGCGGTGAAGGCGCGTTCTTCTGCGGTCTAGGCTGTCAGAAGCAGTTTGGTGCTTGCATTCCTACCTACAAGGGCAAGCTTGTTAGCCAGAATGGTATGTGCGGTCACGATGTGACCTGCAAGGGCTCAAAATTTGGTGACTGCTGTGGAAAGGACAACTGGTGGTTTGTATATTCAACTCAATTCGCAAAGAAGCACTTGCTGACTGTACGCAGTGGTGGTGACACAAAGTCCTGTGGAACAGGCTGCCAGCAAGACAACGGCTCTTGCAATGGTGCATGGCCTTGGAGCAACCTGGTCTCCAGAGCTGACCCCAATCCGACCTGCCCCAAATCCAACGACACTATCTACACAACCGAGAGCGGAGACCAGTACAAGATCACTTGCAGTCTCGACCATGCTGGTGGTGACCTGAAAATGGTCTGGATCAACTCGAACAAGATTGCAGACTGCCTTGCTGAGTGTTCTACAACTGAAGGATGTAAAGCCATTGCGATGTCTGGTACTGCTTGTTATATGAAGAGCAAGATTGGGACCCCCGTCAAGAGCTCCAACGTTAGAGGCGCTATCTGGGTCGGCAAGGTCGAGAGCTCCTCTTCCAGCGTCTCATCCACAGCGTCGGCCACACCTGCATTGTCCTCTTCATCGTCAAGCTCGGCATCCATCTCACTCTCATCTTCTGCATCTGTGAGCAGCTCTTCGACGGTCTCGTACTCGAACTCGTCTTCAACAAGCTCCTCATCATCTGCCCTTCCTACCTCGACCAGCCCTACTTGCCCCGCCGCAAACAACACTGTCTTCATCGCTGACAGCGGTGCTACTTTCCTCATCGAGTGTTTTGTTGACTACTCTGGTGGCGACTTGAAGTCAGTCAACATTAGAAGCAACAAGATCGCCGACTGTGTCAATGCTTGTGACACTACCGAGGGATGCATAGACATCAGCATGTCTGGTACTGCCTGTTACATGAAGCAAAAGCTGGGCAAGCCTTCCGTCAACAAGGGTGTGAGAGGTGCGCGCAAGATCAAGGATGCACCTAAGAGCTCGAGCAACAGCAGCGTTGCTCTTTCGACCACTTCCAGTGATGTCTCGAGCACTTCGAGCGGTGAAGTTTCGGCCATCTTGAGCACGTCGAGCAGTTCGAGCACTCTGCCCTTGACCTCCTCGACAGTATCTTCCGCATCTTCTACAGGCTCAAAGGTGGTTACCGCAAACAGCACCACCTCATCGTCCACAGCTGCGTCATCTGTGATCTTGACCACTGGAGTCTCGACTCTGAACAGCACGACTGGACCCTCGAGCGGTCTGTCATCGAGCGCTACAAGTGGAGCACCTTATGGCAACGGAACAGGCAGCACTGCTCCAGCCGGCCCTACTATTCCTCTCACCACTTCCAGCTCGACTTTCAGCTCGATTGCACCTTCAAACAGCACAATATCGTCTACTTCGACAGTCTTTGTCAACACCACTAGCACGATCGGATCTGGCAGCACATTCACGGTCGGACCCACTGCTCCTATCAATGTCGGGTCCTCAAGTATCGTTTCTTTCAGCACTGCCAGCGGAGCTCCGTATGGCAACTCAACTAGCAACACTTTCTTAGTCGGACCCACTGCTCCTATCGGCACAGGTATCCCATCTAGCTCGGTCGTTCCAGTCAACAGCACTAGTAGCGATGTCTCGTCCTCGTCTGTTGTTCCTGGCACTGGCGCCTCAAGCGGCATTTCTTCGTCTGCTACCAGCGGTGCCCCGTACGGCAACGGCACAACCAGTGTATTACCTGTCGGACCTACTGGCACCGGCGTTTCGATCTCGGCCATCACCAGCAAGACTGTCATTGTCAGCCCTATCGGTACTGGCGCTTCAAGCGGTGTCTCATCAAGCACAGCCAGCGGCGCACCCTATGGAAACAGTACTACAAGTGCTTTGCCTGTCGGGCCCACTGGTACAGGTGTGTCTAGCTCGGTCATCACTAGCTCTGCCGTAAACGCCACTGTGTCTCTTACCACTAGCTACAACCTCACCTCAAGCATTGCCTCGACAGTCATTACACTATCGTCCAACTCGACGGTCAGCGCACCTTTGACGACCGCTCCCATCGTTACTGGTCCTTCGACAAGCATCTCCACCTCGTCTGGACGATACACCAACACGACAAGTTCAGCCTTGACCACAAGCTCTGCTGCACCCACATGGGCATTCAACAACTGGGGAGGTATCACCTCTGGACATCCTGTTGCCACCAACACCACTGCCTGCTCGGTGAAGCCTACTTCCACTGCTACATGTGTTCGTTGTGAGGGTCAACCTGGAACTGACCAGTACTGCGGTCTTACAATCAACGATGACTCTTATAAGGTTGTTCCCAAGACTTGCAACACTGTCACGTTCAACCTCGACTTGACTGAATGTGAGGTCAGTCCTGATGGTATCTCGCGCAAGGCTCTGTGTGTCAACGGTCAAGCCCCTGGACAAGCACCACTTTTGGAGGCTTCTTGGGGTGATGAGGTGGTTATCCACGTCACCAACTCCATGACTCGCAATGGAACTTCGCTGCATTGGCATGGTATACGACAGAACCACACGAACGAGATGGATGGCGTCGTTGGCTTGACCCAGTGCGCCCTTCGTCCTGGTCAGAGTATGACTTATAGATGGAGAGCAGAGAGCTACGGCTTCTCGTGGTACCACAGTCATTTGACTCTTCAAGCATACGAAGGTCTTTTCGGTCCTATGTACATTCACGGTCCCAAATCCGCTGACTACGATGTGGATGCTGGTCACCTCATCATCAACGATTGGTCCCACATTCCTGTCGATGACATGTACAACGATGCACAGGTCGCTGGTGTCAGAACAATGGATACTGGATTGATCAACGGTATGAACATTAACCCTCTTGCCAAGGACGGCGCACCTGCCGGTCAGCGCTACACCGTCCCTACTGAGTTTGTTCCTGGCAAGAAGTACTTGTTCCAGCTTCTCAACAGTGCCATCCAGTCAACTTACAAGTTCTACATTGACGGCCACAGGTTCACAGTCATCGCTGCTGACTTTGTCCCCATCGAGCCTTACGAGACTACAGTCTTGTCCATCAACATTGGTCAACGCTACGAGATCATTGTCGAGGCTGACCAGGACGTCGGCGACTACTTCCTTCGTTTCGACAACCAGAATGCTTGTGCTACCACCACCAATTCTGATGATATCAGAGGTATCATCCACTACGTAGGCAGCTCTGGCGGCACACCTACTTCGACTGCCCACACCTACCCTCGCAAGGATAACGGTGTTGGCGGTATTCTCGGTACCTGCGAAGACGAGCCTCTTGCCAGCTTGGTTCCCATTGTCAAGCATTCTGTCAGCTCTCCCCACCAGACTGTCCAACACGACGTCGCTGTTTCCAACTCCAACGGCATCAACCTCTACCGCTGGTATCTTGATGGAACCACTTTCCAGTCCAATTGGGGTGACGCAACCCTCTACAGCATCCTCAACAACGACTCCATTCCTGACTATTCTGGCAATCTTGCCATCTCTACTTCCCTCGGAGAGTGGGTCTATGTGATCATTGAGTCTCCCGTACCACTTGGACATCCTATTCATCTCCACGGACATGACTTCTACGTTCTCGCTGCAGGATACGGAAATTATGGCAGTGGCACTGCTCTCAACCTCGACAACCCTCCTCGTCGTGATGTGGCTTTCATGCCTGGTGATGGCCCGACCGGTCAAGGCGGTCATCTCGTCATTGCCTTCTTCACCGATAACCCTGGTGTCTGGCTCATGCACTGCCATATTGGTTGGCACGTGGCTATGGGTTTTGCCTTGCAGTTCATCGAAGGACAAGAACAAATCAAGGATACTGTCACCGACACCTGCCTTGTCAATGACGTCTGCAATAACTGGCGTCCTTGGGCTCAAGAGAAGGGCATCTATGTTGATGACTCTGGTGTGTAAACGCCTTTGTCCTTGCTGGATGACTATGCCTTTTTTCGTATTGTTTTGCTTTAGCACTTCTCTTCTTAATGTGTTTGAATGGATTGGGAAATTATACCGTTTGATGGATTTTGGGTGTCTTTGGATCCAAGCGCCCTTTTTAGATGTTTCACTTATACTTGGTTTCCGCTAGACGATCAGATCTTGTCGCGATTCTGTATATAGACGAGTTTCGAATCGAAACGCTCTTGATTGTATAACTCGTGTCTCTTTACTGGTGATTGTGACCGTTATTTGTTCCGCCTCATTTCTTTTCCATATCCTAAGCTCGGCTATCTTCTCAAAACACCAGCCTATGCAGAACAGGGGTCATAAGTAATTCAAAACCAGCAAGCACCACTACCATCTGCAAATGCAAGACCCCAAACCAAATCCCGATCTTCCTCAAGCACAAGGTCCAGACCTCGCCATATCGCCCCAAAGCAACTCTTCCATCTGCTTGCAACATCTCAATGTAAATATAAGCAGCAAAGGTAGGATACAGAGCCGACACTCGCAAACCGAATGCTGTGATCAGAATGATGCTGTCCGCAGCAGCGATGCCTTGAAGACTGCTGTTGGAAGTCCCAGAAATGGACTTGGAAATGTAGATAGGCAGGTTCGCAGTCAACTGTTGAGCGAGAACGTAAGCCACAGCCGGCAACACAAGTCTCTTATCTGGAAGCGACAAGATCCTCGGTCGTGTCTGCCGACGTTGCTGCTGAAGAGAAAGAACCACACAAGTCCAGCGCAGATGCAAGTTTGCCAATAGCACTCCTGCAATACTTTTCGCAACAAACTGCCAGATCAAAGAAGAAGAGATACTGGAGAGGAGACTGCTTAGGAGAGAGTAAAGCACATCATACACCACACTCAGCAAAACATCTCTGCGTAATCGTCTGCCCGAACCAATGGCATGGAGAGGATATCCCAGATAATTGTTATGGGAGTCCATCCCACCGCTTTCTTTGCGATAGGCAAGTGTTTTCGACTGTACCATCAATGCTCCTGTAGTTTGAAGCATTACATGACGAATCTGTATTCTATCAGCTTCCCTCCTTGTCAACAACTACTACTGTCTACTTACCAAATACACCAACAGCCATTGCGAAATAACCAGTATCGCAAGTGCTATAGGATACCTTGGCTGATTTTCAGACGTCGTGGTTTTGAGAAGAGAGCTGATGCNCAGGAGCTTGTCGCCTCTGTCGAGATCGGCGAGGGTATGTAGGAGATCGTGAGCAAGATGCCCTGTCAGCATAGGGGGGAGCTGCCATGCTAAATGGTAAAGTGGATAGTGAAAAAGATGCTGGAATGTCTCGATAAGGTATACATCTATACTGGCGCCGAGGTTGCACCGTCGCTAATTCCTGCAAAGGACAACATGTCATCTCTTGATGGTGCACTTATGACTTTTGTAAGATAGTCTCTTATATGAGGACATGTGGTTTATTTCCATTTTGATGTTAGAATCGCAACCAAATCAACGTTTTATACATTCTGATAATTTGCTTATTACCAACGAGCTTAAATCGTTTACGCTGCCCTACGAAGCTAAATCGAGGTGTTGCGAGGTATTAGAATCATTCTCCTCTATAGAGATAAGACACCCATTGCTAGACTCAGATTGGTAAGAACCTTTAAGAGGACTGCCGCCAGAGTTTGCCATGTTATGTGCCGTAGTGTTCTATGTATCGGTTAGTGTCATGTTAATAAAATCGAGCTTAGTTTAGTATGCGACAGAGCGTGCTACCCATTAATGTGGATCAGTTTACCATATCCTGCAGCGATAACATAGAACTTGTGACCATAGAGATGGATTAGGTGCCCTAGTAGTACGGAAGACTCAATGATTATATAGACCCACTCTCCGAGGAAAGTAGAGATAGCAAGATCACTAGAACAGTTAGGAATGGAGTTGTTACAAAGGGTGCTATAAGAAGAAACTAATAAGGATAATTAAGAACATTAAGAAAGGTAGATAAAGCGTAAGCGGTAGCCATTAAAAGTTCGTATGTTAATCGATCTACGGTGCGTCTAGGGAGCTTTATGGTTGCGAAGACTCCTCATTGTTAGAGACGCCTAGAGATTCTGTCGCGACTAACAGGGGAGTCACTCCGGTGATGAGTGAGGGTTTAGTAGTAGTCGAGGCTTTGTAGTTAGATTCTCTAGGTCCCTGGGTCTGGTCTGATTGCAAAGTGCGTTGCAAATGTCGATGTCATTTTGATGGGTACCGTTGTTAACAAAGCTCGTTTTGCAACAACCATCGATCGCACCCTCCACTTATAAACTATGGATCTAGACAGTATTTTCGCAATTGAACAGATGCCTTATTATTAAGTCTGCCGATTTTGCATGCAACGGAGTTTGGCCACTGATCAAGCCGGCCCTCTAGTTTCGGCTAAATCAACATCATGGTCCTCACTCACACCACCTCTACCCTCGAAAAGCAATCCCCTCTCTTCGCCCTCATCGCCTTCCCTCAACACACCACTCCCAATACCTCTGACCCTCCTATGCGCGTCTTCGTCTTCTCTAGCCCCAGCAACCCTACCCCCACTCTCATCACCTCCATTAACCACAAACCAAACATCCTTCTTGGTAAGTAAGCCCTTCAACACACCTCTATCACAGAAGCCTAGGTACCGAAGGCCTAGCCGTTGGAAGTAATTGACACACAACTCTAATCCGATGGCTGAATTTAGGGTTATGGGTGTTTGGTCCATCCAAGGACGAAGGTCGAGAGTATGCTCTACGTCGGCAAGAGGTTGGTGAGAAAAGAAGCATTGTGTATGTGGCGGTAGGTTCCTCGTCGTGGTTGCAGAGTTTAGAGCAAAAGACAGTTCCGTTCTTGATATGTAGCCAAGTAGTATCGCATCGTGAGGATTCGAGATGACTGGGAAGCCCCTGTACGAGTACTCCTTGAGTAAGTTGCCCAAAGTTTCGATTGTGCTGCCTTCAGCGGTAATAGTGACTAGATCTTCCAGTCTGGTCATGATCTGGGATACCGGAATATCGGGAATCGGTCTATCATCACGATTGTCGAGGAACGGGTATTCGTTGAAGGCGATCCAGGCTTCATAGATACCACGTTTGCCCAGCGCATCACCAACCCATTTAGCAATCATGACAGCTATCATGATGGGAAGGACATAAGTAAGAGCACCGGTAAGTTCGAACATGATGACCACAATTGAGACAGTCATTCTAGTTGCACCAGCTAGAGCAGAAGCTGCTCCGACAATAGCATAAGTCCCAGGAGTAATGCATGGAACGTCGGGCTCGCAAGAAGCAAAAACGATCCACTTAGGATGTTCGCTTTGCCACACTTCGACGATGAGACCTATAACACGACCATAAAGAGCACCGATGGTCATGGATGGCAATAGGATTCCAGCAGGGATCTGAAGACCAAAAGTCAAGGCTGTGAAGAAGAAGCCAATAATGGCTGATATCAGCAGCAGGAAGATGACTCCAGTATTGGCAATGCCACTCTTACATAGGCCAAGAGGGTCAGATTGGATGTCTTTACATTCTGCGAAGAGATAGTAGACCAATTCAGAGGCCTGAGCGCGCAGGAAGGTGACGGGGAAAGCAATGACAGAAGTGGCGATGGTGATTATGCAGACCTCCAGTATTGGTCTACCCTTGAGTGGGTAGCGCGGTGAGTCCCGGAGTGCTGCCAGACGCATATTCAGCTTGATCAGCAAGCCGCCATAGAGGCCTCCGAGTACACCAATTATGGCGTATGCAACCATCTCGAAACCGTGCCAGCCAGTGTGATACGTTACAGAGTATGGCACAGTTTTGCCTGTACGGAAGGGATCGACAGCCTTGAGTGTGAAAGCGGCAATCATGGCGCAAACAAAAGATTGCCACATGGTTTTGTCGGGAAAGTAATACGAGAGAGACTCGAGACTGAATAGCACACCACCAACGGGTGCACCGAAAGCGACCGAGATTCCAGAAGCAGAAGCGGCCGACAAGACCTCACGCTTACGAGCNNTGTGACAAGTCAGTATCATTTGATGAAGCGTGGGCGCACTCAACATACCTTCATTGCTGTTGATACTCTCGAAAGGCTTCATGAATAGGTTGGCGCAGCAGCAAGCGACATGGACTAACGGCCCTTCTTTGCCGAGCCACAATCCAGAAGCTACTGCAAGACACAGACCGACAGACTTGGTGACCAGGGTCCAGATGCCCATGAAACGACGAATGACGAAGCCACCAAGTACAGTCTTGATCTCGGGTATACCACTTTGCTTGGCATATGATGAGAACCTGGTAACGAGGTATGTTGCTACAGAAGCAAACAGAANCCTGGATATATCAGCTCTGAATTCTTTGTCGTTCGTAGATTTGCATACCGAGTAGCCGAGGTACAAGACGAAATTGATGATCCAGCTGCCAGCGCTAGATGTAACACCCATTCCATGGCTCCATGACTGCCAGTCTGGACATGATTGAAAGTCTTTTTGACCCCAGCAACAGAAAGCACTGTTCAGATAGAACTTTCCACCATCTTTGACGTTACTGCAGTAGCCAACCTTGAGATCACCCAACCAACCACTTGTGATGTCGATGGCAGCAGCGATAGTACCAACAGCAATTCCAGTAGCGACCAAGATGATCCAAGTCTGGCTGTTGTCGGCGAGTAGTTGAAAGTATCCTAACAGGCCAACGGCGTTGGATTGCAGCACTCTCAAGCGTTGTCTTTCTTTTGCATATTCAAAAATCCAGTCAATGGCAGTCAAGTTGTCGTAGCCAACGCGGCGACCTGGACCCTCGACATACCAATCCAGAGCCGAGGGATCTTTTGCATCTCGTGCGACAGCCGGAGTGTTGAGGTAGGAGAGGATGTTGGCAGTAGTGGGCTGAACGGGAGAACGCGAGCTGACACGGCGTTGTTGTAGATGCGATGTGTGGTCGTATGCAGGTGATGGGCTGCGACTAGTCGACAAGGGCGAGGGCAAATATGCAGATGATGTTCGAAAGGTGGACTTGAACGAGCGGTGCGTGTTTAGGTCACCATCACGGTTGTCGTCGATGGGAGACTCGACGTATGGCGACTCGTATGGGTTGCGACTGGACTCGGCCTCGACAGCTTCGTTGCTGTGAGAATTGGAGGAGGGTGCTGACATGAGGCATGCGATGCAGCCTGCTGATTTCTATCTTGTCAAGATGTCATGTTGATGTTGGACAACGGTTGTCGCATCGAGTCCATGCTTCGCTCTCCTTGCGGCTCGCGCCCCGCTGTTTCGCTGCCATCCATGAACATTTCTACGGAAACTCCTGTCCTAGACATTTCAAATGTGCAAGATGCAATGTGATACTGAGTATGAGGGCTTACGAAGTATGATCTTGTGATACTTTGAGCATGTCTGTGAGCTTCTGAACAATTTCACGGATACACAGAACAGCGAGGTCTTGGTAGTGTTGAGCTGAGGGAGTGTTTTCAGTAGAGTGATTTACAAAGTATAATTTCCACTCGTCTGTCCGCCACATCATGATTTCGAGCTTGAGATCGATGGAGAAGACCGTTGAGATACACATCTTCATCTGAATCAAGTCAGATTCCAATATTTACCACGTCGGACAGAGTTATATGTGATTGATGCTTGATCTTGCTTGCAACCGGGGTGACCCTGACCAAATAGAGGTTGATCCATCGAGATGGATATATTCTTCGAGGCTAAACACAATACTGCCTGGTTGTTTCAGTTCCATCCTCAAATAAAGTCATGTCTCCTTTGACGATTCATGCGGGTAGGGAACATCTTGAATGTGGTAGAAGTTTTTGTACACCATAAGTTTGCCCCAGTATAAGTACATAAAACGCCGTCACATGTATGCCATGTTTGATGTGAGAAGAAGGAAAAGAAGAAAGGGAGCATCTACTCCATGACGACAACGGCACCAAGGGCCTTGAGCGTCTCGACAATCTTCTCACCCTCCTCCTTGGGCACACCCTCCTTCATGAGCTTGGGTGCACTCTCGACAAACTTCTTGCTGTCGACCAGAGACAGACCCAACAAACTCTTGATCTCCTTGATGACCTTGGGCTTGGATCCAGCGTCGAACGACTGGAGCTTGAGGTTGAACAGAGTCTTTTCTTGTGCGGCGGGAGCGGCCTCCTCCTCTTCGGCGGCAGCAGGGGCAGCGGCGGGGGCGGCACCGGCAGCGAAACCACCAACGGGCAGGTCGGGAATGTTCAGGCGGGTCTGAAAGGATCCGTTAGTAAGGCTATGTCAAGTGGCGCATTGTGTACTGACCTTGAGCGAGGAAACAAGGTCGGCAGTCTCGAGGAGGGTCAATTGGCCGATTTGGTCAACGATGGCAGAAATCTTGGGGTTGGTAGGAGCAGCGGCGGCCTCGGTGGACTGCCATCTCCTTGAGAGGAAGTGGTTGGTCTGGGTGGATGAGAGAGAAGCGCGGACGACGGGCGACTGGGCGGTGGCGCATCGCCTGAAAACGCGTTGGCAGGAGAGCGACATGATGGCGAGATGTGAGGAAGGTAGAGGATTGGCGAGCTCGAGACGGAAGGTGCGACGGCTGTATACAAGACTCGTGACTGCCTTTGGTCTTGTGCTTCAAAGTGTTCCCTCCTCAGATTTCCCACGCCTGCGGCCCGTGCGTCGGAGTTGCGGCGAAGGCAAGAACCTCCGAAGCTTTGGATTCTTTGAACATTTCCAAGTCGAGAACTTTTTCTTGACAACAACTTTCCCCCATTTTCTTGTCGCCAGAATGGACGTATCATGGGAAACACACAACCTGGCATCACGCATCTCACAACTACCGTCAGAGCTTGCTGAAGCGCTACAACAAGGCGACGGCGCACACTTGCTGGCTCAACTTAGCAGAGCCGCTCTCGACAGACGATACACGGATACCATTTTGATTCACGCCGAATCTTTGATCCCACACTGCTGCGCCGAGTTCCACACTTCCTCCAACTACGTCTCGGTCGTCGCCGCATACGCTCGTTGCGTCTCCCTCGCTCCTCACATTTCCGAATACGCCGAGCGCTACCTTAGTTCGCATAATGTCGATAGCATTCCCGACTCAAATCTTTGCACAACCGAATACTTNTTTGCCATAATCCGCTTGTTGCGGTTCGATCGCCAGACCTTTGCCAAGTTTGTGCCCTTCTCACGGATACACCAACTGCTCGACCACAATGCTCGTGCGCTGCGTTATCTTGCCATCCGTGTACTATGTCTGTATCTGAGCGCCGCGGATGCTGCTCTACAAGACATGACCAACAAGTACCTCGCCAACGATGCTGGGACCCAGGACTTGATTGCACCGCTGGGATCGTGGGAGGACAAGGAGATTGACTACCGCCTCCTCACTCTGTGGGAGGAGCGTCGCCTGAAGAACCTGGAGAAAGAGAAGGAAGCTTTACAACAAGAACGTGCTGCATACATGGATGCTGGAAATGCTCCTAGACAGCCCGTCGTCTTGCCAGCCGAACTCTTTCACTCCTCGACAGCATGCATCTCAGGCGTTTTGCTGCCTCGTGGTGCTGCTCCTAAGGACGCCTCGACAAAATCAATTGTCGACACTCCCACAACGGCCGCAAATCTGCGTGAGCTGGCCACTTCGCTGAAGGCACAAAACCCGGTACTATTGACAGGTCTTGCTGGTTCTGGAAAGACACTACTGGTGCGTCATGCTGCACGCCAGCTCAACAAGCTGAAGTCGATGGTCACACTGCACTTGAACGAGCAGAGTGACGCAAAGTTGCTCATCGGAATGTACACTACTGGCAAGAACCCTGGATCTTTTGTCTGGCAGGCTGGTGTTTTGACGACTGCTGTTCTCGAGGGTCGCTGGGTGTTTATCGAGGATCTGGACCGCGCACCGAACGACATCATCAGCACTTTGCTACCCTTGATCGAGAGAAACGAACTCGTAATCCCCAGCAGAGGACAAACAATACACGCAGCTAGAGGCTTCCGTATCATTGCTACCATGCGTACCTCCCTGTCAAATAGTGGTCACGAGACCAAGCCTGCCTACAATTTGCTGGGTGCTCGCCACTGGAAGTCTGTCCATGTCAGCATGCTGCCTTCAGACGAGTTGAAACAAGTTGTAGTTGGTCTTTTCCCCACGCTCCATGAGTTCGCCTCACAATTCGTTACGGTCTTCCAGAATCTACAGTTGCTTAAGCAGCAAGCACATCTCGCAAGTCGCAGCAGGACTGGTTTGATGCGTGAGGTCAATCCGAGAGATCTGCTCAAGTGGTGTGCCAGAGTAGCGCTTATGCTTGGAGACAGGCCTAATATGACTGCTGGTGAGCTCGATCAGATTTTCCTCGACGCTGTGGATTGTTTTGCTGGTGCTTTGCCGGAAGGCACCGCTTACACCGCTCTCACTTCATGCATCGCCGAGAACCTGCAGATCGACCCCCAACGCTGCAATCATCTACTAGGCGAGAGGACTATCATTCACAAGGAAGAACCCTCACGAGTCACAATCGGTCGTTCAGTCTTTTCCCGTCAACAGCGGAAAGGACTGGCTGGTCCCACCGGCAAGCGCGCCTTCTCAACGAACGCACACACTCTTCGTCTACTTGATCGTGTTGCTGTAGCTGTATCCCAGAAAGAGCCTCTTCTCTTGGTTGGTGAAACTGGTACTGGTAAAACTACTAGCGTTCAGCACCTTGCAGACCAGCTCGGCAAGAAGCTTGTTCCTTTCAACTTGTCTCAACAGAGCGAAAGTGGTGATCTTCTTGGTGGCTTCAAGCCTGTCAATGCTCGTTCCATCATCATCCCCCTGAAAGAGGAGTTTGATGATTTGTTCTCGGCCAGTTTCTCATACAAACGAAATGCTCAATTCATTGAGACGCTTAACAAGTGCATGGGCAAGCAGCAGTGGGTTCGTGTTTGCAAGTTATGGAACACAGCTCTTGGTATGGTAGAGCAACAACGAGTTGCTGCTTTGCAAGCTGGTTCCAGATCCCCTTCTCGTAGCGCTGAGAATCCTGCCAAGAAGCGCAAGGTCGAGCCAGCTATGAGTGCTGTCTTGAGCGGAAGATGGGACAAATTTGCTTCGGAAGTCAAGAGCCTCGAGAAACGTCTCTCTGCTGGTCAGGAGGCGTTCGCTTTTACCTTTGTCGAAGGAAACATCGTCAAGGCCGTCAGAAACGGCGACTGGGTTCTCCTTGATGAGATCAACCTTGCTTCACCAGATACGCTAGAAGCACTTGCTGACTTGTTCGATGTCAGCTCACCCTCTCTTATGCTGAGTGAGGCTGGCAGCGTCGAGGTCATCAAGGCCCATCCTCAGTTCCGTGTCTTTGCTGCTATGAACCCTGCGACCGACGTAGGCAAGAAGGACTTGCCACTCGGTATTCGTTCGAGATTCACTGAGCTCTACGTGGAGAGTCCGGACCGTGACTACCAAAGTCTGCGAAATATCGTTCAGGCTTACCTTGGTCAGGAGGCAGTTTTGGACAGATCTATTGCTTCAGATGTGGCTAAGCTACACCAAGCGACGCAAAAGCTGAACGAAGAAAATTTGCTTGTCGATGGTGCTGGTCAGAAGCCACATTTCAGTCTGAGAACACTGACACGTGCTTTGATCTATGCGAAGGATGTCTCGCCGCTCTGCTCGATTCGACGGGCTGTAGCAGAGGGCATTCAGATGAGTTTCTTGACATTGCTTGACAAAGAGTCTGAAGCTCGTCTGTTGCCACTCATTCACCAGCATATGTTTGGAAAGCTCGCGAATGCTGCAGCTGAACTCAAAAAGCCCTTCCGTCAGCCTCAAGATGGACACACCTATGTCAAGGACGGAGCCTACTGGCTTAGACAAGGCAAGTTCACAGTGCATGACCAGCCGCATTACATTATCACGCCCTTCATCCGCCGCAATCTCGACAACCTCATCCGTGCTTCCTTTACTCGCCGCTTCCCTGTCTTGATTCAGGGTCCCACCTCTGCCGGAAAGACCAGTATGATCGAGTACCTAGCCAACAAATCTGGAAACAAATTTGTCAGGATCAACAACCACGAACACACCGACTTGCAAGAGTATTTGGGAACATATGTCTCTGGTTCAGATGGTCGTCTGCAGTTCCAGGAAGGTGTCTTGGTCAAGGCTCTGAGAGAGGGTCACTGGATTGTGCTCGATGAGTTGAACCTGGCACCTACTGATGTTCTTGAAGCGTTGAACAGACTTCTTGATGACAACAGAGAGCTACTCATTCCCGAGACCCAAGAGACTGTGCGTCCCCACGAGAACTTTATGCTTTTCGCTACACAGAATCCTGCTGGATTGTATGGTGGCCGCAAAGTCCTTTCTCGTGCTTTCCGTAACCGTTTCCTTGAACTTCACTTCGACGATATTCCGGTTGAGGAGCTGCACACCATTCTCCAACGTCGTACCCAAATCCCTGACACATGGTGCAAGCGAATTGTCAGTGTCTACAGAGAGCTCTCCGTGTTGCGCCAGGAGAACCGCTTGTTCGAACAAAAGTCGTTCGCAACACTACGTGACCTTTTCAGATGGGCATTGAGGAAAGCAGATACGATTGATGAGCTTGCTGTCAATGGTTTCCTGCTCCTTGCCGAGAGGGTTCGCAAGCCTGAGGAGCGTGACGCAGTAAAGAAGGTTATCGAAAAGGTCCTTGGTCAGAAGGGACCCAAGGTATCGATTGATACAAGTATGCTTTACGGCGTCCAGTCTCCATTGCTGCAATCATATCTCACTCAGGCTGGCTCGAAGGGCGTTGTCTGGACGAATGCTATGCGCAGACTTTATGTTCTGGTCGCAACTGCTCTCCAGAACAATGAACCAGTCCTGCTTGTTGGTGAAACTGGTTGCGGTAAGACTACCGTTGTTCAAATGCTTGCCGATGCGATCCAAAAGGAGTTGCACATCGTCAACGCACATCAGAACACCGAAACTGGTGACTTGATTGGTGCTCAAAGACCTCTAAGGAACAGAGCGGCGATCGAGCAGCAGGTCCTTGAGATGCTTGTGTCGCTTCCTCATGCCGAGATTCAGGAAGCTGCACCTACATCCAGCCTTGATGAGCTGCTTATCATCTATGACAAGGTCAAGGCCAATGCGGACCTGAGCGACCCCTACACCGCTCAGATCTACCAAGCCATCGAGGCCAATCGTCCACGATTGAAGGCATTGTTCGAGTGGGCTGACGGTTCTCTTGTCCATGCAATGAAGACTGGCCAGTACTTCCTGCTCGATGAAATCTCACTCGCAGACGATTCAGTCCTGGAGCGTCTGAACAGCGTGCTTGAACCTTCACGAGAGATGCTTCTTGCCGAGAAAGGATCGCTTGATTCGTTCGTCAAGGCACAACCCGGCTTTCAATTCTTCGCTACCATGAACCCTGGTGGTGACTACGGCAAGAGAGAGCTGTCGCCTGCTCTACGTAACCGTTTTACTGAGATCTGGGTGCCTGCACTGTCGGATATCGAAGACGTTCTACAGATCATTCGCTCTAAGCTCAAGGACCACGCGGCGT